AGTAAAGTTAAAATGTTACTTGTCTCGTTCCATCGCCAGTATAAGACCCTTTTTGCTTAAATGCATCGTTTAAACGGACAAGTTGTTGTTGATAATACTCTGCTATTAACAGTCTGATCAGGATTCGACAACTTATAATTAACACCTTTCACATCCCTCCAGACGCGCAATACAAACTCTCTTGCACGAATATCGGTCTTTCAGTTACAGAGGAAGTTACAAACTATTAAACTTAAAGGCACTCAATTAATTTGCATACAAGGTACGAGAAAATTAACATGGGAAAAAAATAACTAAGCTCGATCTACTATTTGACAAACGTTTTTTCGTGTTTATTGCACATTTAATCGCGTATCAATAGAATATCTATAATATCTGCTTTCATGGACAAACGCTGAAAGTGAAACATGATTAAACAAATCATCACAATAAATGGAAAGTCAATTGTTTCGTAATTACAAATTTAATAGTTTATATAAATGCAACAAAACAAATATCAAAGTGGACATACAGGATAAATAAAGAAATATAGATTGCAAAGATCGATTAGTAAACAAATTACGTTCTTATTGACATTAGCAAGTTTGGAACGCAGAAAAAAAATCGATGGTTTTTTAACATAATATCAATATTTGGAACAGTATTTTCTGGCCGTTTCAAAATCTTCATGAAATCTAAAAAATAGCGATTATAGAGCCTACATGTTTCCTTATTTCTATTCCTAAACAGTGTTTCAGCATTTCCAAATCCTTAAGATGAAAATATTCTTTTAAAAATTCGACTGTTCTATCAATTGAGGTAATTAAAATGTACCCATAAACAGTGACGTAAATCAATTTAAATCAATTTTAAGAAGCTGCTTAATCTAAAACACTATTTCTAAACGATTATATATTCACCATAAACAAAGACAAAGATTCTAAAGAAAACTGTTTAATATTCAGGTTTTGAAAATTAGAAATTACACTCAGGACAGACATTTAGTTCACACAAACAAACTCAGAAGTATTAATATTCTAAATCGCGAAGGAGTGACTATAAGTTTGAATTAAAATTAATCATTTTGATAACTTCGATTGGGAAAGTTTTTCATGAGTAATACCGCCCCAAAAAATCATAAACTAACTGAAATTGTGGGAATTTTTCGTGTATTGGCAAGAGAGAAATTATAATTTTTCGTTGGAAAATTAATATTTTTACAATATAAAATTGGTAATTTATCATTAGAAATTTTAAACAAACAGAACATTGAAAGATAAATCCTGGTCACGCTTCAAAGAAAGGAAATATATTTTTTGCAGTCCAGTATATCAAAAAAGTATGGCACATGGATTTCAATTAAATTAATTATTCTGATTAACACTACAATAAAAGATTTACATAAATTAACATGTTATCCTTATACGGTGATCACGTTTGTAATAATGCACATTCCAAATAAACTGCCATCTTGATTTGTAAAAGAAAATAGGAAATAAAGCCTATCACATTATGAAAAGGAATATTAAAAAATATTTTATATACGCTTGATTAAGAGTACTACGAATTGAATTGAAAAACACGCAAAAAATATCCATTATATTTTCGATACAACAAAAAGTGCACACTCCGTTCGATTTAGATTGACATAAAATGATATATCGATTCAAATTTAATTCTAAATGGAAACTTTGGGAATAAATGAAAATCTAACTCGATCATCCTTCAAATTTATTGCATAATTGATTCAACACAAACTCCTATTTACCCTCGGACATTATTCTGAAATTCTGATTATGAAATTGTAACACAACATTGCGTTGGTAGAAAAAACACGAATACAAATGAAAAAAGAGAACTATCTAAAGAGTCAAAACTGGACGAAAATAATTAGAAACAAAAAAACCGTATTTGTGTTTATTTTTTATTAATATTTGTACCATCAGTTTTTGTTTATTTTTCTGTTGTTTCCGTTTCTTTTTCCATTAAATATTACGAAACAAATTTTGTTTATATTAGATTTGGCACGTTCTTTTTGCTAACACTCACAACCTTCCAGGTCTCGTGGATAAGTCGAAGATGAAAACATCTCCAACGAGCATCAGGATGGTGGACCGAAGCTGCAAAATATCCAAGCGTCCAATTACTGAATTTCATGCAAGATAACGGACTGATTTCGTCAAGCTTAGAAAAATCTAAAGAGAAGGATTAGGAAGAAGATGAAGAAAATTGGCAGACATTTTTCAACATTCATAGAAACCAAATTTGAAATCAAACCCCAAGCTTTCAAATTGAGAACATCACTGGACCTATGAGAACTGAAGAAACTTAATAAAATAATACTGTCACGATGAAAATGAAAATATTACATTCAAAACGATGGCAGAATGTTTCAACATACAAAAAACCACAAGACAGATATTTTTAAATATTCCTGCTGGACCAGCGATTGAACGAAATCTTAAGATCGAAGAAAAATAACCGATGAAGGAGGGAGATCTATTACAAAAAATTAAAAAGAAAATTAATAAAAATTGTTAGAAACAGAAGGAAATGGAACTGATGAAACTGTTTGATTCGATTGGTCTTGTAAATGTTATTTGGAACAAAAGATTTATAACTAATTTCATTTGAAACGTTGCATAATAACGTTTAGAAGATTTAGAACAATTTTTGAAAGAAAGAAAACCATGAATAATTTGCAAAACAGAGTAATAATTAATTACTGTTTCAATTAACATTTTCGGACCAGTGACAAAAAAAAAATAGTGATACTTTTTTATAACGCTTGTTTTCGTTTTTCCTCGTTGCTTTGGTTCGTTAAGTTTATTCTTCGTTTTGTTGATTAGAATTATTAGACAGCGTTACAAAAAATTTAACGGGTTCTTTGTTAAAAAATGTTACATGTTTGTTAAGTTTTTTCGAGCGCGCTCTCCCTTGTTCTCGTTAAAGTTAATATTAAATCCGACAAACTAAAAAAAAAAACCGCAGTTACGTTTTGTTTCAAGTTACATCTTTGTTTTATGTTCGAAATAAAAAAAAAAGGAAAGCGAAAAAAAAGGAAAACATATTTTACGTTGAAAGTATTCGATTTTCACGCATAAAAAAAAGTTTAAACGTTACACGTTGTGTGTGAAAAATGAATTCGTGCATGCTTTTCGCGTAAAATATATACACGGGAAACGAACAAATTTTTTACGAACGTTTTGTTTCTGTTTATAAGTGGTTAAAGAAAATGTTTTCCATTATTTTTGTTACTTTAATGAAAACGTTTTTTTAAATGTTGAGTTGATTTGTTACGAATTACGTTAATGCTTGACTGAAAAGTATTGTTGTCTGTTTCCTTTTTTTTTTTTTAGACGGGTTTCACCGCAGTGCCTTGAGTTTGTTAATCGATCGTTCGTTAAAATCATAACTGTACGAATGAATGAAACAGTATACGAACATATTCTGAAGTACGATGTATGAATGAATCGATAATCCGATTGATTCTTTTATGTATTCGTTTACAAATTACTAAATTAATATTAATTTTAAGGTTCACGGATCGCTTCGTCGTTTATTTATTGAACTTACACTATTGTTGATCACAGAACGAACGATCGAAGACGATAAATTGATTCGTTCAGCGTATCGTTGATCAATCTGTTTCGTCGTTCACGCGTGTATTCGGTAAAGTAATAGTTTAAAGAAGCGATTCGTTCGATAAATCGATAATGTAATACATTAATATTGTAGATCCGCGTGTGAATTCAACCGTATAGTCTGTAATTACTTTACTCGCTTACTGTTTAGTTTTACTTGCGTGTTAATTAATTTCTTTCTAAATTGTATCTATCGTCACTAAAAATTGTATGTTTTCGTATGCTTTTTTTTCGAATTTATTCACCGGAAATTGTTAGTCTAGCGTCGACTGGTTATTGTAAACATTGTTTGTATTTAAACTACCCAGAATCTGCGACTCGCTTTTCAGCAATATTCACAGAAATTTCAAATAAAATTCGACTCACAATTTTAGAAGAAGCTTCAGAACCTTGTACCCTCCGGACGAAAAAAAGTTCTCCGACAACAAAAATACTCGCCCTTTGATTCGTGCCACCGTAGATAAAAATCATCGAGGCGCTCTATGGTCGAAATAAATTCCCGTCGACCTTAAACTCTCGAAGAATTTCGAGTTTTGCATTTACTCAAATCCCGTCGTACACCGCGCTTAAAATTCAAATACGTTTCTAAATGTATTCACCGCGACGGGGAAGAGATTTTTTCGAAACCGAACGCGAAACCTTCGAAACTCCGCGTCGAAATTACTGAAAAACGGAAATGAAACTGAACGCGCTCGATGCGTATATTTAAAGGGGATCGGGCGTCCAGTGGAAAATATATGTGGAAAAACTCGGGGAAGGAGATAGAAACAGTCGGGAACCGTTACCTGGAATCGATAAAACGAAACTTGGGAAAGGAAAGGCAAGGAGGACAAGCAGAAGCAGAACGATTCGCGATGGAACGAAAGATATGCAACAAGGACTTGGAAATTGGTTGTCTGACCGTACACAATTCAGAGTGGAAAAATGTGACGAACGACGCTCGTTGGAAAGGCCAGGTATACGATTTCAAACTGACAAATATTCTTAAAGGTTTGAATGGCTTCGCAGTAACATAGTGTCTCCCCGCCACGCGACACGGTTCTTCGAACGACGCCCAAAATCGACCAAATTTCACTTACGAATAATAAATTAAATTAAATTAGAACCCGCTAAACGGATGGCCTTTTGAACCGACGACCATAATCGTGGAAAATTTATAATCGCAATGGTACAGGGATTAGAAACTATTGTAACATCGATTTTCGTTCTCGAAACGGTGTTATGACTGTTATGATAACAAATTTTGTTGGATACGTTTCCTGAAAGAATCTAAATTTTGTTGAGTATGAGTATATTACTTTTGGTAATGGTAATTTAATCAGAGCTGATTAAACGAAGGAAATTCGGAGGTGGAGTAGAATAAATGTGACTTTGACTGAAAGAAGATGGATCCTCTGTAATAGAGCACGCAGTGGAAGGTGGTCTACCTCAAGAAGGTATAAAAGGCTCTGTCTAAGGAATGAAGTGGCTCAGTCGTTCGAAAAACGATCGAGGGTTCGGAATCAGTCTGGAAGGCCCTTCTGTGCGTTTCTCCGCCTCTTCTTTTTCCAACTCTTCCTTCGTCCTGACGTGGTCCTCACTGGTTCCATAATTTCTCCGGCAAGGAGAAAGGTGGATTCATTAAAATCGTTCTCGGTATACGCCAAGCTGTTAACAAGGAAGATCGTGTAGTAAAAACTGAAGAACGAAAGTCGAGAGGAAGAAAGCGAAATTTTCGAAAAAGGATCGTTCGAACGAAAAACTGAAAGGATATATTCATCGACGGGTATTTGGCGCAGGTGTACGAAGAAAGGAAAAGTAATCGAGAGTGAAATTTTTTGGGGGAAAAAAGTGAAGGACCGTTGAAAACGAAGTTTCGGGAAGCAAGTACATTCTACCGGGTAAGAAGAAATATTAAAAGAAGAAGGGGGAGGGAACAAGAAGAGCAAAGAGAAGAAGGGCGTAGAAGGAGATGGGTTTAGTGGAGGAAGGAAGGGAAGACTGAAGAAGGAAAATAAGACGGAAGGAAGAAGGGGGTGAAGGGAGAATGTAAAAGAGGGCAGAGGAATAAAGCAGGAAGAAAAAGGGAGCGTGAAGGAAGACGGAAGTGAAGGTAGAAGGGAGAACGAAGTAGAGCAGTGGAAGAGGGAAGGAAGGAAAGAAAAATAGAATAGGCAGAGAGTGGTGGAAAAAGGAAAGAAGGAAATACGACGGATAGAAGGAGAGTGAGAGCAAGGAGTAAGAGAGGTGGCTCCGAAGGTGTTCCGGAGGGACAAGTTTTTCGAGTGCACTTGCTCTTCTTCGTTCGGGGGCAGAGGGTGAAGAAGACAGCGATGGCCGGATGGTGGAGCCTCGGTGGTGCTTTTCTTCTGCTTTTTGGTATTCTCCTTGCTCCCTATTTGTACAAGATCAACTGGATCAAGGTGAGTCTTCTTTGATACCTTTGCCCGGCTTACCTACTTACAGTGGCTCACGAAAGTATTCGAACCCGGGGCTTGAAAACTGCTATAATATAGGTTTAGCCTCTTAAAACAGTTACCAAGAACTTTTAGCCCGAATAGCTCTTAGAAAGAACCGAACTTTCGGTTAATTCGTTTAATTTTAATTTATGAATAACTCGGAACTGAATAAAAAATAACAGTCGTAGAATTTATACGAAAACGGTACGATTCGACTTTTGTAATATTTATCCCGAACGTAAATTCTTCGTAACAGTTTCGACAACAATTTTTACGCAACGATTCGAAACAACTATTTTTAAAAACTTATCGAGACATGCACGAGTGTTTTCTTATGTAGGTTTGAATGAACGTATAAAAAAAAACTGATAGAACGCGATGATCGCGTTAGATTACCATAGAATTAACATTAAATTTCAATTGAAAGCGAGCCAAGTCTGCGTTAAAGTTACGTATGTTACAATGCTACGTCAACTGTTACCGAATATATCTCATTCTCTTGCTCGGCCAAACGGTCGATCTTTGCATCAATGATTTTCGTTATTAATAACGTGGCAAAAATGTATCGCGAGAAATCGGTAAGAGTATAGATAGCGAAACAATTTGTAACAGAAGCAATTGCATCGCGAGATAACATTGCTATTAAATCTGCGGTTCTGTTTCATTTTTATCCGGTAGAAATCGACGCGATGACATTATGTTTACAGACGAGGAAGCAAATTTCTTTCGCGCGTGACATCGTAAAACTAGAGGAGTCCTTTTTCTTTGTATCAGCGACTCGTGGCATTCTTAAAATAACAAAATGTCGAATTTCAGAAGCATAGATACTATTCGAGTCGATCGATACCAATAATTAACCATCGAAAGATCGTTTAAATTTAGAAAAGACGTTATTAAATTTCGACAAAAGTCCAAAATGCATACTAAATTTGATAATGTTACTTTTTTTTATCGTTGGTTCCCCTAGCATTTCTTTCTTCTTTTTTTAGGATTTAAGATTGGAGGGCGACAACAGGAAGATTTTAGCGAATCATTTAGAATCGAAGAAACGCAAATTGGGTAAACTTCCTCCCGTTTATCCAAATGGATGGTTCGCCCTTTTAGAAAGTTCCCAATTGGAGAAGCGCCAAGTGAAACACGTGGCGGCTCTTGGGCAAAATTTTGCTGTTTTCAGGTACTAACAACGTTCTAACGACATTTACCTGATAAGATTGCAATGGAATAATTAACAGCAATATTCGTTTAAAGAACAGATAAAGGGACGGTAAGGATTTTAGACGCTTACTGTCCTCATCTTGGCGCTAACATGGCAGAGGGTGGACGTGTCAAGGGGGATTGTTTAGAATGTCCCTTCCATGGTTGGCAGTTTCGTGGCTCCGATGGGCAGTGCGATCACATTCCATACTCTGACAAAGGTAATATAGATTAGCGTTAATTTTAATTACTTTTTACTTTTAAAAAAATTATTAAGGTACCAATGCCTTACCGACGCCTGCTAAAAATAACATTTTTTTGTATCTCTGACCATTTTAGAGATACAGATTTTCCCCAATTGCATTGGATGCCCTTGCATAACGCATTGTTTGGTATTTTCATTTTAGTGCCGCACATTGCGCGAACAAAAAAATGGAAAAGTTGCGAAGCCAACGAGATTATTTTTGTTTGGCACCATGCGGAAGGATTGGAACCAAGTTGGGAGCCGCAGACAGTCAGTCATGTATCAAACCGAGCATGGCGTTATCAAGGTCGAAACGAATTTCTTATCAACTGCCACATACAGGTCAGTTTAATGAGATTACAAATAATTTGTTTCTTTTTTTTTTACTCTGATCGTATAATTAAACGGACATCGTGAACGATAAACAAATCTTATCTTTAAGAATTTCAGAAATACGCTCTTCGAATATGTATCGTTACTGACTCGTCACGCTACAACCTCGTTGTATATTTTATCGATAATTATTTGATACGTATCGCTAACGATAAGTAAAATTGTTTTACATAGCTGGTTTGAATTGACCCTCTTGCAGATCAAATTCACCCTTTTGAATATGTACAAAGGGATTAATTCATGGCGCAAAAAGGTGAATATGACCTGCAGAAGGTTTGGAAATCCTTAAAAACATTGTAAACAATTACGAATAGCTTTGCATTAACAGCACATGTAAGTACAAATACAGGATATTTCGCAAAATTATGTATTTGTCATTCTTCATAGTGGAACCATTGAACGAAAACTGTCCGGTTATCGAATAAAATGTTTAGAAACTAAGATTAACGAATAAAAAAAAGAAAATTCCTTACATTTATCATGGAAACTAAAATCAAGGAAACCAATTTGCCATTAACTTCTCGATCGACAAAGATCTCTTAGTCTTTCTCTTTTTCTTTTTCCTGTTTTTAGATATCTGTTAAGTAAGGCAGATGGATATTTGAAATAAGAAATGGATTTTGGACTCCTTGATTGCAGCCTCCATGATGAATCCTAAGAACAATGATCGATACATCTGGTTGGAACAGGTAAGAAATCCGTCGATATACCCGACAAAAATGCGTGAAAAATTCAAGCTTCTTCTCTCAACTATTTAAACCAGTAAAAATAATTTTAGATATATAGTAAATTAAAACCCACACACGCACCCAAAATTAATTAAAACCTTCGACAGAAAAATTGTTCGAACTAATAAGGAGATATGAATATTACACACGAATAATACAATAACGTAAGCAAAGAAACAATATTCTTAACAATTTATAGGTATTTTTTTAACCCGATATTATATTGTTCGTGTGTGATAATAATTAATTTAACACATTAATGTGAAACGGTAAATTAAGAATTTATTGCTTGTTTTAGGAGGTCGCAGAAAATGGCGCCGATACGGCGCACCTGAGCGCGGTGCACGGACCGATGATATTCTCGAACATCATACATACATTTTCATGCGTTGGTCGTCATTCTTGGACGAACGTTGGTTGGAGACCGCACAATGTGTTTACAGAAAGCAATAGATCGGACGGGGACGAACCAAAGAAAGAAAACAGCGAAAACTTGAACCACAGAGCGTACACGACTCTTAGGCACACATTAATTTTGTTCGAGAAGTACAAACTTTGGAACTTGGATGTGTATGTTCAACAAATCGGTCCAGGCTACGTTGAATTGACGATGGACACCTATTTTGGGCGCATGTGTATTTTTCAAACAGTGACACCGATGGAACCCCTTTTGCAGAAGGTTCCATATTTTATTTAAACTTTTCAAGCTATGTTTTTCTTACACTATTTCGTAACATTCTTCGTTCGCGTTAATTTAACGAACTATATCGACGTAAGTTCACGCAGTCCTTTCACGAGATTCAAACAGTAAAGTAGACGATTTAAATATAATTAATTTTTATTCCTGAAATAGGAGACATCCTGTTTCATGGTTTCCATATAAATCTTTAATAAAACAGCGAATTAACCGAGGAAGTTGTTACATCGAGTCATTAACGGTACACATATTATGTTATTCTCATTTTAAATCAAAAACGTATAAATTCCAATGGAACGCAATATACTATAAATTTTAATAAAGGAAACTTACAATAAGATTTGTTGTTTTTTTTTTACTTAAAGATCTTCGTCCAGTGAATTATTCGATAAGAATCTAAAAACAGAATTGACTAAATCATCGTGACTTAATAAACTTTATAATTATCATTACTATAATTATTAATATTATTGTTGTTATTATTGTTGTTACTAGGTGACTCATTTAATTTATGCCGCACCGCTGCTTGCTCCATACGCCTGTATAATATTCTTAGGAGAGTGTTTAATGTTTGAAAGAGATGTAGCCATTTGGAACCGAAAGAAATTCGAAAAACAGCCGCTCCTCGTGAAAGAAGATAAAAGTATTCTTAACTACCGCAGGTGGTACTCCCAATTTTATTCACAGCATAGTCCCAGTTATCATTCAGCTATGAGATCGTTACAATGGTAGCATATATTTTCTCTATTACAATGAAAGGTCATCCGACCTTTGAAGACATTACCACAAGATTTTATAATATTAATAATAATTATAACAATGATAGTATTAATGATTAAAAAGTATAAATATTACCTAATGTAATAAAATACAGGAATACCAGTTCCATTTGCATAGTGTTAATAAATACCTTTTCTGGCCGTAATGTGCGCTATGTTTAATCGAATACTCGAATACTATACAATCGACCATATTATTTCTGTTAAGTATTATTAAATGTTGTACCACAAAAAACCGTATATCTTTGTGCCGCTTGATTATTGTACCCTTTACTTATACATCCTCTCCCCTAAACAAACTTAATAAAATAATAATTTTAATTTATTGCGAGTTTGTTACGTTCCTTCATTAATTAATTAATTCGTAATAAAACACTCGAATAGGTGGACAAATTTTTCGGCGAAATTAAAAAATTTCAAATAGTTCTAAAAAAATTATTTTTGGTTGCAGGGGTCAATTACAATCATTTTTGGTCAATACATATACCCCCGAAATCCTACGTACTTTCGAGAAAAAAAATTCTTTACCGAAAATGTTTCTATAACTTTTTAACGAAGTCTCAATCAACAAATTAGAATGCCCCATTAAAATTAAATCAAGGGGTGGCCGAACACCCTGTACATTTCCTAATCTATAAAAGCGATTAGTTTCTCGAGTGAGCTCGACTTTGACAGCTCGAGTGTTTTGCTTTTATGTTTTAAACATTATTGGTCCGATAGCGACAAAGAAAGAAAATAGTTTACCTCTCGTTGCCGTCCCTATTATTTCTCTAGAGTGGGGATTAACGACCGTCACTGATAATACACGCAAACTGCCATTTATGGTGGCGTTACTATGGCAGAAGTCTTCTTTCGTCTTGCAAAGTAAAATCATGACTCACGAATTAAGCTTCGAGGACGTAAGTAGACATCTTAAATTTGTTGTGGCTTCTCTCCTTGGCCAATCGCATTTCATGTACACTATCCCAATATTTTAGCGGTCAATACATCGCAACATAACCTTTAAACACTCTTTCCTTGAATCTTTCTAATAACAATTTTTTTGAATAGACAGACGAAACTTCTATAATTAAAAACAACAAATAATTAATCTTACGATTTTGTAAAATACATTTTAATCATAATAGAAATAATTTCTCTAATCGATAACACTTTTTAAAATCTTGTTTCCTGATGCAGTTTCCAATTTTGAAATCAAAACATGTCTATATTAAGGACAAAAAACGTCTTCTGAGGATATTGAACACAATTTTGAGGGACGGATGTAAGTCTTTGCAGGTACATTTGTTATTATTCGTTCTATATCTATATTACAATAATAAAAGCATTTATGTAAACCATAATTATTGAAAGTACATATTATATTTGAAATGTTTAAAAATTTGAATCAATGTTAATTTATAATAACCTGCTACTTTCAGATCGTTACCGACTTTGATTTGACATTAACAAAGCAACATGTTAATGGTAAAAAGGTTCTCAGCAGTTTTGGTAAGCAAATATTCAAAGTAACTATTTTTTATTATAAGTTGTATATAGACTAACTATTACTATAAACAAATAAATGAGCATCAGAAATTGGTTAATTTTAAAACCAGGGATGTTCGGCAAGTGTAAGCAACTTTCGCTGACTTATACGGAAGAGTCGCATCGTCTCTATGACATGTACAGGCCAATTGAAATTGATCCTCATTTACCGCTTGAAACAAAAGCAGAAGCAATGACAAATTGGATAATTGCTGCAGAAGAAATATTAAAAGGAATACCTTTTAATCCTGATGAAATATTAGAAGTAGCCAAAACTTATGGAATGAATTTAAGGGATCATACTGAAGAACTTTTTAAAAAATTATATTCTGCTGGGATACCAATATTAGTTTTTAGTGCTGGCTTGGGAGATATTGTTGAAGCTATTTTAAGGGAACGTGGAGTTCTATTTGATAATGTAAAGGTAATATTTTTTAGAATTTTCATACGGGAACTGCATAAAGTTTATTTTGCCTCTAGTGCCTCAGTAGCTGAAATGCAATTTAGTTTTCTAAATATTTATACTTAATCAATAGTGATAATAATAAAATTAATAGTAATGGCAGTATTATTAGTAACAATTATTACATGAATTATAAGGTGATCTCAAATTTCCTCGAGTATAAGGATGGAAAATTAGCAGGCTTTAAAAATGAAAAATTAATTCACGTTTTCAACAAAAATGAATATGCCATAGAGCAGGAGCATCTTAATGTTCTTGAAGGAAGAAAAAATGTTCTTTTAATGGGTGATACTATAGGGGATGCATCAATGGTAGATGGCATGGGAGAGATAAACGCAGTACTAAAAATTGGTTTTCTTTATGACAATGTAAGTGTTGTGCATATATTGAGTACGTACGTCTCGAGTCTAAGAAGGTTAATATAAACGAAATGAAAGAGATCAAAAATAAATCGAACGGGCTATATTATTGAAATTACGCTAGAAGAAAACCTGCACTATGAAAACACATTTTCATAAAACTCTTGTAATTTTATTTCAGGCTGAAACTAGTTTGCGTTCGTATATGGAAGAATATGACATTGTCTTAGTCGATGATCAAACAATGCAAATTCCAATCGATATTCTTCGAATATTATAACAAATAATAAAATATATTTTCTATTTTTCTATTTCATTTGTAAACTATTTCTTTTCAACTTACTTCAAGTTTTAAGGTTATATTATCAATGACACGGAATGAAACCAATAATACTTTACCTAACACATTTGGGTAATTAAACAAAATATTTGTTGCTTCTGGCAATTGATTTTTCTTGCTTAAAACACGCACTTTTATAACTATACTAGATATACTTAATAAATATATTCTTCGGTAAAAATTGCTACGAGTTAGGGGTAACGACCATTTTCTTCGCCGTGAGCCACAAGAGTCCCACCAATCAGCCAATCAATTCCCCCACCCTATCAGGTTTCGCACTACAATAAAAGTTCGTTAGAAATGCACGGATTGGGACCGGAGCGTGAATTGTAACGTAGAGAAGGCACGATTCTGTACGATCGTTTCTTTCTTGTTTCTCTCCTTCGAAATGCATTTCATTCTTAACGAACTTACACTGTAGTTGAGTGCCCAGCAAGCTTTCGTCTTAACTTTGTAAAGTAGACATAGCAAGAGCAGTTCTTTTGTGATTGAACGAAACAAAAACGTAGAAGAGGGGGCTACAATTGGATTGCAAGTCTTCAGTTCGTCACCCCTGATCTAACGATAAGAAATCTTGTTAAATTGTGTGAATAAATATATTTCATGTTATATTTTAGTCTTACTAAATCTCCTCATTCTTTTAAAAGTTCGAAAAAATAAAATTCATATTTTCAAGAATAATGAATGCAACAGAAATAAATATTTAAAGTTTCTGTGTGTAAGTTCGAGGGGCCCCAGGAATCTATCTACGACTCCCGCCAAATTCGCGGATCATAGGTTAAGAACCACTGCTCTAGTAGCTTTTAAGAAAAAGAAATTGAGAACCGTCAACTACTATATAATACGTACCATAATCGTTATTAACCACAAAATATCTTGTGTATTTCAACAATAAAAATTGTGCGAATTTAGTTTTTGGAACAAAGGTCCGAATCGTGAGTAACTTTTAATTTGCAGTCGCTCGAATTAACTGAACGTTAAATCTTATTTCTGTTTGACACGAACCAATTTTATTGAATCAATAACATTTTATCTTGATTACATTGTGCTTGATACGACAAAAACCGAAGAATACAATTCAATTAATCGAATCTAATCGATACTAAATACTGCAATTAAAATTTGATGCCAAGTCATGAGTCGACTTAAGATTTCGTATAAATCAATATGAATAACTTTAAATCATTTACAAGTAATAAATTTAAAATTATTTCCTTGTAGGTATTATTTATCGATTGAAAGAATAATTGTCGAAATTATAAACTTTTAAAAATTGTGGAATATCGTTCCAGTAAAATTCACTTGCATTAAAACTAGTGATAAATACGAATACTAAATGGATAGTATTGCAGAAGCTTGTAATCAATTAAAAAAAGAGTATGATGGGTGCTTCAAATTTTGGTTTGCTGAAAAATTTCTAAAAGGAGAATTGGACGATTCAATGTGTTCAAATTATTTCAAATCGTACAACCAGTGTCTAAAGGTAATTAAATTTTCTTTTATTCGTTAATCATTCGCTATTTAAATCGTTCGATCTAACTGACTAATTTAAAATACGATTACTTCGAGAGTAGTAATAAGTCTAACGATTTACAAAATATAAAGTTTATGTTACGTATTAGTAAAATAAAAAATAAAAAAAAATACATGAATAAATCTTTATTTTAACGAAACAATGTTTCAAAATAACTATTCTACATATCATGCAACCCTCGCTTAACTTTAGTTTACGAATATCTCGAAAAGACTAACGAAATCTGATCTGACTGCCAAAAACGGTAAACGACAAATATATTCTTTACGAGACATCTTCCATTTTCTATATAGTGGACTGATAACGATATCAAACATGTATATAAATCGATATAATGTATGTGAGTATGTGTGCATACATAGGAATAAAGGGATTTAATTAACCCTAAAATACAGAAATAAAATTTTGTTATTGTCGTTAATAAATTCTAAAAGAAGACTCTTAACGCTTACCGTATCCCAACCTACATATACAATGAAATATTGCAAATCGAAATAACGGAAAAATGTCTAAACAAATTTCTAATCTACGAAGTGGACAGATTGCGCGGTGCACGGTTCGTTTTACTGCATAAGTTACAATAAAACAAATCAAATTCTTATGAAAAAAAATATAATGTCGATTTGACCAATGTTCGAACTCACAAATGTGAACGATAGAACGAAAAAGTATTAAACTAATTTAAATAGAAATAAACGTAACAATAATTATGGAAGCTTGCAAAGATTTGAAAGCGAAGTACGACGATTGCTTTAACGTTTGGTTCTCGGAAAAATTTTTACGCGGAAATTATGACGATAGTGAGTGTTCATCGTTGCTTAAAGTTTATACAAAGTGTGTCGCGGTAAGTTAGATTTAATGAAAATAACCTTCAAAAATATAGAAATGTTAATCTATTAGAATCAAAGTATGTACAGCAGGTACAAACAATAGTGTTGGAATGTACTTGACAACAATTTCACTATATTATTGTATTTGTATGATTTATTAAATTATTTTTTCATGGTATATTGTTAGTATACATTTGTATTCACTTTAGGAATAATGAACTCTTACGTTAAAACATTTTTGCACAATTTAAGAAAAGAATGTGTACAATATAATTATCTTGTGTTCCAGCAAGCAATGAAGGATCAAAATATAAACTTAGACGAAGTTGATGTATCACATTTGACAGCAGACAAAGAGAAAGCGACGGAAGGTTGACTTTGAATCTAATATAATTTTTGTTCTTATTTGTTTTGTTATGAAAGAAAAATTTACTACAGTTAAATAAATTCTAATAATTATTATAATGTAATTTATAATGATGTTTCCTACTTACCTTAGTATTATACTTCGTTACATCTCCTTTTAAATAATTTCTATTTTCCAATGCAGAAATTTTTAAATATAACGTCCAAAACTTCCTCATTGTTGATAGAACCTGTTATTTTTCCAAGTTCCCTCGCTGCACCTCTAATATCTTGTAAGGATATGGCCATGTCATAATTTTCAATTTCAGTCCTTTTTAAATATGTTTGAAGATATTCTACAACAAGTAATACATGACTTCTGTATCTTGCATGACTTATCACAGGATTTTCCTCAGATGGATCACCACAACTGTAATTAATAAATTAGAATAAAATATGTTTTATTCTAAATAAATATATAGATTTTATATACAAAGCAAATTACATTTCCTTCAAACACTGTGTCAATCTAAATATAAGTTGCTTTAAACCATCTTGTGTTTTACAGGAGATAACAACAACATTTTGCATTTCCCATATCTTTCTCTCTTCTTCTTCGATCAAATCCGCTTTATTCACTATGACAAGAGTTTTCTCCGTTTTTATTTCCAAAAGGTTCTTATAATGTTCCAAGAATTCCTCAAAAGAACTTTTGAAACTCTTTTTTGCGCTTATCATACATATTACGAGATCCGCCCTTTTCGTACATTCTTTCGCTCTCCTGATACCTTCCATTTCTATTTCATTTTCTGGATTATTCCTGATTCCTGCTGTGTCTGCAAGGATCATTGGATATCCACAAATATTTGTGGTCAGTTCTATAACATCCCTTGTGGTACCTGGAGTGGACGTGACAATAGCAGCATCTTTCTTGGAAAGCAAGTTCAAAAGACTACTTTTGCCCACATTGGGTTCTCCAAGGATTACTACACGCACTCCTGTACGCAAAATTTCTCCTTTCCTTCCATCGGATAGATGTTGCTGCATTTCTATAGTCAATTTTTCCAACATGGTTTTGGAATCTTTTAAAATATTAGATTCTAAACTGTGTTCTTCAGAGAAGTCAATGTAAGCTTCTAAGTTTGCCAGACAATGTAAAAGGGTAATTCTCCAAGTGTCGTAGAGTTGTCGAAGCGAACCGTTAGCTTGATTATAGGCCTGGTAAATTTATGATATTCGAAAAAGTTTAAATTCTAAAAATTGAACAAAACATTCTAACATATTCATTTGACAAGAATTTAATGGAATATTTTATACCTGTTTACGTTGCTTTTCAGTTTCTGCTTCTATTAAATCTCCTATACCTTCTGCTTCTGTCAAATCCAATTTCCCGTTTAAGAAAGCTCTTTTGGTGAATTCTCCAGCAGGTGCGTGTTGAAAGTGTAACTTTGAAAGCGCATTAAGAATTGATGCCACTACTGCAGGACCTCCATGAACTTGAAATTCTACAGTGTCCTCTCCGGTGAATGAATTAGGTTCTGAAATTTATTAGTATTTATTGAATACCATTGACTTTTTTCCCCCGTCATATTTTTAATATTATTCAACAATTAGTAGGACTTTTATATCTGGAATACCTGGAAACCAAAGGCAAAGACCTTTGTCTAGAACTTCTGTTGTTTCTGGATCACAAATGTTCCTTAAAACAGCTATTTTAGGTTTTAAATTCGATGTTTTCGTCATTTTTTTTAAAGCTATCGATGCCTCTGGACCGGATATCCGAATTACTGCCACTCCGCATTTACCATATCCTTTTATGTAAAAGATCATAAATGACAAAATTATGGATATTTAATATACATGCAATAATAACAGTTGCTTTGCTACTACAATGAAGTAGACATAATATTATTTAAAATTCATTTTTAATGTTATATATTTTACGAATAATAAAAATAATTGTTCTAACATAATGTTGACTTATAAAGAAGTTATATTGCATTTTTCATGTACATAATATATTTTAAATTGCAAATATTAATCTTGTATAATTTACTTCGATTTCAACGTATTTTTCTTTCCATTTATATTGTAACGAATTGCAAATAATCTTATTTAAACTTGAGAGACGCATGCGTAGTTAAAATTGGCGGAATACGAGACGTCTCGTTGGAGAAGAACATCGAACTTTCAAGCAGAAAGTGTGCACGTCGTGTAATTCATCAACGAATATGAAATATACGAAAGGTACAATGAAAATTATAATAACCGGAAGAAAGCGCGTAAATCGTAGAACATTGTTTGTGTCTGTTAATGTGCCTTTGCAGTGAAATTTCTGAATGAAAAATTCTGCATCTTGTTCCCGCGAAAGTAGTCAATAATTTCCATCTTTGTCCGTACAGAAATTTTCGAAACATCTGAATGTCCAGCAGTGAAATACCAAAAACTTTCGTCGATATAATACAACACTTTTATCGTGGCATTTATTTTACGTTACACTACGATCAGGTTAGGTATTCAAACTCGAGTGTTAACCAGCTAACAATGAGCATCGATGAAAGGGACGTAAGGTTGAAGTCACGAAGTGACCGGAAATTTCATGTTTAGCGTAAAATTGGAGACTTCAAATAGATTAATTCACTTTTCACGCTGTTAATCAATTGGGATTGAACGTATTTATGTAACGAGAAGTAAACTGACATATAAATCTCATAAAAAAAGAATTTAAAGAATGACGGAATTCGCAACAAAGTTAATAACTAGCAAAGATATGCAACAACGATGCAACGATTGGGTCGAATCACAAAAGGATTGTACGTACGAGGATGAAACGCATTATAAAAGAAAAATTGACGACGAAGACAGTTACAGAACTGATTCTGAATTCGATTCCGTATCCGATTGCCCCAAAAAAAAGAGAGTTGGTTTACCGCTAAATCGTGAAATTCTCCATCTTTTTTGTGAGTGGATTGATTGCGAATACGAGAGCAATTCCATTGATAGATTCGTGAAGCACGTGGCTCAACACGTGTCTGATGTAAATATACAAATAAACGAGAGAGATATCGATGTTTACGAATGTCTGTGGAGAGATTGTTTCTACACGAATAATAATCCCGACGACATTTCAAGGCATGTCAATTATCATGCGTTTCATACGAAGTTGAAGTGCGTCGGGTCAAATATTCGTTCCAGAATTAAATTGCCCGTAAGGAATTATTTGATATTTTTCTATTTTATTTTTCTATTTAAAATAAAATATTTATTTTAAATTACGATCAGCCTTATTATTGCAAATAATAAATAAAGTAATTTTAATTAAATAGTATCATCGTTGAATCGTTTTAAAATTTTCAGTTTAAATGTAATATTTTATTATAGAAATGTCATCGAGACTCTGGATGGAAGAACGTTATAGATATTCCAGGACCTCTCCTTTGTCGTTGGGAAGAATGTTTAACACATTTTAGGAATTATCAGTTGTTCATATATCATGTAGTTGCTCATATTGAAGAAAGTCCGCGTGGTAAAAAAGTCAAAGGAGGTCTAGAATGCAAATGGACAGGTTGCGATTGCATGTACGCCAATTTGTACAAGTTACGGGATCACATGCGACATCATACGAAGGAAAAGATTGTCGCTTGCCCCGATTGCGGTGCAACGTTTGCTTCTAATACGAAATTTCATGTACATTGCAAACGTCAGATTCCGCTCGATGGTAAAGTACAATATAAAATTTCTTCCGCTTTATATACCATACACTGTGCAATAAAACATGCGCAAGCATACAGATTCAATTTAACAAAATTATATCGGTAAATTTGTTTATTAGTTCAGGGATTCCAGTGCTCTCATTGCAATAAGTTTTACGCCACGGAAGGAATCTTAAGAGATCATATGCGATTCCATGTTTTTAATTACAAATGCACCCTTTGTGATATGAGCTGCGAATCACCAGCCAGTTTAGCTAAACATGTTAGATATAGACATGTCTCTACTAGACCCTTTCCCTGTCAACTGTGTAATCATGCTGCCAAATCTCAACAGGATCTTGATTCGCATATGTCGGTTCATACTAATGGACCAAATTTCTCATGTCACTTTGAGGGATGCTTGTACACGTGCAAAGGTGCATACAGTCTAGATAGGTAACGAACAAAGTTATTTATTTTAAAGTAGTAGAAACGAGGGCTTGAAGAGGTTTCGAAAATTAATTATTTCCAATAACTTGTTGTATTACAAGACACGTAGAACGAGTTCATGATAAGCAAGTACGATGGTATTGCTGTCACGAGTGTCCAGTAAGGTACATGAAAAGCTACAGTTTGTCGAAACATTTGATCGAGGCGCATCGTTTGCAACTACCTAGTGGGCATACCAAATTTCAGTATACTCATGACTCAGATGGTTGTTATAGATTACAAATGGTCAGATATGAGACTGAAGAAGAAAGCGCTCTTCCGATTGTACAGACAAAAATCGAGAATAAAAAATATAAAATCAAATTAATTCCAAATTCCAGTGTGCCTCAAGTTAAGGTAGTACTTTGGTTATTTGGAATGAACACAGGGTTAACCCAATTGATATTTAAATAATTATTTCTGTTTAGGTTTTCGAAGATACGGACGAGAGAGTGATGGAAGTCGAGAAAAAAGAGGCAGAAGCAATAATAAAATCAGAGGGTTACGAAGTAAAATCGATGCCCGTTATTTCAAATATTTTAATATCAATCGATGAAACTGATGCGGAGGGAAATATAATTACAAGTAGAATTGTAGAAGCGCAGGAAACTACGGAATTGCCTCCTTCCGAAGGACGGCCATTAATTTTGACAACAAATTAATTCCAATTGAATGACAAGAAATTTTAATAAAATTTAACAAAGAATAAATATATATTTTTACTTACAAAATGATTAATTAAAAATGATTTGTATTCTTACACATAGATTTTCCTCGCATGCTTTGCCGATACTGTAACAATATTTCAAAAGAAATTTTGAAGTCAATTATATGAAAACGCAGTAATTCACTCTTTGTAATAATTGTTCGTAAACTTGTAATTAGTAATTATTTATATTCTAAATACCTTTGTTAAATATATATTAATAAATAAGAATGAAACAATTAACTAGGACGATAGTCGAAGATCAAAACAAGCCTCGTCTTCTATTTCTAATGAATCTGGTGTATCTGTTATCGCAATTAATTCTCCGTCAAAGTACAATTTCATTTTCGATTCTTCGATGTTTAAATCCTGTGCACATTTTGCCCAAAGAGCTTCAAAATTTTCATCTCGATTAACGGATACCGTTAGGCTCTTCTTATCTGTTGTTTGTACTTTTATAATGCGAACATCTTCATTGATTTTTCCTTCGGTGCCCTTTTTAAATACAGAACTATCCTTGTCGGTAATACCTCCATCTACCAAAACATTTTTTTCCAAAATATTTTACGATTAAAATTAAGAAAAAAAAAATTTGATCAAGTTTACCAAGTATATCGATCACGGACAAATTTATGGACGCGGGAGTATCGGTTCTTTTAATGGTTTTATCCTTTTTGGTTATCAAAATCTCGTCTATCGAAACTTTTTCCAAATTTGCAAAATACTCAAAAACTTTTCGGAAGTTTTCATTCTGAAACAATACGAAACATAGAAGATTAAATAAATAATATATTAACTGATTCATCCAGTATTTTTTCATGTAACAAGTAATCGACTTATTCGTTCATTTATTCGTAGCTACGTACGCGACAGATCTTCAAACGATGCACATTTTTCGATCGCCAGAGGACTTTAATACTTATGTCATAGTTTTCATCATCTTTTGGATCTGTGTGTATGTCATTTTCTATTATTATCAAATCGTCCGAGGAATTTAATTTGTTTTCTACGGAAACAATTTCTAAATCTGAATCGTGCTCTGATGAATCTCTTGCCTAAAAAAAATTTAATAACAATAGAACTTGGGAAGAAATTATTTTTTTGTACGATCGCATAACGTATTTCAATTTTACTGAAAAACTCTATTTTTGTATGAACTTCGAGTGCTGTTTGATATATTAAATGACTAATTCTAAACATTCTACTACTTGAAATTTAATAGTTGTAAATTATTTTACTTGTGTTTGCTTTCTTGTTCGAAGACGAGACGAGATATGTCGATTCCTCCTTGTTTTTTGGACTGTTGTATTTGTTGCTACAGTCTGTTCAATAACCTCCAATCTGCAAAGTAAACAGATTATGCAATATGTAATGATATAATACGAATCGTTCATAGTATGAATTATTATTTCTTTGCGTATCAAAATTATATTAATATTTGCCAAGATCACAATACAACAAATTTTAAGTTAGAAAATTCTAAGGAAACTAATTTTTTATGAACTTTATTATGTATGTATCAGATGTGCTTCAACCCTTCTGTTCTATTTTGCTCCTTCTCTTCGTCCTTTTTTTTATTGGATGGTAACAACATCTGCTTCTTCAGAGCTGCAACAAAATTTTCATTAGATTTTTATAACAAATATATAAACAAACGCAATACTTTTAAAAAGTTGTAGACAGTAATATAAAAACTGATTACTAATAACTGTAACCATATCCGTACGTTTACCTTTCAATCTTGCAACAGAATTCAAATATACATCATCATCATCCTCGGATGAACTTACTAATTGCACTGTTTCCATTATTAAACGTGTTTGTGATTGAAAAAATCACTACGTATATATTATTATTGGGAAAACAAAATAGAGAAACACAAAGTTTATATTCTATTGTCAAATGGAGATAAAGATGAGGTTAGTTTTACCGTTACTTTAATTCACTTTTATTTTAATTTAAATAACAGTTTCATCAATTTGTACTACCGAAATAATATGACACCATACACAATTAAATGTTTGAAAACCAATTTTAAAAACTACATATCAAACGGATTAACTTATTTTATTGGTCACACTTCATAATCAATATGTAAAATTTAAATATTGTTATAGACGTAAATTTATAGCTTATAGAACACTAATAAATGATATTTTCTAGAAGCACAACAAAGATAAAGAAAAATCCTATTTTAAATGTACGATTCAAATTTGTTCAAGACCGTGTTTCCTTTGGACCGATATACAAGAATACAGTCACGAACATAAAGTATTGGGCACACCTGACTTTTCATTGCATACATAATTACTTACAAATTAAAGCAAAATCAACATATTCGATTAATTTTTTTATCAATCATAATTACTCGATCTGTAATGCGACAATATTATACAAATTATAATTTTTTAACCAATGATATTATAAAGGGAAAAAATAAAATGTACATTAATGGCAGTTCTCAACGAAACAAAAGTATTGGCAAACAGTCGATTCACGTACGAGCATGGTGAGCGAAAAGCAGTAGAATTGCGAGAGTCCGATTTTCTACTGGACAAATAGAGACGCACAAATACTGCGTGCTCTTTTTATCAAGTGCAAAATCAGATTCTCGCGATTTTACTGTTTCTCGTTCACCATGGGCTTAGTACTGGAGTCGACTGAGGTTGGGTATATTTTCCGGAGTCGGTTCTTTAAATAAAGAGGTCGTTCTGAAACCATTGATTTTTTACGAGGTCGGTATTTCAGTTTCTAACACCAAATTCCTTCAGACGAAACGTCTTCATTCTGTATATCGTTTGTAATAAAATGAATTTAAATTCCTCATCAAATTGTATTCGTTAATAACAGAATTTGTATGCACGATTAAATATAAAAATTTGGATTACATAGTTATCGACGATCAACATCGTTTCAACATATGTTTCTGACAAAGATGTCACTTCGTTCGATGGTCAGCGAAGAAAATCAGGAAGGGAAAAAGGTAAAGAACGAAAGGTATTAGATTGAGACAAGACGAATTCGATTCGTTGTGACGTCTGACTGTCGAGATAATTACATATCCCTCCCTAAAGTGTTCTCAGAAGGGAAGACGTTCTATGAATATCATATGTTTTTATGCGTGATTCTTCGTCGAAGCATCGTTGGATTAACAACAGCAGATTTACCCTTGCTATTACAATGGCGACTTTTCATAAGAAGCACCTTTGTTCGTCGAACATAACTGTAAGCGCCGTATTTTTCGATCTGGACAACACACTCATCGAGACTAGGAAGGGCGACAATCAAACGTGTCGGAAGGTACGCTAATGCATTTGAAATATCGTGTATATAAACGGTCAGTATTGCTCAGATACTAGAAAACGTGCGTGTGTTTCCTCCTAGAGAGTGTACGCGAGAAATGAACGTTTAATTTTACGTCAGAGAAACGTGAAAGGTCACACTTGCATCGATAACAATTCATTTATTTAGTCCGTGTACATATTTCGCTTGTTGTTTTTCTTCCATTTTTTGAAGAAATTTGTTCGGGGTTACGTTCTCTCTCTCTTTCGTTTCTGTGGTGCCAGATTGAGTATCGTGAGTCACCGTTCGCCATATTGGATTCGCCCCACCACCGATGGAATAGTGGGAATAGAAGATAACTAATGCATGAATTGCATTTATGTATGCAAGCTTGGCACTTCGGATAACTTCAGGAAGTCGAGAAAGAAAGCAAAATGTGAGCCTTTTAGAGCCCGTGTATCTATACGCAGGTTTCCAATTAGTTTACTGTCCCCCACTATTCCTTCGTTGGTGAGGCGAATTCAATATGGCGGACGGTGACTCGCGATGCTCGTTCCGACACCACAGCTTCCGTTTGGATATGAAGATCGCACGAAAATAGAAACCTCTGTGTAATACGAGCCGACTCCCTGATATAGAGCTTTCTCTCGCACGGTTATTTTTGGCCGATCCTACTGGTACTGTCCAGACGCTCAACATAACGTAGAAAAAGCGTGCAAGCACGTTACTGAAAGCTTTCACGATCCTGAGATACCAGTTCAAACATACAAAAGATCGCGCGCAATGCGTTATCGTAGAAGGTTATAATTGTTACTCGCTGAAGAAAATACACGTATAAAATAATTTTCTTTGATAAAATTGTGGTGAAAGAATTTATATAAATAATTTTTAATCTAGTCTCCTTTCAATACAACGATTAGTATCAGAAATTAACCGATGACGTACATTACGTTTTAAGAAGTTTAAATAAGTGAACGCATAACGTCATTAACCTTACATTGGCAATAATCCATTGGCTGGTAATGTACACTCGTTTGTGGAATAACGTTTGTGGTGGTACAACTTTATTTTTGTCCCTCTAAGTGAGTGTGTCAAAGGGCAAGGCTAGTTCCAAGGGGTTCTCTCTGGGAGTACTGCCAGTTGGCTTTTAGCTGTGTCGTGTGAAACATGCAATCTTCTGTGAAACCTTGTTAAACATTTCATAAATAACTGTACGTTGAGCATCGTTTGAAATATTGTTACCATAAAAGGAAAACAAGTTTATAAAAACATAACGATAATATTTAGTTGTATAAATTTAAAAAAACAACAAATTATAACAATGAGTATCCCGGAGGGTGTGAAGAAGTGTGTAGCTATATTAAAGTCTGTCGAACATGACTCAGAAAAATTTGCTGCATTATTTATGGTTACAAAGTTAGTGAACGGCAAGGATTGCACGCCAGCGATTAAAAAAATATTATTTGAAGCTATCGGCTCTAAGTTCATAAAAAAGTTGTTATCTACTCAAACGGTCCCTATAGATTGCCCTCCTCAAGTGTACAAATCTGTAGCATTATCTATACTTTCTTCATTTTGCGGAGAGGAAGAGTTAGCATCTCACCCCGATATGATAACTCATGTACCTGCATTGCTTGAAATTGTTTCTCAAGTTGATGAAGATGCAGCGGATGACATGTTAATTATTGTTAGCGAAGCATATACGTGTCTGCAAAATATCGCACAATATCCTCCAGGGCAGAAGGCTTTACTTGAACAGAAAGCAATTTCAAAAATGTGTGACATTTATTCAGAAAAAAGTTTCCAAACGGATCAAGCTTTAAATATTTTAGTCATGTTAGTTGGAAGATTTGGCCCAGAATCTTGGGATGCAACGAATACTTTCACATTTCATGCTATCATAAATAAAATTGCGCTAGACTTTGAAACTGACCATACGGAAAGAAAATTTGAATTGTGCACAATTTTACAAGCATTATTAATGTCCTGTAGAAGAGATATCATTAGTGAAACTGCTAAAGAGGAATCTTGGCCATTTAGTATTCACAAAGCTTTATCCGATATTCTTGGATCAAAAATAGGCAAGAATCAACGTGACCCTGCATTGAAGCTTGCTTCTGTAATGATGGATTTATTGGGAGCAGAATGGAGCGTGTCTGACGAAGAAAAACCGAAAGTATTTTTCTTACTTTTAATTCAATTAGCGTCTATAGAAGTTAGAATGCAGTTAGAAGGAAAACAACTTAAAGGAATTATGGCAAATGCTGATTTAGTTACATCCTGTTTTATTATTCTTGAAATTTCTCTGACATACATCACTACCGATCAGCTAATTTTAGAAGAGAAAGAAAAACAGTCTTTATATACAGCCTTGAAGGGGGCTTTTGCTGCAGTTATAGGTTTACTTACTGCGGTTTCTAAAATGAAAGAATTAACAGATATTAAAGAACGAGTATTTATCTGTGCTGTGGTAAGAGTACTGGCAGCATGGTTTGCTCAAGAAACAAAAGCCATGCGTACTCAAGTTTATGCAGTTTTGCCATATGTTCTGTCGATAGCTAATGACACATTCTATGCTTATCGAAATAGAAAATTAGCAGAAAAGGCTAAAATAAATGCTAAAGCTAAGACAGAAGAAGGGACATCATCAGAAGAACCGGTTACTCAAGATCCTTTAAGCGAAGTTGATCTATTAAGATTGTTATTACCAGCTTTGTGTTATTTAACTGTTGAAGAAGAGGCTAGAAATATTTTACTTAAACATAAGCAAGAAGAAGTCTTGTTTGAATGTTTGTCTTATCATTGGACAATTGTTCATTATGTAAAGCCACCAGTTCCAAGATCGGAAAGACTGAAAGCATTGAAAGAATCAGTAAAAGGAGAAGATCTAGAACTCCATGTATCCGAAGCAATGAAAGATTCAAGAACAGCAATGGTTTCTGTATGCAATGTTTTAATGAATATCACTGTATTAGAGCCAAAATTAGTGGAAGAATCAGCTGTCTTTGTTTCATTATTGAAATTTATTTTCACTAATCTTCCAGAACTCAAACAAATTCCAGAAAATTTAGTATTGCATGGTCATCTGGCAGTTTTGGGATTATTATTATTGAAACAACAGGCGAAACGTATTAAGAAAAATGATTTTTCTATATGTAGATATATTCAAGCCACTATAAGGTTCTTATGGGATGCATATATTATTGACGAGAGTAATGATCCAACAGAACTGGTTGTTTCTATGTTGTATAAAGAGCGATGGATGGAAATTATGGAACTGTGGTTCCTTGGAATGCAAACAATGGCTGGAGTTTTACAAGTAGTACCTTGGCTTTCACAATTTACTCTTGAGTCTGGTTGGGCCGAAGAAATGGTCGAAACTCTTAAAAAAGTAAAGATTGGAAGCCTTCAGCCAAATGTAAAATGTGCCTTCGAAGATCTTTTATGCCACTTAGTTAAAGCAGATGAGAATATAGCTTCTGTTTTGAAGAAATGTGGAGTTTTAACTGTATGCAGAAATCATCGTATGATGGAACTTGGAAAACAGCTTTTTGGAGACTAAAGCAACACAGAGAACAATTGTTCAAATATTCTTTTGGCGTTCAATGTCTAAAATGAAAGAACTATAAATTGTGTTTTTACTGAAAGAGAAAAAATAAAATACAATTATCTATTTTACACATTACACAATATTCTTTAGAATACAAATTTCCTAATAAGCATCTGTAGCTAAGTGAAATTTTGTTTTGCCAAAATGGCACACAGTCCAACGATGTGTTTATTTGCAATTTTCTGAAACTGTGTACAGTCATAGTCCAAATATAAAGTTAGGTACCAATCACATCTAGAAATAGTTTTCTGGCAAGCAAAGGAATCAATGAATGTCTCAATGAATTATACAGTTTGTAAAGTTTTAATATTGAAGTACACTGCTGCTGGAAGGTATTTGATCGCTTGTTGCATACATGTACATTTGATTATTACTTTAAAGGAGCCAATATATGTAATTTTATTGTTTTCGTGAAAGTAAACATTTGTAATCAAAATATATGTAAGTTTAAAGACGTAACTACATTCTTTTAGTAAATAAAAATAGATTTTTATATATATATATATATATTTACTATCGATGTAGTTTCAAAATGTATATAGCTTAACAAATTTTTATGTATAATGAATGGTTTTATAAAATAACAAATGGTTTTCTCATTAAATTGTTTTGTAAAGTATTTTGTTCTTTTAAATTATTACCCATATCTGCATTAAAAAAACGATAAAATTACTGAATCATGTCGAAATTACTTTGGATGTTATAATAAACCTGCAGCATAGGGTGGGCAATAATAAATGTAAATGTTAACATCCAACAACCTTTTGACTAAGGCTTTTAGGGTTGGAGTAATATAAGTTTGTTGTTGGCACAACTGATTTTGTTGTGATTACAGCAACGACCGCGGGTGCCACTTCGAGTGTCCACTAATCGGCTCGAGTATTTCAATGAATCAATGCATTTTCTAGGTAATCATCAAAAACTGAATTAAGTGACCTAAATTCCTAACTGATCGTTTGTGTCCTTTTCTTCCAAAACTTAGTTATATTATACAAACCATTAAAATCCACATTCAATACTTGCTATTATCAGCTTTCTCAACATATATGTATGTATCGGTTGATCTTTCCAAAGAATTTTGTTAAGATAGACCATTTTCTCCAAACATTAAAATACATTACCGTAATATTGTATTGAATGTGGAGATCAATTTCATTATCCTTTAGTATGTACTTTATATTTTGTTCATCATTTTTTTGTAATATTGTTAGATATATTACAAAGCAGAAAGATGTCTAATAGATGGTATTCTAAATTTATCTACAGTTGGCTGAGGAATTAACGCAAGAATATGGCATTGCTGAAGATGTATCTGTCAAGATTACAGCAACATATTTGAAACTCTTTAGAAAGTGTCCCGACAATGTGATTTATACCTTGGATGTTTGGCGCACAACTTTATGGAGTAAAGCGCTCGGAGAGAAATATTCGTACCTAGCAAACAGAATTTACGAACGATGGTTGTATTTAAGATATTATTATTTGACACTGTCATCAGATGTAATTTCTATGCTCAGACAGTTGAGGATAAAATACCACTTAGGTTTGATTACGAATGGCCCCTCCAATGCGCAATGGGAAAAAATACACAAACTATCGCTCGAGCAATACTTCGATATCATCCTAGTATCTGGTGATTTACCATGGGAGAAACCACACAGAGAAATATTCAGAAGAGCATGTCGATTTTTAAATGTCAAATCGGACAGATGTATAATGGTTGGTGACAAATTGGAAACCGACATTCTAGGTACTTCATTTTTATTATATAATAAAATTGAAAGTTCTAGATAGAAAGAATCGAAATATTTGATATCGTAATGATTTTATATTAGAAGAGATCCGATACAGCTGAAGACATTATTATTTTTATATAGGTGGAATAGAAGCAGGTCTAGGAGGTACAGTTTGGATTCCAATATCAGAAAAGTCACATTTATTAGAGGAAGATCCACAACCAGATTTTACTATAAGTCACATAACGGATATCTTAAATATTTTAAATAGCGGACCCGGCGCACCGGAACTCGAAGATTCCTCTTCAAATGCGTCCGATGGTAGCTGATGAGGAAACAAATCTCTTTTTTTATTTTTATTTTAGTTTCGTGACTAATTTTGTTACGAAACGTTTTTCATTTCGTCTAAACTTCAGTACCGTCGTGACTAAGTACTGTTTCTTATAGCTAACTGTAACATGTAATTTATTTTACATGATAAAAACACAACTCGAAGACATTATTCAAATGTTTCCGGTTGTATAGAAAAGAGTGAAATTATTGACTGCAAGATAACAATCAATAAGTGATATTGCATTTGAAGGAAAGAAGTCAAATCTTTATTTTAATTGCATTTGTAAGAAAAATTTTTTTTTTTTTCTTTTTTAAAGTTTTCTCATAACTTTTACGTCATTTGTATGAAATTATGTCTACATTTTTGTATGAAAAATATTCCCTTGTATAATACATTTTTGTTTTTAAAGTCAAACATTGAAGAAGCAGGTACGATTTTGCAAATCGTAACTGTACGAGTTTATTATAAGTGAGAAAAGTGCAACCTACGTACAAAGTGCATAGAGCACATTTGCATCTGTGTAGTAATATAAAAAAGATGAAAGATAACCATTTTAGTTTTATATTCTATGTGTACTAATACTTTCTGTACAATATCATGAACAACTATATTGTAAACACGTGAAAACATGCGTTTATGATTATGGTATATACGTTTAATATATAAATAATATATATTGTTTGAATAGATCACGTGTATATCTAAAACATGTATTTTTTCACTACATATTTTATTATTGTTGATAATGTAGTGTATATGTAGAAAATCAAACAGAACTGATAATGTAAAGAATATGGCAAGACTTATTTCTAGTAATAGAGATGTAACGAATAAAATGAACATGTTTGAAAAAGTTTTTGTAGGAAAGTGTTCATTGCAGTTCAATAGTTTTCTGTCAAGTATTTCTGTTTACGATTGGGCTTCTTTATGTTCTAGCATTATAATATCGCTGGTCGCGGAACTTTGTTCTTGTTTATTTTCTTCGTGTACATCGTTTAATTCTTTTAAACTGAACTTAAGTCGATTACTTTTGCCGGCCGTATCATCATCGTTCGATTGTTCTGGTCTTGCCTGAATCTGAAAAATATTTCTCTTGACACCACTGAATAGTTACGGAAAAGGTATAAGCTATTTACCAAATCTATGGAAGTCTCATCTTTGCTCAAAGCAGAAAGTCTCTTATAAATCTTTTGTGCTTGCGCAGGATTAATATCAGATTCTATCAACGATGAAAGTACATCTCTCTCGGTTACGACTATTTCCGGATTTACATCGATCAATACAACCGATTTATTTCTATTGTTTGATTTATGTAGATCTTTCTGTTGCTCGTAATACATTAACTTCTCGACGACCTTGTTTTCGTTTAAGACTTTCGGCGGAGTCGGTGGGCGAATTTTCGACACGCGAAATAATTGTTGAGCGTGAACAAGATCGTCCAGTTCCTCATCATCCGAATCGTCCGATATATTCAAAGAAAGCTTTAACTGGCAGATCTCGTACAGCATTTTATTCTGCCCAGAAACACACGGTCTGTTATCTTCCAGTTTCGATTAGACAGATTTAATTTAAACAATCATGAATAAAATGTGATTCTGACCATACTTAGAAACGATCTATTTTTGTCCAAATGCTTCTTGAACACATCTCGTAATTGTTCATCGGTATAGAGGCCGTCGTTTATTATTTCGCAAGTAATCTCGTATACAAACTTTGCATATTTTTCTTCATCGTCTTTTACGCACGTTTCCTGATTACATGTTACATCCGTGCGCCCTTGGGCAGTTTTAAACTTATCGTAACTTCTCGACGAACTAACGGTCATCGAAAGATGATTGATTTCTTGCGTCAAGAAATCGGTAGCGGTTTCATAAAGCATGGGATCTTCATCGTATCTACGTTCGAGCATATTCTCATAACATTGGATAAACCAAAAGAATAATATGTAACATTTGTATACTTTAAATTTCGTTTCACCTGTGTTTCAACGTGTTTTGAAATTTCAACGCGGTTTTTGTTGCTCGTTGATCTAGCGGTCGATCGTTAGGAATAAATGACTCTGACTTGTTATCGTCGAACTTTGGCGAGCCCGGATATAATACACGATTCTGCAGTCTTGATTGCGAACAAATCACATCATAATCGTAACAGTCGGCGAAATATTTCTGATCCTCGCCCTGGCACAAGTACTTTGAATCGTAACTCATTCGTAATAAGTCCTATTTAACGATTAACAGTACGACGCAGATTTAAACATGTAAAGTACCATTCTTCCACGAGAAGAAGGCACAGCGTGTTTACAATCCCCGCTCCTGTTGCAGTGACGAAGATCGGTGACAGCCAATCAGCGGATTGCAGCAAGAGTGGGGATGTAAACACGCTGTGCCTTCTTCCCGTGGAGGGACGATAGTTGTTACATAAAGAGGATGCGAAGAATGAGAATCTAAAGTAGAATCCGGGGAAGATCTTGTAAAGTTTTTGCTTTTGATAACGTCAAATTCTACGTAAATACAGGTGAAGCGAAGCATTTTAAATTTCCGTGTAATTCTTTCTACTTTATGCATTACTTAGGCGCCCTTATGCCCATATGTATCCTATACGTACGATACGTCTATTAATTATGACTATGAATCAAGTGAATAATTTACCGCTGGATGATGAAGAGTATCGTACGCCAATATATCGATTATATTATTCCTTGTACCTTTTTTCACAATGCGCGGCTTACAATCGGGTTGTTTGCAGAACCGTTTTCTCTTACGCATGTAGTTTTTGTTTTTAGCATCTACAACGCATTTCGCCATCAAAACGCGCCGTAAGTGCGAATTCATCGAATTGTACGCTGCCAATTGTTCGATATAGCTTTGTCCATTTTGATTGTACACTGCACTCGAAATTTGGTAGATCATTAAAAATTTAGTAACAAACGGTGTGGCATTCAAGGGAATAGTGAGAAAACAATTATACATATTCGTACCAGTACTTTTAAGATTAACTTCACTCCTATTGCATTTTGTCATTTTTTTCCGAGACGTTTACCGTGTGTTTGTATTGTTGCTTATTTAATTCGTGATCCGTACTGTACGAGATTGAAAAATATTTACTTTAATAATTTTGATTAACGTGCGGAAAAATTTTGTATGGTTTTAGCTGACAATCATGCTTTCGTGTGAATATATGCACTCGATGAAAGTGTTTTACTTTTGGTTGCTGAGCAACTTGCACGGGTTCGATCATAGATAAGGCATCGGTGGTTTTATTTCCATGCTTTTTATTCAATATGCGTACTGTCTAATTTCATCGAAATAGTTTATATCTAAGACTCGTAATGATCGTAAGATAGCAAGTTAGAGCCTCTGATGACAGCACAGACGAGGTGTACGAGTAGACCTTTCACCTTATGGACTTTCGCGGCCAAATCTGACTGCCATACCGACCTGAAAATTCGGAGGTGATTTTAGCGCCCTCTTCCCACTGGTGACGGTCAGTTGAGAAACTATTCCTTCGTCTGCGGTGAAATGTCTACTCGTACACCTCGTCTGTGATAATACTAGAAAAGTTACACTACAAATTACAAAGATAGTGCGTAACGAAACGTAGTATCAAGTTTTTAAGGCAAACATAATTGTTTTGAAGTATCATTTCTTAATAATCGTCACGTATTAAGATACGTGACACTATGTCTCAATGTCCTGAATAATCTTGAAAGGTAATATGATCTGTTATAGATTCTATGGCGGCTATGTATTTCAAATGATTCATTCGAATCTTTATTAGGTAGTAACGTGTTATTGTTTAACGAGGTAGTCGGAACTACGAATATATGAAATTATGTTTGCTGGCGAGTTAGACGTAACTGGAATTAACAGAACTGAAAACATCGTACTCGTTTATAGGCTCATATAAACATATTCACATTTGGTTAACATTAACTTATTATTATCGTAGTAAAGACGAAACGGTATACATATAGATCTTGAATGATTTAACGAGTACTTTTAACAATGACATCATTAATGATTGCAGTCTAATTGAAGCCATCCAATGACTAAATTGGTTAGTCATTGTAATATTAATATGGGTACAGATTCATATAGAGAAATTTTACAGGATAAATCTTAATATTTCATTTTAGAACGGGTACATTTTAAGAAAATAAAATAGTCCAAAGTAATGACCGTTAATTATTATGTATATTAATAATCTCATAAATTATGTATGTACGTATACACTCTAATAAGTTAATTACGAACGAATGATAATAAGTTTAACAATATTTTTCGTGTCGTCAATACATAAGTTACTTATAGTAATCAACAGCTGTTAATACCATGATTGAAAAAGGAATTGCATTTCGGCAAATGTAATTTACAAATGGTAAAGCACAAATTCATGTGTTATCATTTTTTAAATGTTTTATTTTGTAAAAGCACATATACGTATAAGTGTTATATGTCGTACTAAATTTTGTTTCAGTTTAAAGATAAAACTGCATCAATAAGTTATGACTCATTCCTTTCGTTTAATTATCGTTTGCAAATTACCGGTGTAACAGTATAGCAGTTACAATGCGCATGCGCCCACTACCGTCTTCGTAAAGCGCCACAACGAAGAACTTCGTCGCAGTACGAATTCAACCTTCGAAGTGCGTTGATCGATCGTTACACGTGCGGAGATCTTATACATATATTGGCGTTTGGAGAAGGCAGTATGGCTCTCAGTAAGTACATCTTTATGTTAATAACATGTAGAATTTAGTAAATTTGTCGATGAATCGATTAATTTAGAAAAGATCGGTGTTATTACACTGAATGTACATCTGTAACAACCTGGTACCGCCGTTTAGCTACTATGTAGTATACATACATTGTAGCTTCGTTGCGACTGTCGGCATCTTTTATGTTTATACATATAACGGGTGAACCTAACGATCAAACTTATTTTTTCTCATAAGAATTGTAGTAGTATACCAGTTTCCTTATTTGAACATTTTTGTTACATACGCAATATTACTAATTCCCATTTTCCAGGTTAACGATTATTATGGTAAAGTAACTATGCCATAATTAAGCTATGTTATTGAACTACATTAATGGATCAGAATATGTACCATCTTAAAGAAGCGAAATACAGTAGAAAGTTCCTTGCGTGATTTTCCTGGTACATACTATGTCTATATTTATCGGTTGGATCCAATATTGAATTCAATTCCAGAACACGTACGATACTTCTTAACACAGCAGTGAAGCGTGACCTAAAATTAACGCTCTTTCCCTGTTATTCTGCATATGTTATTATTTACATATTGTTTTTCATATTCTTGCTCGCCTATTTTAACATTTATTTAGACTTCTTTCCCAGGTCTGCGTTCTTTCCGTTGCAATTTTACCAGATGCATGTACCGAACTTTCAAGAATATAAATCGATGTAGCCAAGATTTACGACAGCTCAAAATCGTTTGTAACGTCTGTCGATGATCGATTCGTAGGAAGTAGCAAAGAAACGGATCATGTTTACTCGAGGATGCCTCAGCGAACGATTTCTTGTCTAGTATACAGCTAAATATAGTGAACGGGTGCGGTTGTGCCGGTTTGACAAGCCGGCCGGCCGGCTTTCGAAGCCACGATGCGATTTCACAAAACTACTTCCGCGTAAGTTTGACCGCAGTCTCGAAGATGACTTTGGTTAGCCTACAATTCTGAATGTTATGAAACTACGAAAATCTACTTATATATTTTTAGCACGGTACGATAACGTGAATGGAATCAAAGTTATTGTTCGAAACAAAGTAAACGTAGTTCAAACGTAGTACGGGTAGTAGAAGAGACACGGTAATCAAAGTTTCTCTCTGTTTACGTTACCGTTACAAATTGCAGGCGACGAGCGACGCGTTACGTACGTTCCTCAAACTTTACAAGAACCTGTATCGCTGGACAAATGTCAGTGGTATCGAAAGATGTCCTTGCGGGACATTCTTAACTTTTGCAATTCCGGTATCGCGTCATCTCGACAAGATTTCTTGTGTAACGCGACTTCGCATTGTTTCGCAACGCCACGTTCCCACTATTCTTGAACAGTCAGGGAATCAGTCGTCTCTTTTCTGGAATCTCGACCGTGGTCAATTAGATTTTAACCCGTAGCTGGAATGGCGTTCCCACTATATCCGTCGCGCCACATTGTTACTATTCTTGTCTTCGTATTTGTTATTCGAAGCAGCAAGTTTATAATGTTATATAATTGCGAAAAGTTGCAGGGCCACGGATATGTTTGTTTGCGAATTTTCGATTAAAATACGCATCAATTTAGTTCCGACGGTAACGTTTTCAGTTTCAGTACCTTTCCCAGCACACTGGCCGTGATACTTCCACCTTGCTAGTAAAAAGAACACAGTTGCCATGCGAGGTCAATGACAGCGTGACACGAATGGCTAGTAGACTTCATAGACGCGGCAGCCGTTCAACTATTGGTAGCCGTTTCTCTTGCAATTAATTAACGCGAGCCCATTAAGCGCGGACAGTCTCATGCAACTTGTTTTATTTCACTTGAATAATCGAACCACCTATTTCGTTAATTGTTCATTAGACCAGGCTGCTTTCGAGGATCACATTAACGAGTCACAGTATTGCACAAGGTGTTCCAGCAATCATAATACAATTGGGGAGAAAAACTATCGGATACGTGATTGTAGATTTCCGGTGTAGCTCTGTATACAGCTACACGGTAGGATTTTAAACAATTTGCTCGAGTAGAATTAACCTTGGAAGGTAACTGTCTAACGTTTATTTACATAATCATTGCAATCAATCGCTGTACAACCATGTTTCATCTTTAGGGAGAGTAATGTTCCCGATTGTACTACAACTACCAGGATAGTCTTCCATATCCGTAGTTCGTGGAATATCGTGAACGGTGAAACGAAATAACCAACGGCGCTCATCGTTGCGCAATGGGAAATTGACTCAATGGCTCTAATTTTCGCATTGTTATGTTAATTGTAAACGTAACACGCCTCGCACGATAAAGGTCTTGTCTAATCAATTTGTCGTGCGGTATTAACATTCTGGCGTCGATTACGATTACGATTAGGGTTGCCACATACTTTCATGCAGGGCGTTCTGCCACCCATGGGAGATTCCAGAGGCCAATGCAAGACGAAAATCGAAAATATCAATTTTTTAATTGAGTTGTTAAAAAGTTATTAAAAAATTAAATTAAAAAAATTCCAAATCATTCTAAAAAAATTATTTTTAGTTGCAGGGGTCAATTACAATCATTTTTGGTCATTACGCATACCCCCGAAATCCTACTCAATTTTCAGCAAAAAATTCCTTACCGAAAATATAGTTTGTGGCCGGAAGTGTTTCTATAACTTTTTAACGAAGCCTCGATCAACAAATTAGTATACTTGATTTTCGTCTTATTTTGGCCTCTAGAATCTCCCGTTAAAATTTGCAGGGCGTTCGGCCACCATGGGAGATTCTAGAGGCCAATGCAAGACGAAAATCGAGAATATCAATTCCTTAATTGAGTTGTTAAAAAGTTATTAAAAAATTAAATTAAAAAAATTCAAATCATTAAAAAAAAATTATTTTTAGTTGCAGGGGTCAATTACAATCATTTTTGGTCATTACGCATACCCCCGAAATCCTACTCAGTTTTCAACAAAAAATTCCTTACCGAAAATATAGTTTGTGGCCGGAAGTGTTACTATAACTTTTTAACAAAGCCTCGATCAACAAATTAGTATACTTGATTTTCGTCTTATTTTGGCCTCTAGAATCTCCCGTTAAAATTTTTCTCACGGATAGCCGAACACCCTGTATATAAAAAATTTTCTGATCGGTTCTTCTGCATTTTTAGGCTTCAGGCGATGAGATTTTGATCGATAGTAAAAAGCACACAAAAATTCGCCGTATCGAATAGCTCGAGTCGCCGTAGCACCGTTATATGAAGTAATTGGCGTCGAAATACCAATGACATCACTTCGATGACGTTTTCTTCGACCTCGTCCAACGTGGCATTCTACTATCCTTGATTCTCTTATTGATACCGACGCAGGGAAGAATGTCAGTGAGAATGCGTAGTTATTTATAAAATCTACATCTTATTCTGTCCGTAACGATTACACCGTCGCAGGTCGCAGTTACAGGTCAACGTTTTTAAACTCCAACACACGTAACGCAAACTTGGACATTACGTAGTCGCGAAGTTCAGATTCCAAACAAATCCGTCCAACGTAGTCTGTTAATTGCACTGGTCGCGTGACTCTTATTGGTCAGACATTTTCTAGTAAGAAGCAACTCATTAAAAGTTACATTCACGAACCAATGACACCAACCCGGTAAACGCGATAAAAATTTGTTATACAACGTGCTAATTCACAGAGTCATTGTATCGTCGAGAAATTACTAACGATCTTCTCTCTGTTCGAAGAAGTATTTCTCATTTATCGTTTGCAGAAACGACGACCCCCCAAAATTACTTAGCGATTCGCAACGATGACACAATGATACCAGCGACCAGCGCACAACCTTCGTGACACAAGTCACTATTTATAAGCGTTGCGTTCGTTTAGCAAAAACCTTGTAGTATGCGTATAGAAGCGACCGTTTCGATGACTAGTAAGCGCGAAAGCGTACATTGATCGTTGCGGGCGATCGACGATAGAGTACATTTTTTTTTTCAAGATCATAGATCATTCACAGCCGACCAGTGTACTATCGTTTAACAGGATAGGGCAATCTAGTATTAGAAATCTTCTAAAGTGAACAAAATAAACGTTTTCTTTTCCGCTCGAACAATGAGTTTACATCAAGAGAAAACAAGCGCAATGATTCGACGGGACATCGACGATCACTGACATTCAAATTCGAGACTATGTTCGCTTAGAAAGCAATGAAACATTTTGTGGTTGCTATTAACCATTCTCAGTTAAAATTACTATTTATTATTTGGATATAAGTTATTGTTAAGTGATAGAGTAAGAGTGATTGTTTGACGTTAAGCGTGATACGTAATAAGATCTTTGATTGATGATTTACGCTGGTGGGACACTGTTGGATACGCTCGATCAACGTGCTTTAATGAACGTAAAATGTCCAGTCTTTATCAGCAACTTCTGCCGAAGAATTTTATACTGAAAACGTTCGTGATAACGTTGATTTTTATGTACACGGATCTGGGATGTCATTTACGGTCCTTGTTTCTGCCTTCAGGTAAATATATTACTCCAGACATATTAAGTCGCGGAAAAAGACCAGTTCGAAGCAATACATTTTATTAGATTCAGTTTGAGGACTGAATAAATTCTAGTTTTATCGAGCCTTCCGGAACCGATGTTAACGCTACCGCGATCCAGACTTGTAATTGTTGCGAGCACGATATATCGATCGATGACGAGTCCTGCATTGTCCTACTTTCGTTTCTTATCACACCACCGGCTGATCGGCGTCTAGACGTCTGGGCGCTCGGTCTAGCAGCACTTGCCCCAGTTTCCGCGGGTTGAAAAATTATCCTGATTGCTCGAATTTCGACGTAAAACCTCCCACTGATAGTTACGTCACTGCCCTATAATAAAGTGGGGGCAATTTAACGACCGACCAAAAAGGTAGACCGAATGTCGCCTCGAGGATCGTTTCGCGTGACATGTTTTGGTACTTTGGGTATTTCAACTGACAAGAAACGACACAGATTCTATCGACGATTAAAAAAAATTACAAGAAACTTTGTCGAATGATTTCTCTCTCTGTTTTCCAGCACTTAACACCGACGATAAATTGGAGTACCGCTTCTATCCGGCTGCGACTAGGCAGCTTCAGTTCCGGGTAAAAGCGGCCAACGATGCTCACGTCGCGCTCACCACGGGTCCTCAGGACTCACAACCGATGTACGAGGTGAGAAACATTGGATACGAATGTGTTTATCTCTCAGGAAAGTACTACGATAATGAACTTTGTGCTCGTTGAAACTTTAGGTCTTCATCGGTGGATGGGGGAACAGCAAGTCCGTGATCCGTAAGAACAAATCCAAGCCTGATGTCGCGGAAGCGGACACGCCTGGTATTTTGAGCAACGACGAGTTTCGTGGATTCTGGATCAGGTGAATGGGAACACTTCCGGACCTAACCAGACCTAACCCAGACATAACCCAGTCCTAACCAGGAACTGGACGTGCTTTACCCAACGTTTAATATTTACTGAACTACATATAGAACAATTTCCACCTTTTATACAACAATTTTGTTATCGATAAATGCTATCGTTTGCAACTGACTGTTACGATGGTCGTTTCAGATGGGACGACGATGCCCTTTCGGTAGGCAAAGAAGGCGAAGCGAGCGCATTCCTCACCTACACCGATTCAGAACCGTTAACCGTCAGTCACTTTGGACTGTGCACCGCGTGGGGTGCTTCTGGCGAATGGCTGATCGAAGGTAAAATGTTCTTTACGCTACATTTCTGCATCGATGCATTCCTAGAATTTCGAATGTTCTTAAGGATCGTTGCTTCTTTAGTTCCCTGGTATATTAAGGTTAAGGTTGAAAAAAGTACTTATTTTAACGAGAATAGATTAATGTTAATTTATAGAAATATTCTTAAATGCATCCTTTTCAACCTTAAATTAGATGAACGCAGCTGATTAGTTAGTTGAATATATTTAACGCTATCACGTAACCGATAAGTATTGTATTACGCTCGTTGGTTTTGTTATTCGAAAACTAGTTGTCCTTGCGAACGTTCCACGTATCGGTGATTTTCAACCGGTAGTATGCGTACCACCGATCATACTACCGGGCTCGATTTCATACGATTTGACAGAAACGCGAGAAAATAAAAGAATTAAGAACCGCCGGTATGTATTATTGTGGTAGATAATCTATTTCTGAACAGGATAAACACAGTGTTACGTATATTCGGATCGGTATCACGACTACATATTAGATTACCGTTTGCAATTTATTAATACGATCTTCTTCCTGGTTACTGTATTGGATGTTGGATACGGACTCTACAAATGCATCGTCGTCCGCACAGCCATATGTGTCGGTAGTCGAGGACATCGTACGTATAGTATACGAGGCCTGGCCGAAAGACGTGGTTTTGCATCTTGCCTATTTAGATATTTTAGCTTCTCTATTCCAGTTCGTTTGATTTAATCCCAGCACGTTTACCTCGTTTGCTACGAACGGTGTCAAATTAAAAGTTTCAACCTTTAAACTCGCTACCGATCTTCTGATTCTATAATATTTTTGTAATTTTAATTAGACGCCGTTCAGTCTCAGTGAAATGTGCACGAAAAGTCGCCTCTAGGGCATAGTCGCGCTTACCCCGCTTTACAACGATCAAGAAATCGGTTCTTGCCACTCGAAACTATTCATCCATGTATTTGTCCGCCAGCGGAAGCTCGTAATAGGTGAAACGACTTGAGAAAGTCGAGATAGGATCGCTAACGATTCGGAAACTGGGTCACCGAAGGATTTTCTATCAGCTCCCGGGGAGCACCGTGTTTGCCCAAGTATTGATCCTTAAATTTCTTTGATTCTCACAAGGACAAACGAATGCTCTATACACGCGGAATGATTTGACCTACAAGTACCATCCAGTGCGAACTGGTGGCTCGGTCCTCGTCGAGGTGAGGGCCAAGAGTAACGCGCACATTGCCCTGACCAAACAGAAAGGCGAATCTACTCCAATGTACGAAATTATGCTTGGAGGCTGGGAGAACACGGCGTCGGTCATCAGATACAATCGCAAACAGCCTGACAAGGTTCGATAATCGACGAAGCTTGAAAACCGTTTTCGTTCCTTTAATCCATTGTACCTGGATGTTTAAACTATACTTTCTTCTTTCGAAACTGTGCCCGTGAGCCTCACAGAATTAAGAACTACTGGCCCCCAACACTCTGTATAGAATTCACTATAACAATGGAATATCCAGAGACAGTCACTTTTCAATTAATTTAGCTAACAATGGATTGGACAAATTGGTACAATCGACTTGTTCGTTCGATCGTGATAAAATTGACTTTGCAGTTACGCAACAAGTATTTCGCTACGCCAGTTTGGAGGCCAAAGGGTTTCTAACAGTATAAATAAGCATTCTCCCTCGGACGGTGTCCGTTGCCACGCGAAAATTGATTACGATCTTAACGAAGGACTTAAACCTTAGATGGACAGGTGTATTATTAGGGCACAAAGGTTTAAAGGAATTCGAGTTCCGGTTTCCGGTAACGCAGCGAACGTGTTCCCCTCTAAAACGGCTGATTTTGCGCCGACAGGTGCATATGAGCACGCCAAACCTGCTGAACGCGAACCAGGCAAAGAAGTTTGCGATTTCTTGGCTCGACGGCCTTATCACGGTCAGGACTGGCGATCTAAACGGTCCTGTGATCATGGAATGGCAGGACCCGAAGCCATTTGACGTGAACTACGTGGGCGTGCGTACCGGTTGGGGTGCGACCGGAAAATGGAATCTTCGAATCGAACATTACCCACCCCGGTCCGGTTCCAAAAGTAATTCATCCAAACAATCTGTACTTTTTTTTTTTTTCTTCAATTTTGGATTTACCATCTTCAATGGTACAAGGTCTTTGATCATCGCTGTGAGCATCCAAAGCTTGTTACTTCTTGGCCTTGATTGTTCTAACCAAGGCTGAGAATCGTGGTTAAGTACAAATCGAGGAACGTAGGATTCGACGAACGAACTATTTCTGCTTCGAAAAAAGTTAAATAAAGTTTTCGTGTACCGAGAAAGCAGAACCGACCCCGCGAATCCTATGTTTTAAATCTGTACTTTCGAGCGAATGGTATAAACGGTGTCAGCAATTGCTTCGCGTGGAAGTTTCATCGAATCGATACCATCTCCTTTCCGCAACAATGCAGTTTATATTTTCCACTTCCTCTCTTCGACTGCATTCACGGATCTCGGGATCGTTGAGTAATAAAATTGTCCGCGTTTGGGTGGCCTGTAAAGACATAAACTTTTTAGTATGGATAACAGAGGGTGGGTTAGAGGACGGGGGCTTGAGCGGCTAATCGAGTTTGGTCCGGCTATAGTTTTCTCGTCTTACTAACAGCACGCTGAGTCATGTTTTTCATATACAAATTGCTCTAACACCAGCATGTTTCACTAAATGTGCCGAGATCGTCGTATCGCTGTTCCCTGCGGACGCATCGTTTTTATCGTCACCTTCGACCCTTTTCAACATATTCTCGTGGCACGCGATTCCATCGATCCATAATTGCCAGAGTAATCTCGATGAAACGAGACCATCGCTTCATTAGCATTAAATTATCGATAACGGGACTATAAACGTTTCTTTTTCAATGTTGTGTATTTTTTTTTTTTGAGTACAGTGCATGGAAGAAAATGTCGCATACGTTCCGACATCTGAAATATTAAATTTGATCGGTGACGTGTAAGGTATAATTATTTATAGTTGGAGAAAATTATTGTTTTCCATCTATGTGTGTTGCCTCGCACCACCGATTAATTTTCTTTTTTCGTCGGAGAATAACCCACTTACCATGCATAAATAACACAGGAAATAATTAAGAAGCGTTCCCCTCAACGTCTGTTTCGATATCACCTGCTTGTAGAAGGTCCATCAGCACCGCCGGCGGAAGTGGGAGACGTTATTTGGTGCGGCGCGGTTGGTGGAATGGTACCCCCAAATGCCATCGAAGGTGGAAGGGACGAGGAGCCCTTATTCGTGGGAAGAGCTCGCCACGAGGGTGCCCTTTTGCCAGGAAAAGTGAAGCCAAGCCACTCTGTTTGTTACGTTGCCTGGGGCGGTCAGGAACATGGAAAGTCTGAATACGAGGTAATGCGAATTGTAAAAATTATTTCATTTAAAATATAACCTTATGCTATTTTAATTTTATTTTAGGTTCTCTGCAGCGCCAACCCTCCTACGTGGGTGCCGACCAGCGGAAATAACATTCCTCCTAACGCAATTCCCGCTGGTGAATCCGAAGACGGAGAAACACTTTACGTCGGGCGCGTACATCACGAGGACACTTTGACCATCGGCAAAGTGCAACCATCTCACAGTGTTTGCTATATACCGTTTGCCGGTAGTGAAGTTGGTTTCCCCGAATACGAGATCATGATCTGGCAATAAACGACGAGAAAACAATTGAAAGACGCACCGACTTGTCGATGAATCCTCCTAATTGTTTAAAATAGCCTTAGTTCTGAAAGGAATTATTGTACGTATTCCGTATGCTTTTCCTCACAAAAATCCGTTCCTCTAATAAAAGCGAATCTATACATTTTGCGATCCAGTAATGTATTTAGCGAAACTCGATAATTGTCGGTATCTTATTAAAGGGGAGGGATGGAATATATATAGTGCAAGATTATGAGAATCTCATATGTGTGCAAACTAGTCTAGTTATGAGTGGGCGGATTCGTATTCATCGATCAGTCGGTGTATATACGTAACGAAAGAGTACACGCAATTGCAATCACGCTGTATAAGCGCAAATCAAACTGGCTATACATGTAGTTTGATTATGTATGCTAATTACTTGTTGTTAACTCCAGTTTGAGCATTTATGCTGTTTGAATAATTGTTGCCTTTAACTCGTTCCTGTTCAAACGAGAGAGCATCGCAAAAATATGTATTCAAGAGCTATATAGTTTTTTAACGCACGACAATTTTTCGCTTTTTTGAAATCATTATTTTTAGAGTCTATATTGTTACAAAACAGAAAATAAATACTTCCAAATATCATACCGGTTATTTCCAATTTCCTTCAGATTACTTACGAGCAACGAAAGTATGTAGAATGTTCAGTGATGTGAACTCGACAAGTTTAGAAACTTAAACTTTTTGGCGCGAAACTTATACTGCCTCCTAATTTCAAACTATGGCTCGTTTCGAATTACTGTGGATGATTTGATCATACACATTGATGAATAAATTTCACAAAACATACGTGTAGAATGTGTCGAAATTTTTTGATCGAAAAATCAATTTCTATGTAGATCATGCATCCAAGGATTAAATTACTAAAAAATTATAACTGTAGCAGCTTTAATCTCTTAGCACGAAAGTCAATGATCAGATGAAATCCAACGAATCATTGAATTCTAGTGTTTCTTTTCAATGTGTTTCTCGTGGTTAAACTGCCCGTTGGTTTACTGTTTCCATTCTGATAAGTCGGTCCGACTGTCGGAATTCGGATTTCAACAATGGCGGCCGATCCGTCATGGCCTACCGTTAAATGTCAATTGGTAGAGAAAATTTTAAAATAGTGGTAGTTTGAAAGTGTTTAATCTATAAAAATGGCAGCAGAAGAGCCTGCTACTATCGACGATGGTATCGCCGAGCCTGGTATTGAACCAGGTGCCTCTGCAGAAACGATGCTTGTTACGACTGATAGTTTCGAAGAGTACGAGCAAGAAATGAGTAGTAGCATCGACGATAGGCACATGAAAGAAAGCACAACGAGCACTATCTCAGAGATTCAGGAAGACGTGCAAGACATTCCTACGACACCTATTACAACCAGTCCACGTAACCTCGAGAAAACAGCTTCTATCGATGATTCTGAATTAGTACGTTTCATAACCTCTTCCATAATGAACACTGCGAATAGATTTAATGTAGCAACAACTGTATTAAATTAAAATGACGATGATTGTACCTAGTAATTCACCATAGAAAGAAATCGATACTTTTCTAAAAGTTATAGAGCAAAGATTATCACATGATTTAACTAAATTTGTTTGAATTCTATTTTGGTAAAAGAGTCCTGATCTTTTCTGTTTTTCGTTTAACTAAGTTTGTGCATTTTAGGAGGATGTCGCGCATCGATTGGGACAAAGTAATTTAGATTCGGATCCCTTGCGGTGTAAGACATGGCTGGCGCAAAGAAAACATATATTTATATTGAGCCAGGCAGGAAAACCCATATATTCTAGGTATAGTTCAGAAGACAAACTAGTCACAGTTATGGGTGTTATGCAGGCCCTAGTTTCATTTGTCCAAGCTGGCAGTGATATGATTAGATCTGTACACGCGGGGGATACCAATTTCGTATTTGTTGTCAAAAGTCCACTGATTTTAGTAGCAGTTTCAAAAACACTTGAAAGTGTACCTCAACTTACATTACAATTAACGTACGTAGAGTTTAATAAAATAAGGTTTAGTCCGTTTGGTTGTATTTTAACGCAATCTGATCTCATTATAGATATGTATATAATCAAATAGTTTCTGTGTTAACGCAATCACAGTTAACTAGAGTATATGATCAACGTAGAAATTTTGACTTACGAAGATTATTAACTGGCAGTGAAAGACTGATAGATCACCTATTAAATTTTATGGATAGAGAACCGGCATTCTTTTTAGGAGCCATCAAATGTTTGCCTTTACTTCCTTCGATGAGAAGTTCTATTACACAAACTATCATTCAGACGTGCTGTAAAATTAAGGTGCTACATTTAGCAATGTATATTGAAACAAACTAGAAAATATTTTACCTCTGTAACATTATACTAATAAGATGTGTACGTTACTTTTCAGAATTTAGTGTTTGCAATTCTTCTAGCTGATAATCAGTTGGTAACATTAGTCAGAATGAACAAATTTTTTTTACACCCTGCAGATTTGCACATAATTCAAAATTTGGTCGATAGTTCAGAGTCGCTTAAAACGGCCGAGAGTTGGACGCCAATATGTCTGCCAAAATTTGATGCTAATGGTTATATGCACGGGCATGTATCATATTTGTCAGAGGATTGTCAGGCGTGCTTGCTTCTGCTAACGGTCGACAGAAATGTATTTTATACACTTTCCGAGGCAAAACAAGTAGGTGATTTGTGTCGTTATTTCAAACAGGTTTCCTTTAAAGAAATGTCACTGTTGTAAATGCTAATTATCTTTATTCTTAGAAAATTGTAGAAAAATTGAGGCGAACAAATTGTTTGGAAGCAATTAATGAATCTATGAATAAATCGCCGATCACAACCGCTGATATTGGGTTACCGGAAATGCGACATGTTCTGTACAAATGTAGAAGTACAGCACAGTTTTGGAGTCCTGGACTTCAACCTCCATATACAACGGATGAAGAAATAGAACGGTAAATATACGACGATCTTTTAACGTATGAGTTTTCAGAAAGATATGCAATAAAAAAACTATCGTAATGATAAAAAATACCTCGATATGTCTATTTGTTTCCTGTAGACTGCTCGGACTTTATCAGTGTTTGCACCATAGGCTACACGCACCGAATCGACCACTAAAACTTATCTTTCAGCAATTAGACAAGGAGACCATGTTAGTGTGGGTAAGTCGTAATATAAATTAATTAAAAATAGTAATATAGTAAAAATTACTACTAAATTAACTTAAACATGTTTATAGGTAACAGTAGGTTTTGAATTATATATTACATTCGAACCACTTGTAACAAAGCCCGATGCCATTGAGGCAGTGAGTAAATTGTTGAAATGGATTAAAAAAGAGGAAGAGAGATTATTTATTTTAAATTCACCAACATTTTAAAAACGGATATAATTAGTAATATTTTAAAAAATTATTCACGAGACTAATATAATTTGAAAATGAGCATTGTTCAGTGACAATTTATATCGATTTGATGAATAGTAATTTGTTAATAGCAAAACCAAGCATCAGAAACGATAAGTATACCGATGCTCTTTCTCGCGTATTGATACTATACTTTTGCTCATTATTTTTAATTATGAAAAGTACTGTGAAATAAGGTACGCGTGTGAAAATGTATATATATATATTCGAAGACATTAAGCGTGTAAAATCGTATAGATTACATTTACAGACAGGCTATGACATTCTCAACCTATTTTATTATATGGTGCTTGAGAAAATTTGTCATTGTATTGTTGAAAAAAAGATTACTCTGAAATATCACTCTATATCGTTAAAAAAAAATGTATCTTTGGAACTGTTTTTTTTTGTTTGTTAACAACTGCAATGATAAATGTTCTCTACTATTTTGTAAATAATCCTAAAAGTAACGGTCAGCGTATCTTGTTCTTGTTAAGTCGAACAAATGATTCCAGTATGAATGAATATCATAATGTTATAAAAAAACAAATATTGTTACTTGGAACACATAATGTATGGATACTATAAGCTACTGTGTAGCATTTCTATCGACGAGTACTATAATTTTAACATGAAACTATTCTCTGTAAATGTTGCACACTTTTGTTGATCACGACCAAAGTGTAGTAAACAAAATAAAAAATTCAATAATTATATTATTTTTAATTTCAGACTCGCCTGATAATTAGAAACTTTTATTATTACGTCCTGTACAAAAAATTGTAATTCCAATGTTTCGATTTAATGTCTGGTTCTGTCGCGTTCTCGTCTTCGATCTCGATCCCTATCCCTATCTCTGTCCCTGTCATCTCTTCTGTGTCGATCCTTATCTCTGTCTTTTTCCTTGTGTGACGAGGAATGACTTTTTGGCGACTTGCTACGTTTACGTTCCCGTCTTTCTCTATCCCTGTCCCTGCTCCTTGATCTTTGTTTCTCCCTGTCGGACTTCTTGTCAGAACGTGAATGTCGTTTGTCCCTGTCCCTATGACGATCCCTGTCTCTCTCATGATCATCTGTTCTCTTACGGGTGTCTTCCTTAACAGGGGGTATATCTTCATCTTCCGATGTCTCTATCCCTTCGTCCATATCATCCTCCAATGCTGATATTTTTGCCTCTGTTGTAATTATTATAGAGATTAAATATTTTTTTACCATATATCTATCTGTCTATAAGAGAAATACTTACCCAGTTCGTTATTTTCTTCTAGAACGTGCCTTTTTTGGATTCTTGGCAGAATAACATCGCACGATCTTTCATCTCGTAAAAGTTCATCTATAAATTCATCCATGTGAATCAACTCAAATTGACCTTGTTTATTTTGCTTCCTCAATTTTCTATTGTCGTTGAACAGCGGTTCCAAGTATTTATAACAATCTAGAGATGATCCTGTTAATCTCATGTACAATGCTCCCAATGCACGAACATATTTAAATTCTTCATTCTTTATAAACTCAACTATGATGTCCTTCTCAGGTTGTATTTGAAGCATTTTTAGTATAAGACAAAGGAATGGTGTTGGTTTCACATTTCCACCATACACACCACCTATAAATCTAAAATGCATTTATTTATATCAGTAACAGGTTACATTTCGATACAAATTAAAAAATTATATATGTATTTATCAGAAATTCATAATCACATATACATGATACATAAACATTTAAACAATATGCCATGTATATAAAAACAACATTTTATTTAGTAAAAGACGTTAATTCCACAGTAAATATTTACTAACCTTAATTCCATAGCTTTATCAACTAAAAGCTCCGCAGTTAAAGCAAAACATTCTTCCTTCCAATATTTCGAATCATATACTCGAGATCTGATTATTTTTTCTACCAAATATTGAGGATTCGTTCCCCGAATAGATTTTGCATCCTTTACAGTTCGATTTGCCATTTTAGATTGCAAGCAACACTACTTTTAAAAGCATCTTCATACACTATACCAGATGACTCAAATGCTACGAATATTAGAAAATATTGTACAACGAAATATAGGCTTAAGTGGTTTAGTTTAAGGCATGTATAAATATAGCGAAAAATTAATAGTTTCAGAAAATGTGATTCTAAATAAATATTCAATCCATCTACCGAGATCAATATGACAAACAAATGCAACAATTCTGTCTGCTATTACATCGGGAGAATGTTATATGATTCTATGAATGTTTATGACTCTTTATCGGTGCCTTTATTCAACTCTGTTCCTTCGTCGGTTGCTTCTTTGACAAACGATTTATCATAAAAAATCTTTATTAATGGAAGGTGATTGAGATTCGGTTAGGGTGGGTCTCCTTTCGCAGCAACCTCCACGTGGTGAGACCTGGGTAATATTATTCAGCGTTTAATTAATAATCGTATCACTCTTAGCTGGGTAATGTAATTATCAATTAAAAACTAAATAATATTAGCAAATTGGCTGCGATCCGCCTTGCATAGGTTATCATAAAGAGCTTCTTCGCTAGATTAGTTTTGGTTCTCACAATTAATAGCGCTGTAGTCTTATTTCGTTGTGAATTGATAACGTAGGGCTCGACACCGAGATGGTAAAAAGTTTCCACCAGTGCCCGGTCTAGTAACTTTGCCAGAGTGTTGAATCACTGTTCTATAGGGAATTTTTTTTATTGTATGATTTATACATGTTTCTTTTCAAAATTAATTTTTAACTGAATTATGTGTTCTAGATCAAATTTGCGTAAGGAAATAATTTGTACGTAAAGAAGAATGTTAACTAAATATACATGAAAATCGAAACTCTGGGTAATCGTGATTTTTTCAACAAGTTCGACTTTCAAATTCGTAGAAATCGGAGCAAGGAAAGTTATATACTTTTACTTAAATGTAAAGTTGAGCTCCTCTTACGGAACGTGTGTTAGCATTTTAATGCAGAAATTATACAAATGGTTCACGATCTGCTGCAACTACCTCTGAAAGAAATTTTAAATATATGTGCAAATCGTAGTTCGTTTAATGTCGATTCGAAATCATGATAAAATTCAAGAGCAGTTAGTATCGTTATTGCGTCACCATGAAAATATGCAGAAGGTGTAATGTCCAAAGAACGAAGTCGTTTCAAACTCAACTTGAATTTTTTCTCAGCCTCTTACAGCAAGACTGGTATGAGTACATTCAGTATCGATCTTAGACTATTCTAAACAAAATTACGAACATTCATTTATCAATACCGTATGTTTACAAAGCTGCTTCAACTATTTCGAACAATATATTTCTAAATCTGCTGGAGAAAGATCGATAAAGTTATCTTGTATCGTAGGAGTCCAGAATACGAGTCGACAGTTCCCTCTCTCTACGTCTTCACGGCGACGTCGCCTTTCTCTTGTGCCCTGGGCCCGTAAGAGGCCCCCATTCGCAGTCCCCGTCTCTTTCTCTCCCCACTATTCGCTCCTTCTACCTACTTGACAACCTCGGCTTACCTGACCAGCCATCTTGAGCTGCACAGAGAGCTCTATCCGCAGCTTGTCCTCTTTAAGACGTGTTTTCCATTCGCTCGAGGTGATCAGCCGCGTCGTCTCGCACCCACGAGCCGCTATGCAAGCCGATACAACCGTCTAACCGGCGTATCTCTCAACTAGCTCGCGGTTCTCGATCGTTTTGTGGTTCCCCGTTGTTTTGTGCATTCCATCAAGTTCATTTCATTCGATTCTCGTAGAAATCGGCGAATTATCTCGGACCATTTCTCGGATAGCAGTTCGATATCAGTGTATTGTGAAGTTGGACGATCGGTAATTTGGCGCGGATGGTTTCGTCAGTGTCTTGAGAAAGATAGTTTGGTGGTAGAAGAGGAGTGGTAAAAGGTACGTTAAACGGGCCCCCCTTCCAAATTTGAATCAAAATTTCTCCGATATAAATTGCAACTTCTAATTTCGTTTCGCGATATTAAGTTCTCGCGCGGAATTCTTATTCTTCTTCGTTTCCAACGAAAACTTCGAGACCATTGTGACGCATATGTACGCGCCTATCCATCCACTGTTTACGTCGATTTTGCAGTCTCGGGCGTTACGAAACGCAAAAAAGGAATTCACGCGACAAAGCTTTTCGCGAAGTAACGTTCGGATTGCGTCAACGTTCCTCGTTCTCGGTTGGCAACGCGAGGGACAAAGACTAATTTGGAGGGAACGATGATAGGAACGCGGGAAATATGAACTGTGCGTTTCGTTGCATCGTTACCGATGAATCCGGCGGTGCATCGAGCCACAAAAGGAAAGGCTACACCTTCCGAACCGATCGGCGAACGTGACGGGCGTAAATGTCACGGGCGATGCTGGCACCGGTTTAACCTATTAACGCTCTAACCCAAGTACAACACTCGGATAGACAGGTATTCGAACGTACAACTGATACAAAATCTACCAAAAAGCAAACGAATTAACCATCTTTATTGTATTATTAACCGCGAGTAGCAACAAAAAGTGAACGTTTGCGACACGGAGGGGATCGATGACGAAGAAGATCGTCGATTCGGCCAGAGAAGTAAACGATTCTCGCGATGATAATCTTTGATCGCCGAACCCGGAACCAGCTTCGCCCGCAAACTTAGCAACGCGCGGAAATAGAGAGGAATTTTTTGTCGCGGCTAGGTTACGAAGCGAAAGCTGTTCTTTGTTCGCCAGGGTTTCGTTGTCTCGGAATTATTTTGTTTCGTCGTGTTCGCGATGTATTCCGTTCGCTTCCGGTAACCGGAAGGGGGCGTGGGCTTTCCATACGATTCATCCTATGGTACACGATCGTACGGAAACTTGACACGATTGTCATTTTAATTGATCATTTGGGCTTTAAATTTAGCTTCAATTTGAATTTTGTATTTTAATTCGGCGACCGTACGGATAACGGTTCCAATTTTACTACCGATTTTCGAAATGTTTATTGATCGAACGGTATCGTTCATTTAGGAAACATGGGATCGAAAATAGAGTACGTGGAGTCCTCCCACATGTACGCGACGAATTACATTCGTAATTCGAAGGCGATCGGTGTACTGTGGGGTATCTTCACCATATGCTACGCCATAATCGGAGTCGTGGCTTTTGTCACGCCGGAATGGCTCGGCGACCTGGAACACGAGAATCCCGGAAGATTTGGCCTGTGGACCAGGTGCAGCTACGGCGGAAACGGTAACGATCATTATCAAAATTCAAACCGACGGTATAACCGTTCATATTTCGAGAATTGTTTCTCCTGTTCGTTAGGCGAGTTGGGAGAGGAGTGTATCGGCAGACTGGACGACTTGTCGACGATCGTCAACGTTCCTTTCAGGGCGAGCACGATTCTGGTGGGCGTAGCGGTGATAATCGCTCTGTTGACGATCTGCGCGATGCTTTTGTTCTTCTTCTGTCAGAGCACGACCGTTTTTTACCTGTGCGCCTGGATGCAAGTTGTGTCAGGTAAATAAAGAAGCGAAGTGTATCGGAATTACACGGACAAAACACAAATTATTAAATAAATAGTCTCGAGCCACAAAGAGTCGCGTTTGAAAAGAAATTATAAATAATTTGAAACACTTCCGCCGTCCCTTAGACCGTTCCGTCATTCTAAAAGAAAGGAATATAATTTTGCAATCCATTGTTTACATATGATAAAAATACCATGTTTTATGAACTTGCAGACTCCTATTGACCCCCCCCCAAAAGAGATTCACACAGAGGATGGATCCATAGATCGCTGTGTTGTATAATCGACCGGCAAAAAGACAAAAAAAAATGAAAATTCACCGTGACGTTGAACGTCGGTTTAGAAAGTATAACTCGGCCGGACGTTCTATTGCTGTAATCTTCGCGTAATACCTTATCAGCGTGGCGTGGCTGAAAATTACAGCGATGCACCGGGGTCAACGGGTCAGGAAGTGATGCAATCGTTTCGCTTAGCACGCTCTTGTTGCGACAGAGTTTATTGTTCGCTGGTTTGAACGCAATTAAATTTTTATTCGGATAAGAACGTTGCCCATCTCCGTGGCAAAGGCAATGGTACAGCTCGTTAATGTTTTAGAAAGTATCGTTGAATTCTTTTTCATTGTGATCCGTTTGATATTATACAAAAACCATCGTACCCATAACGCACGTAAGTTTCAGGTGAACGAGTGTCTGTAACCAATCGATAGAATGCTTTAGAAGAACAGGGTCATTTCCATCTGGCCACTCGAGGATTAAATCTATGTGTTTTTCTACGAGTAGAAAGCTGTTTCTGGTCCGCGAGATCGTGCTTACGAAATCCATACACGTATAGCGACAATACAGCGAGCGAACAGGTCGCGATGATAATTATATCGCGGGATCGTCTCGTCGTGAATGTTAAAGAGAAAACCCCTGTTTTGTAAAACTCGAGGCTCCGCGCAGGTATAGACAATCGTTTAAGCGGATATGTAGAATAGACCGTTATAGCCGCGTAAGACAGCCAGTTTACCGGTTGGCCAACGCCTTCGCAAATAACACTGTCCGTCACTGTTACACGACGTTTCCGCGTAACTTAAAATTCGTCTCAAATCATCGAGCATATACTCTCTCTACGATTTTCTCCTCAAGAAACGAACCTGGACGTCCACGAATATCTTTCGTACGATTTACCGTTGTTATTGTAATATCTAAAGTTAATTGACAAACGACAATGCTCAATGATAAACGAACGGTACCGCCGGTTGAGGCCAGCCAAACGCTACTATATGTCTGTAACGTGCTTGTCCAGTACTGTTGACCCATTTGAAGAACATTGACATGCTTGATTTGTCCTGCAACAAGTTATGCGATGTCGATGGTCTTTTAATGACGCGTACTCCACGGAATGTCTATTGTCCTTGGGATCGAGTAAGATCATCTTCTACAAAAGCAACGCATAGCGTTGTATACAATTTTATTAGTAGGCTTGAAAATTCCGTTACAATCCGATAAAAATCTTAACTTTTAAAAGATATCTAGCGTAGATTTCCTATCGATCTTAATGGCGCAACGACGGTCGATCGAACTGGGTATTAACTGTATCAGTGGGAGGGAAAAAAAAAATGTTTAACAGGCAATCACTTTTACGTAACGACGATCATCGGTTAGAGATGAAAGTTGGATGACCGTCGTCGTTGATTGGCGGCATTACCTGCAATCGTGGCTCGTTTGTACGCCGACAGTGAAAGTTGCCCGTTGAAATGTGAATCAGCTTCTCGTAAAGAGGAAAACGTTTCACCCAGAAACGAAACGTACCTATAACGTATGCCAGTCGTTGAATCGGAAATAAATACTTCCCGTTTCCGCGTTACGCGATCGTTACGGACGCACAGGTGAACGGTAGAGAAAAATAGATCCTTCGAATTTTTATCTTTATTCCTTACATATTATTTGCGACGTTCGATCGAGACCTTTGCGGTTTCTAGCGATCTCTAATGCCCAGCCTTAGCCGCGCGTGGGAATTCAAAGTTCCGTCGATGCAACAGAGGCAACGGTGTACCGTTTATGAGCACGAATACCTTCTTCGTGAAATGATAATAAGCGGTGGAAAAGCCAACAGTCGTTCCCCGGTACCTTTCACTGCTGACCTCTTGTACAACATCCGTGAGGAAAGACAGTTTGAAATGCCAGCCGTGTTACATGCGCTCGTTCACATCCGACGATACCAACTCTAGTGTTCTCTGCATCCATTAAAACAAAATAATGATCCGCGCCTCATTAAGTTTTCTAAATAATAAGACGACAGAGAATAGTTACAAAATGCTAAGAGCAATAGCTTATGTATTTTTTTTTTCTTTTTAGCGATATCCATGGCCATCGGAGTTTGCATATATCCTCTGGGCTGGGACTCGCCTATAATTCGAGCCGTTTGCGGTGCAGCCGCGTCCAGGTATTAATTTCACATTAGTTCGATCCAAGATAAACATACTCCCAAGGTATAGAATCGAACGTTTTATACCAGCGTCATTTTAAATTTTAATTACTAGAAAATTCGTTATTTCCAAACACGATGGAAAATGTTGTTTTGGCAGATACAATCCAGGTGCTTGCGCTGTTAGATGGGCGATACCGTTAGCCGCGATAGCCGCTTTGGACGCCGCTACCCTGGCCGCTCTTGCTTTTATTTTGGCGTCCAGGCACGTCAGACTGCAACCAGAGCCTTTTACCAATGGTTCTTTGTACAAAGGTATTGTCTGGTCGATCAGAGTTCACGAGACGTTTCCCTACAGACAGATCGCCCTGATGTATTCATTATTTGAAACATGGCATATGGCGACGATACATTTGAAACTGGTATGACGTGTTAGAAAAATGATCTTCTTTGCCCGTCAGGTGAAGTGAATCCCGGATACGTGAACGAAGCACAGAGCGTCGCCGGATCACGGAAGTCCTTGTCCCTGAGACCTGTTCTCTTGGTCGCCCCGCCGGAACAGGACCGCTACAGCGAACTCTCCAGAGCGAAATCCCATTCGCATCATAGCCTTTACACGCCAGCGCCGTCTCATCCGGCGCACACGATGTCTACGAACACCTTGAATCATTCCCAACACAATTTTCAATTGTAGGGCAGTCAGCGACCCCGGGGATACATTGTACATAGGCCGTCGTATTTCTCGAACTTCCGATCGCGAGCTACGAAAGAATCGAGCAGAAAATAATTATTTGTACATAACGAGAGTTTCGGGATCTTCTGTCGCGTATCGACGTTTCCAGTTTCGAACGAAATCACGAAGAATCGATGAGAGAGAGAGAAACCTGTAAAAAAAATATGTTCGCAGCATATATAACTTTGTGTCTACGGTGCTGCGCTTTTCTCCCTTGTACATAGGTTCACGTAATTTGTAAACACGTCCGTTGTATATCTTATGTATGTAACGAAAATTAATTATCTATTTGTAATATTATGCAGGATGATTTTAAAGCGACGAAATTTTTACTCCGCGCCTCGGAATCGGGACAAGAATCCTGTGTAAACGCGCGTTCGCGAGGCTTATTAAAAGTTTCACAGGATCGTTGCTTATCGGGAACTTGCCCCCCTCGGTTCCGAGGTAAATTTCTCCATCATTTATTAATCACCCTGTGCGTACAGTAGACAGGCGTGCGTGTATTTTGTTTTATATTTCCAATAAGTCACTCCACGCTAATATCAAATTTTTTTTTTTTTTTTTTTTTTATATAAAACTTACAACGATTAATACATTTCTTTTCTTTATTATAAATATGTAACATAGAGCATTATTTTACAGAACGAGGATAGTCTTACATAGTAAACGAAAAAAAAAAAAAAGTATGCATGTATCGTCTGATAAAGACGCAAAAAACAAAGCGGGGGGGGACGCGTGATTGTTGGCGTGCCTGTGTTCGGGAACGTTCGTCAACGCGTTCGGTGTTGAAAGCGTTCCTGTACAAAACTACGTTTCGTTCCAATAAAGTGAAATTGAAAGCCGAGAGCCGCATTACTTCCATTCGTCCGCGCAAGCCTACGGGGGCAAAGTGTTTTGCCGTTCGTAACTATGACTACCGCTTTAAGAAGACGCGATATACGCGTGGGCCAGGACATTGTCGACAGCGAGTTCGAAAAGGATCGATCGTTTTGCACAACAAGAGTTTCCCTTATCGGTACAGAATGAACGACAAAGACGATAGCGCCTGGGTTTTCGACTCCCTAATCGGTTTCCTTCAGGGTCCGATTTGGTCCGCGCCTCTGATCACCTTCATAGAGGAAAAATCGCTCAGTAAGTCTTTCATTCTCGGGAACGAACTGTTTACTTTACACATCGTGGTTTGGCAATTTTTCTTGCTTTTTTGTCAACGTTTTGTTATCGATCCTTTCGTCGAATCTCGGCTGATCTCTTGAAGTATTTCATTTTCGAAGTATTCCGATTCACTTTCGTTTTCTATAAATTCTTTTATAGTATTCGAAGCGGGCGTCGAAGAAAACGACGAGTACCAGAAGATATATCAAGAGTACAAAAATTTGGTGGATTTATTGCTCGGTTGTTTCATGGAAGACATGGGGATCACTCCGGAGCAATTTGAGTATGCTTGTACCGTCAACAAATATACGAAAATGCCTATACAGTTTCAACAAGTAAGTTGAGTGTCGCGAGGAGTGAAATTAATAGCTCGTAATGGGAAATTTGTTGTTACATGTTTGTTATCACGGTGTAAATAATTATAAACACCAAGCGATTTTCATTTGTCATGTACCGCGTGTAATTAATCAAGAAAAATAGAAGGTGCACCGTTTGGTTCGTTCCGCGGTAGCTTGCGGCTTTACGATTGCGATTAAACATTTAATTAACGAATAGAAAATCTATCATAATGTAATGACTCTTGCTTGTGTATTTTTCGAGAACTTGTTCGAGCAAATATGGGCGGCGAACGAGTACGAGATATTCAAGAGAATGATGATACAGAAGAATCTGGAACTGCAATTGCAGGCATTGAACATGATCGAGCAGAAGTATGGTCTGACGCCCGCGTCCTTGATGTACGAAACGGACGGATTGCACGACGACACATTGGTCATGGAAGAAATAATTCAGTAAGGTTTTCGGATAATCCTCTCGTCGGTGACCATTCTTCGCGTCGAAGTAATTCAATTCCCTCGGGAAATACAATGGTTTAATATCAAAATCTACGTTCTAAATACATTTGCGGAACACTGAAATTAAGGATCGAATAATTAACAAGCGATTCGTGACGTTTGTCGTTTACATAGAGTTAAATAAAAATTTAGGAAAACTGTATGTAGGAAACACGCTCTGAGCGACGATCCGGAAGAAGAGCAGGACATATCGTCGGAAACGTCGCTCATCAAGGAGCACGAACGCTTGGCAGCCAAATACCATAACGAAAGAGCATTGTTGGAAGAAGCTTTGAAGGCGTCTCAGGAGAAGACACCGGAAACGGAATCCCTGTCGTCGCCGGCCGAAGAAGAAGACGAGGAAGAGGAGGAGGAGACTGGAAACGCCTCAAAAATCAAACGAACGATTCCGCTCGATCCGACACCGTCCGACGAGTCGAAGTCGGACGAACCAAATGTATATTAATTTATAAAAAGACGATTGCGTAGACGTCGCGAAGGGCCAGGCTGTCGATGAACTCTGTTGAAAAACGTTTCAGGTGTCGGAGGAGGACATAAAGAAGAGGCAGGCTTATCTGAAAGCTAGACGGGATAAGTTGGTGGCTTTGAAGAAAGAGGCGAGAAGTCAACGGTTAGAGATGAATTCGACGCGGCCGTGTTCGGCCAGAACGGTCGCCGAGGCGACCATAAAGGGGGAACAAGAACTAAAATTACCAGAGCCGCTGGAACCATCCATACTCCAAGTACGCAAAGCGCTTGCGGCTCGCCTCCAAGCCGAGGTTGTACGTAAGCAAACGAACTAATAATAATCCTCTGACATTTCAACATTAATTTAACGAAACTTCTCGATCGTACGGGGACGACAATGGTTTTTTGTCGGGGGAATGGTAAGAATAGATCATTGGAACTTCAACAGGGTGACGTCGTAAATGTTTCTTTTCGCGGACGTTGCATAAAATTAGAGCGTAAGTGATAGATAAAATACCAAGTCGAATGATACAGTCGGTGTGAAACGATGAATAAAGAGTTATTTCGTTTCACGTGATTCTAAACGATCTATCTCTGTATCGAGAAAAAGCATTTTTTTAAGTGAAACGTTAGAAACTTAATGTTACGGTTGCACACTCGTAGCTCAGCAATCTATTTCCGTTTGTGAGTACCGATGAAATCATATGTGAAGACTTTTAAGGTCACTTGCACTATTTTCTCTCAGGCGTTCGATGCGTTTTATACGGCATATTTTAAACCTAAATATTGCTAAATTAAATTAGAATAAAAAAAGTGAAGATTTCTTTTATAATAGTTGTTTGTATAGCTATCAGGAGAATGTGACCTATATAAATAAACTAATGAGAACAATTGCCCTTACTGTTTTAGTACATCGCTGACACTTTGTTAATCTTCGGTTTCCTATTTTGCATACGTGCCTGTATGCGTTTGAACGTAACGGCAACGTAAATTACGTAACACAACGTTAAAAAATGCTTCAGAAAAAATAAGCAGCAATACATTGGAAAATCTGTTTTACATATAATTATCTAATAGCATAAGTTGTATAAATCACAATGACAGTAGAACTAAAACTGATAACAATTACATCCATACAAAGGAACGCCTTTCCTTGCGATTAAACATTGAGGTAAGTTACAACTCCGTTCGTTAACCAATTCATCTAATTTTAGGTTTTATTTAATTAAATATTCTCCGCAGTTCTACAACACACTTCTATTCCGTGTAACGCACATTTACCATTCTCACTTTCGCTTAACTGTCCAATTATAAAGAACAAAATGAATTCGTGGCAGAATACGAGCATTTTGCTATTAATTCAAACTTCTACAGATTACTCTTTCCTCTGTGTTGTAATAAATTAAATTTAACTAAACGAGATACGTCGCCGTAGACTTTGATATTCCGAATGCAAAATGTTACGTGTCGTGAAATTAATTGTATTGCTAATTTATTCAATTTCCAGAACTTTTAGCGTGACTAACTTACTGGAAGATAAAACTTTGAATGTTTTAAATAATAACGATGGTGATTTAAAGGTTTCAGAGATAGTCTTCCACCACAAATCCAACGTCTCATTCTCGTATAACTCGTCTGATCAACCGTTCATACTTTACTGGAATAAAATGCAAAATATTCGTTTTCCACTTGTTCCTCCATTCAAATATTACCATACTACACACAGAACAGTCCATTATTTTTGTCCTTATACTTGCTCTTAATTCACACGTTTTACGAATAGCTTCTCATATAAAAAGGTGTCTTTTTCTGTGTACATATATGTGTATACATATATACGAGAATGTTCGGCCACCACTGGGATGAAATTTTAATGGGAGATTCTGGAGGCCAAAATAAGACGAAAATCAAGAATACCAATTTGTTGATCGAGGCTTCGTTAAAAAGTTATTAACGTTTCAAGTTCCGTCTGTAGAGCAGCGAATCTGCGAACAGCTGAATTTCATGTTGAATGTTTTACAGGCGTAACTTGAAACGTTAATAACTTTTTAACGAATCCACGATCAACAAATCGGTATTCTTGATTTTCGTCTTATTTTGGTCTCTCGAATCTCCCATTAAAATTTGTCTTAAAGGTGGCCGAACACCCTGTATATGTACGTATATGTATGCTGTATGTATGCATGTATATACATATACATATCAGAGAAAAAGCGTCTCGCTCTGTCGTTTTTTTTATATATATTTTTCATATATAATTAAAACGCATTAGATTATTAACACGTGATATTGTACAATGTGTGCAATGCTTTTATCATGTAATTAACATTACATCGATGTGACGGCTGTAAAATTTCTATTTGCGACCTCGGCACTGATCTTACACAGAATGTTTTAGAGTTTTCTCCATCGGTAGCAAGGGAACACCGAAATAAGTATAGTTTCAATAACGATAAACGGGACTCGATTACATACCAAACACACCTTCTATAACAAATCGTTCAGAAATACTTTCTAATGCGTAAACTTCGTTCTTAATTAATTAAAACGATAGAGCATCGAATATGAAGTTCATAGAAAATTCCGTAAACGGGATACAAATAATTAAACTCGTGTATCCTTTAAAGGGGGAACGGTAACGTAGGATCTCTTTTTCTTCCGATGCTCGAATACTCGAGTAACGCATGTCCCTGTTTTTAAAACGTAAGAAAATCAACTTTTATTCAAGATTTGATTGATACGGTACAAAATATCAAAAATTATGTTAAATACGCAGTTATCGAAGCACCGATAGCGGATACCCAGTAACGTTAAATAAAAGACAGCAATGAAAGCGATACGACAATGAACAAGTCTGAAACACTCCATATAAGTATGTATTAAATTTAGCTTAAATAGCATACACGACCGCGCTTTTTTTACTCTAGTATCACTTCGATATCGATTCTTTTCTTTTTTTTTCCCCCTCGTTTTGTTCCTTTCTTTACTTACATTCCCATACATGTTCACGGCGTAGCGTTTCTCTCTTTTTCTCTAAACTTTATTATTTCGTCCCTTGTTATATCGAATAAATTGTGAATATATGTAAAACACATAAAGAACATTACTCGATATCCTCTTAATTAATATTTAGCCTTTGTTACATTCCTTTCTCTCTGTGGTCAGTCCAAGTTGCACTCTCTTCTATGTACATATATCGCATTCAGCTCCAGTGAATTTGCCTACTTGGATATTCACAGGGTTCTGCTCTAGTCATGACTGAATTAACTTCCAAGCTTCTCCTCGGTATCATAAGTTAATATATATATGCATGTGTGTACATACGCGTACATTAATGCTATTTACGAAATGTCCAATATACATACAGTTCTAAAGCAGTCTTAGAAACTCTGTTGGGTATCGGTTGTCGTGAAAAATCTATACATTAGCTTATAATACTCCTGTTTTTTGCTCTGTTACAAAGTCAACTCAATCAATCAGGGGCATACGTTGAAATAATATCAATGTGGAGCACATTGCGGGGAAACGACATCAAGATAAATTTAAAAAATATAGACTCTTAATACCAGCTTTCTCGGTTGTATCTCAGTAGTACGAACTAAGTAGACACTTTTATCTGGAGCTGACTTAGATCAATGAATTTCTATTTATCATGATATGACATGTTAAAAATAAATTTCGGTAAGCGCCGTCCTACATTTTCTGCAGTCCTATATCGCTTGTTGTCTTACTGAATCTGAGTATTTGCTTTAATGTTTCGTTACGAGTCACGAAAGGAAAAGTTTGTTGCCTTGTTTAGAAATAATTTAAATGAAACTACGCGACGCTATAAATGTATTACATAATGAAATTTTACAAAGATGAAGTTGCACAGATATACATAATGATTTTTTTTTTTTTGTCCTTTTCTTTACAAAGCACAATAATGCTAAGCGACCTATTCTGCCCATATAGTTACGAATAATTTATACGAATAGGTTAGTTATACTTAATGTTCAAAAATTGCAAGACACTTTCACATTATACTTTTTACATCAAGGAATAATATCGGGCATGAAGTGCAAACTGATAAATATACACAAATCAAATGTTTATTGTACAATTTCTACTACTTACATTGACAACCGAAAAGCTCGTTCAAAGAACCTTAAAGGGAACTGAATGTGTAAAGGAATCGCATATTCTTTGCTTAACCCACGAATGGTTGTTTTACAATCGTTACAAATATACATATATATACAAACTAAATACTACTTCTGTTAAATTGGATAAAGTTTCATGATGTCTGACCCTCTTAAAGGATAGGTCTTAATTGCCCATCGCACGAATAAGAAATTTATGGATGGCAAAACAAAACACTTAGTTGTTTTTGTGCGGTACATCATGTACTTTTACATGTGATTTTTTTTGTTTTTACATAATAAGTTTCTTCTTAGTAGATGTATGGGTATGACGTACAGTCACAATTTAATTATTACATGAATCCAAGCACACGCTTAGAACTTTTGTATTTGTAAGAACCACTAGGCCTGGCTAGAGTTTCTTAGCCTATTCATGAAATAATTTCTTCTAGTACATGGGGTGTTTCCAGACAATGTGGAATGGACTATTTCTTTTAAAATCTTTTTTACTGTTAACACTTATGCGGTTATACAGTATTACACCACAATTTTATCATTGTATTGTTTTCTTAAAGAAAGTTCTCTCTTCCTTTTTTTTGTATAGCATTGGTTCATCGTTCGTTTTGCTTTTTTCAATTACATACATCCCATTTCTTAGACCCTTTTCACCCACCTGCGTTCGGTATTGATGCTTACATATATTATACACAACCCAACACAATGAGGTATGTCAATTTTCCACCACATTATAAACACGTATCCTGGTGTCCACTCACTTTAAAAGAACGGTTCTTCTTTCTGTTATAGACGGGGGTTGATTGTACGATCTCCTGATCGAGTCCTTTGTGCACGTAGGAGGGCCAGAAATGGTAGCAGCGATTAAAAATCACAAATTCCTCATCCTGTTCTCATTTGCCTACTATGACAATCTTTGCCGTTTTGGGGAAGGCGTTACCTCCGTATCCTCGTCTTCTTCGTCCGAATCGCCCTCGTAATCAACCAAGCCCTAAAAAACATATTTTATTAAATGTGCATCTTAAACTAGAAAGTAACACGCAACTAAAAATAATTACACATAAATTGTATCTCTCATGCTTTGCTTAAAGAAAGATGGAGATTTACCTTTTTAAATAATGCAGTGCCAGTTTTGTCTACCGTGCCAATAGCCGAATTTGGATTTATTTCCGAAGTGATCGGAGACTCGTTCGTTGCTGTTGTACTATTGTTGATTTGTGACTGCTGCGAGGTAATGTTATTGTTAGCTGTATTATTGTTCAACACAGATTGCTGTTGCTGTTGCTGCTGATGATGGCTTTTAGAATCTGCAAGAGCAGGATTAAGTGCAGAATTTGAAGTTGATGACTGTTTCTTAGCTGAAGCCGGAGGCACAAGATCTGCTGCTGCTGCGGGTACGACCGCCTCACCCTCGTCAAAGTCTTCCTCTTCATTGAACCACATTTCTTCTTCTTCGTCTAATTGTCTCTGGTCCCTTCTGTATCGACTATTTCTCAATATGGATGGAACACTGAATACAAATAACATCAAACGTATTATTTTCAGTGTAACAATAAGATACGAGGAATTTTTTAATAGATGAAAATACATGTACCTGTCAAGAGCTGCTCTGTCTCTATCCTTTAACTTGTCTTGATGTTGCTCGTACCTTAATTTCAAAGCTTTAAACGTTTGTACATAATCGATTGCTTCCAATTCTTTTGAAAAATTTTCAACAACGTGTGAACATAAGGACTTAATATCCTCCTAAAAATATACAACGAATTAATGCGAGAAACTTAATGTTACCACCATATAAATCTCTATCTCTTTTGACGATGAGAAAATAAAAGGTTTGAAGAAGAAATTTTATGTAAAAATTAATTAAAAAAGAAATAGAGGTTTGCAAGGTAATAACGCGAGTTACCTCATTTTATACATACACTTACCAATTTAATGAACTCGAACATTTCAAGAATCGCAGAATCCAACAGATTATATCTACCATTATTTCTTACAAATGCATCAAACACAGGTGCAAATAAATTCCCCTTGATAATATATCTATTGTAAAATTCATCTTTCAGAGCTACGATTTTTCTCATAAACCTTAAGGCGCACAATACTAAAAACGTGTGTGTCGATTTCATTAAAACCAGTATCCGTTTGAGCAGATCTTTGTTTAATATGCAATTCTTGATGTGGTATGTATGATGCTCTACACAAAATGACAGTAGTTCTAAGATTAATCCTAAAAGCTGTACTGTTCTATAATCTTCCCTTGCTGGTCGTTCTCCGATAGTGTTTGCTAAAAGAGGTGCTATTAATGTTCCAATACTATTCTTGTAGAAATAGTTTAAGAAATCAGTCTTTTCTGATTTGTTAACGGAAGCCAACATGTTTTCTGGATCAAGGAGCAGACGTAACACACCAGCTAGTTGTACTGCTCCACCCAACTCTGGATCGCTATCGCCAACGAGTTGAGCAACTATTACATTTATTAACATTTGGTCCTGTTCTGTATTATTTATTTGTTGCAGTGTATAATCTCGAACAACACTTGGAGAATATTCCACTATATAAGTCAATATATCTATACTGGCTGTTTTTGTTTGGGCATCGTCCATCGCCAGGGTAATTTCTAATGCAGGTAAAATACCAAGGGCTGTTAAAGTTTTATAAAAGGCCTCCTTTCCTTGCGGTTGAAGATTCTGAGAAAAGTTACAAAATTCTTTTAAGAAAAGAACTAGATCGCGTCTTTTACTATCAGATGTAGCTTCGTCCGTTAACTGACGGAATAGTTCAGTAAGGAATTTCTCGTCGTCCTGTATCAGGGTTACTATTTCAACTTTATTAAAAAATATAAAGCTACTCAGTGTATTCAACATATTATCTTCGAATACACTTGGGGTTGGTAAAACTACATCCTGAATGTATTGAACTCGATACGTTTGGTGAATTTTAGCTAGCAGTTCGGTGTTTGTAATAGGAATTGCTTGCTTAAATCTGGCTAATTGTCGAAGATATTCTCTATGCCTCTTTGGCTGAGGTAATGTTGGCTCGTATTCTAAACATCCAACAACATCAAAAATCGTATCATCGCTAAACATAACTTCAAATAATGTGTTCTTGTTAAGTAGGAAAATATTTTTAAATATGTCATAAAGATGATGCAACCCTTCAATGTTTTCTAGATCTTCGCACGTGTGAAACAGATTTAATAGTTTCTTAATGTAACCTTCTGATTCTAAAGCCAATGCCAATTTATCTTTCCTCATTTGAGAAGATAAGCAATTTCCTATCAGTTCGTTAATGTCTTCCAGGCGGCTCAATTCACACGGTGGCAATTCTATAGGAGGTGCAGCATCTGACATATCATCGAACCGTTCATCTTCTGATTCTTCTACAATATCTTGTGTAATTTCAACAGATGGATCTTTGCCTTGAACTTGACATATTTTCTCCCAAATTTCATCACAGCCAGCCTTTTCTTGAAAACTTAAGGCTAAATCAAAATTATCTCCTTCTGACCAAACTATTAAAGTATCCTGAAAAAAAAGAAAACAAATTACTTTTAATCTCTACGCCATACCTATAATTTATTTAATAACCCGATATTAATTAAAAAATTTATAATAATTATTACCTGTTGCTTTTGATATGCAGTGTCAGGTTGTATTCTACTTTCCAATAAAACAGAACCATCACTCTCTGCTCTGACCAAAAGTGAAATTCCTTTCAGTCTATCTACGTACGAAGAAGAAACATGACCTGTACCACGGTCGTCCCACTGTCTATCAGCATTGAGCGCATATAACTTTACTCTTCTGCGTGTATCCGTCATATTGTAAAACTAACTGATGCACACTGTTCGATATTATCACCAACAACCTTGCATCCCTTTTTATTTCCACCGACTCTTTGGCTTTCTAAAGTATTTTTACAGATAATTTTTCAACTCTCTGATGAATCGACAAATGCACAATAATCCACATGTATCGATCTGTCAATTACTCTCTTGTAACCCATTAAGGCTTTTTATTAGAATACCAACTGTACAAGACACAGACAACTCAAAAGTATATATGCCTTCTTTAAGATTCTGACTTGTATATACGATTACTCTCATCTAATAGGTTTGGTAAATCGAAGATATGACTGTTAATTAGTAAAAACGCCATAAGGAATCTTTGTTTGTTTCTAATAATAATTAATAACAGGCTTCGCCAGCCAATCTATTTGCTTAGCATTCGCCACTAATTGTACAATACCTCCTGTAACGAGCTTGCACGATACATCGAGTTTTGTCACTAGCGATTCATAAGATACAATGCAAACGACAACAGACCGTCGCCCAGCTCGCATGCCTTGAAGTTCGGTTGACGGAACGAGATTGTTTACCGTAATAGATGTTTATGCGCTCTTCGTTGCATAAGCCTTGATTCTTGCGCCAAGAAAACCTCTCAGGACGCGCGGGAAAACTTCACGTCGTGCACGTTTCCGCTTTCACGTGTCGCTGGTACGGAACGCAACGAGATCACGATCGTACGTCGAATCGGTTCGAAAAGCTAACTTGTCGCTGTAGAAGGTCAGGAGTGAAATTTGTTGCTGGGAAGACAGCACTCTGCGTGCTCTCTCACCGCTGTGTACAGTTCCCGCGACAAATGAAACGCAAATTAAAGTCGATCCTTTGGCGATACAAATACTCATAAATACGCAACTATTTTGCTCGATCCCCTGTGATATAGTGATCGCCACCCATGGCAGTTTCTTCGTTCTTATTAAGAAAAATCACTCTAAAATTGACATAGACACTGAACAGCCACAACACTACACTCCGCCATGTTAGATCACAACAACGCGCTACGGGGTTCGCCTCGTGTATCTCAAGGATTTTAGCGCGTAATACAATATTTCATCTTTACAGTGCATTATGTTCGTTAATTCAATACACGGATTGTTTCGAATAATACACGATCGAGCACGTAACGATCAGTTTCCTTATTCGTTGAAAATAAAATAACATTCAATAAGGTTTTAATACGATTTTACACGAAATATTTTATGGTCGTAGCTATTTATTTCCGTCGAAATTTGTTCACAATAATATTCAACAATCATCGAATCAGACATTTTTAAAGGTACATAAAGAAAGTTCGAATAAGATTTAAGTTTATATATCAGCATGTTTCATATTATAGTTTCATTTAACTGTACCTGTGTCTTGTGAACGACTTCAGCATTCTCATATAAAATGTAGAGTAATATTGCAGTGTTCGAGTATAAACAATTAAGTTACATTATAAAGTTATGTACATTAAAGTTTATATAGATTGGTGATACGGATCGTTAATTAGTCATTGAATGGATCGAACAACATTGATCAAACAAAAGCTAAACATAAATGACAAATTAACGAAACAAATTTAGGAATATAAAATATAAAATAAATAAATTTGAACAGTTTGGAATGTAATTTAATGCCATGATACGGCAATAATGGAAAAAGTATATATTGATGAATGCATTTCAACATTTTGTCAAAATTTTGAATATACAAGTTTTCTGTATATGGACGATTTGTACATTTTTTAACTCTTACGGTAAAAATGATAGATAATTTTATTTTTTACAAAAACATTCCGAGAATCGTCAAACGAAGGCAAATAATCGTTTAAGGAAATCTTATTTACTTTCGATAGAATCACATCGAGCTTGCGCATCTTCAATGTAGAAAAATGAGGTTATAATTATCTTTCAACTGATCAATAAAAGTTAGCAGATGATAGTAACTATTCTTTTATATATATCTTTCAATTCTTCAAATTTTAAACGTTATAAACATAATTATATGGTTATCTCCATGCATTACTATTTGCAATACAGCCGAATGTTGAAACTTTCATAATAATGTTATAACTGGTGACATTGTTTATTTGATTTTTACGACATTAAGTAAAGAATTTAACATACTTGTATGCTTTTTTAACGAGTTTAATGTTTTCTAAAAATATGTAAACTTAAACCTTACTTAAGTTTTATTTTCATTAAGTTTATCTTAAAATGAGTGTGTTTTGTTTTTTTTTACATATTTTGTATATTTTGTACTTGTTACATTCTATATGCTCGTTTGAATTTATTATTCAAAATTATTGAAAATAATTTTGCCTCCAATGAATTATATAAATGTATACAAATCTATATAATAAAAACAAAAATATTAAATAGACAAATAAATTTATTACATGTAATGACAGTTATCTAAAACAGTTATTTTTACAGTCACGTTATACTGACTGATATTACCACTCTCATGTACAAACACAAGCACTTCTTACAAAATATAATTTATAAAATCTATACGTCAATGTGAACGTAAAATAATAAAGACCTATAAGACAAATTTATGTTATATTTTTAATATAAAATTGTTGGGACTGAAAATGAGAAATCTGAATAACTTTTAGACAAAGAGTACAGAAACAATTTAATGAATACAAAAGTTATTCTGCAAACAACTTTGGAGAAATTTGTACCATTGTGTAAAGGATATATTACACGCACAAACTAATTGGGTACTTTGAAGGTACATATAATATTTGATGAAACTATAATTTCCCTGTTTATATTCTTTCTAAAATAGTTTACATAAAAAAAAAACGATAAATTCGTCGTATAACTTTTTGTTAAATCATTATCTGATACACTTGGGATTATTGATATTATAATGTAAATTTCTGCCTTTGAACTTGAATTTCCAAGCTCTTCACCATAATCATTATACATTCCTCAAATATTAATTATATCTGCAAACCAGGCCAGTCATTAATCAAGGTACAAACTAGTACATTATACAAGTTATCACATAATTTTTACGAACATTTACTCTGTTGTGAGCAGAGTTGAAAATTTTTGTAGCCTACGTCTCCGTAACATTTCCTGCTCGCTCGAAGAATCCACCTCATTTCTAATTGACGATTCTGGGGCTATATCGTTACTATTTGTGCCTGATAGATTATTCGTACTTTCACTGGAAGTATTTATAGTAGGAACATTCATCTCGGCTTGAGCCTGTGGATGCTCGTTCTCGACCCCAGAGCATGTCTCTTTTGATGTTCCTGGTTGTGTCATTGAAGAAACATCTGACGCGACATTTATATTGCTTGTAGCGGTTGGTACTGGAATACTGTAAACATAATAATTGTGACAATATTGTTTAAACTCTTGAAATTAATAAATAGAAAATGTTTACGAACTTAGCAGTAGCAGCTGCTGTTTGATAATGATTCATCATTGCACGGGCAGCATCCAATAGAAGCTGGACTCTTTGTAGCGTTTGTATTCTAGCTTCAACGGCTTGCCGCAAATTACCCTCCATTGCTCTAAGTTCCTCTTCGCTCAATTCGGTTAAATTAGGTGGTGGTGTAGGAATAGGAGGTAATGGTACCATAGTTGGAAATGGCGGTGGGAATAATGGTACACCGCCAGCTGCTAAATTCTGGAATGAAGTTGAAGGAGTGTTTCCAGCATTATTTTGATCTTGTTGTTGCGGTGTTGCTCCCGGAGCTTGTTGTTGCGGCGCGGCTCCTGGAGCTTGTTGTTGCGGTGGGGCTCCCGGGGCTTGTTGTTGCGGTGCAGCTCCCGGAGCTTGTAATCCGGCCCAAAGTGCTGGTAAAACACGAACTGTATTTAACAGAAGTAACAAAGGCGATAATTTTTCTTAACATTATTATGGAAAAATAAATAACTACTAGAGCCCATACCTATTGGATTGAATCTTCGAGCACGTGGAGCTTGATGCGCTTGTGGTCCTGCCTGTGGCTGATTCTGCTGTCTAGTTTCTTGGTTATTGGTAACTGGTCTTAATATATTCAAACGGCAGGTGGGACAAGTCTGCTGACGTTGAAACCAAGAACGTAGACAAGCAGTATGAAAAATATGATTGCAGGGTAATTTTTTACTTGCTGCAACCATCTCCTCCCTACAATAATGATACAATGTAAATGTCGAAATTGTTTAATTTTAATATTGTACTGGTATATACTATGTAAAGGTACAAATATATTACCTGCATATTATACAAACATTATCAGCAGCTGCCAATTCTTCTGCTGTCGCGTCTGGATATAGTGTATTCATGTTTCTAATAGCTCGACGAGACATTACAATGTCATAGAAAGCTTTTTTAAAGTCACGCATTGTATAATACATTGGACGAAGTGCAAACAAGGGTAAAGTATACAATTTGATCATCAGGGTGACGAAAGCAACATATAAAATGACCTGATACATCAAATACATTTGTTAAACAAATTTTATATGCGATCGAAGTATAGATGTTTTAATACATCTTTCTCACCTTCAATAATCCAATTATTAATTCTGTGTACAACAGAAATACTGGCTTGTTGTCCCACGGGTTTTCACTTTGTAGGTCTATCGTATGTAGTATGTACTTTACAGTGATATTAAACACAACAGTTAAAAGAATAGCGTATTCAAAACCAAATACAAGTTGTACAGAAGGACCTTTAGTGGCTGTTGTATTATATGCGTAATGAATCATAGTTACGTTTATAGCAAACAAAAGACCTAATAAATTAGCAACTCTAAGATGAAATAACCATGTTATCACTGGACTTCTTTCCATCTGAAAATTAATAAAATACGAAATTACATGTATTGAAATTTTACTTATATATTCGTATTACTTACATAATCTACACGATCTTCTGCCAACCAATGAAACGATTTCAAAAATAAGAGAAGTGTGAATAATGCTACAAATTTGGGACTGAAGTCATCTCTAAACACTGTAAATGCTAGACAAGTTTCAGTTACCGCATACCATATTTTTTCCAATAAATGCTGCAAATAAGTAACATTTTACATGTATTTCATACGTAATAAAAATCGCTAATAATATATACATCAATATATATATTTACCTCAAGTTCAGCAGCACGTAGTGTACCAAAAAATATCTTTCGCAAAAAAGCATTTATCATAAACACTAAAATTAAACCTTGCGCATAGATTACCTAGATTTAATGTAACAAAGAAATAATGAAATTATTAGAATGTTTAGAATCTATCAGCCAGTAACCCCTTAAACATGAAACGCAAAAACATTATTTTTTCTGTTTTTTTTTTATAGTAATTGTATCTAAAAAGTTGTGATTCGTTTGGATGTTATAATATTCATACGACAGATTGTATCGTTTCGATTGAATTTTCAAATACCTGGCGGCCGCCAGAAAGTGGAAAATCAACAAATTGTTCGTGCCTGAGGGGTTAAATCTAGTAACAAAATTTAGAAAAGAAAACATCGAAATTTACCGTCATACTGGAGTTGGATTTGGTTATGTGAACTACTGTTGGGTAAAACTGTTTTCTTTGATAATAAGCATTGCCTATTACAGCGCACGTTAGCACTGAACTTATTAGCATTATTCCAGCCTCCCGCATCTTTGCACCGGTTATTTTTTCCAACCCAAGGTTGCTCTTGGACAAAATATTCACTGACACTTATCGTACCAACAATTTACGTATCAACAGCTGTAGATTCGACTAGAATTAACGAGGCGCTACTATCAAAACGACGGTACCCGTAACTACTACGAAAACGTATTTACGATATTTTTATAGAAAGCAATCATCGGATGATATCGTTTTATCCCATACTTTTATTACCTTACGATCAAAGACAACTTTGCTTCACGATGAATATAAGATCTTTGGATCATAATTGGTTGCGTGCAATAAGCGTATATATTACGTTTACTTGACAGTTCCAGATGGGACAGACGGTACAACCCGATTGGTCGAATATAGGATAAACGTGATATGTTTTGTGCTACGTTTACACCACGTGGAATGCGTAGGTATTCATAGATTCACTTCGAAAACTAAATTTGTATAATTTTATTTATAAATAGACAAAAGGCAAAAGGTGTAGCATATATTAAAGATTTAATTACAATTTACAAAACATTAGTGTGTCGACAAAGTTTATTATAGATCTTATTTAAATGGCACAAACTTTATTTGATATATATGAATATATATTAAATTAGTATCAAATAAAGCCCAGGGGAAACATGTATATAAATACATATACTTCTTCCTATACTTTAAATTAGTTTCGATTCACTTGTATCGACATAAATTCTACAAAAAACGTTTATGTTTTTACTTAACATACTCGAGATAGGATTATTCTTTGATACGTATGTATAATAACTCATCCATATCGAAGAATACTGTAATCATTATACATCTAATTATACAAGTACTTAAATGTAAATATAGTAAAAATGTTCTATTACTTATACGGAGTTACTAAATTAAAATCTATATTGTTATATTTATACCGTCATCGTTTACTGTGATGTAAAACAGAATTCGTAAATGTTTAAAATCTTGAAAGCTTCCGGCAACTATTTGAACACATTTTTCACAGATTTGTACAACGTCGGATTAAATATGTCTACTAGCACTCCTAGTTGTTTTCAAAATACCTTTAGGATTTTGATATTTCGGTGTTCCTAATTGACTAACAGCCTTCAGAGGTGTTCTACGGGAATCTGCATTGGATTTTCTCCCCAATGTCTTAGCACTTTTAGGTGTTTTCACAGTTAATGGTTTTTTAATATGCGGAGTTCTACATAATGTACTGCCATCCACTTGGTACATACTTAACCTTGATTCATGCGATGTTGTATTAATAGGCACTTTTTTAACTAAAACCGAGTTTTCTACATTCATATTCTCCTTCTGATAAAGTTCTAAATCAGATGCACCATTAAGTTGCCTATTCGTAGTTACTTGCGACGGACTAGAAACATTTACATCGGAGTCTTGAGAAATACAATAACAGAAATCAGTATCTTGACGATTTAAATTTGAAGCAGCAGCTTCTAAAGTAACATGGGAAGAAGAATTTTTAGATATCAACTTTGGACTCTTGCTTTTCATACTTTTACTCGATTTTCGACACAATTCGATACTTTCGCAACATTGGTTTAGAACGTTTGCGAACTGATCGTTATTTATACTCGACCCATTGTTTTTTTTATTTGAAACGGAATTTTGCGTATGCCCCTTTGTTGTACGTTCGTCAAACAATTTAGCCTTGGCTAATACCATTCCCGCATTCTGAGTTCTTAATTTTGCAATGGACGGCCGTCCAGTTTGAATAACCGGGGTAGTCGTTTGATTTTTTGATTTAAAATATCCCTCGGCATCTTTCCAGGGCATAGTCGATTTCTTCCAGTCAGATTTGGGAGTCGTTACAGCCGTATGCGTGTTATTTAAAATAATATCTCGCTGGCTGTTTGTTTTTTTCAATTTCTCAACTTTTTCATCAGAAAACATCGCTGAATTTGTAAGCTCGTTACCATGAAAAGATGACACACGTCGCACTGTTGCCGATGTTCGATTTTTTATTGGTTGCAGTGTTTCAGGTTCAGTAGAGTTTATATCGTGTTTTCCTGGATATATGTTTGTATTTCTGAATTCATTGCATACATTATTCAGTATGGCTTTATTTTTTTCTTCTTCCCAAAAAGAAGTCGATACAGGTCTTATATAGGCGTCATCCTTAGTGCAATTTGACGACAGTGCCTTTCTGCTATGAGCATAACCGTTATTCAATCCATTATTAGATTGTATTTGTGATTGTAAATCCGATTCATGAGAAATATGCCATGAAGCAGTTCGTCTAACGCGTTTACTATGTGGAAAAATAAAGGAAAAGGATAATATACGGATATGCTACAATTTTCATAGATTATACAATTTTGAAATTACAAATTATTTACCTCATAATCCTGTCTTGCGATCGTCTCCTTAAACTACCTATCTTTCGAGCACTAGGAGATCTTATAATTTTATGTTCACCCGATCTTCTTATTTTGAGCTCCTTTCCAAGCTTCCTAGCCAAATAATCTGTTGTTGCTGTACTTTCAATACTAGCTTCTTCCAAAGTTTTTTCATATACAGTTTGTACTTTGTTCGCGGAGTGTGACAAACCCTCATTTTCCTCATTACTTACGCAACCGAACTCTTGAGATAGTCGGGATTCTATTGCCGAAACTCTGTTTTTAATTTCTTCATATTCACTTTTAGGTATTGTAACATATTCCTCAGATTGATTGCCCATAGATGTTACTTCTACGTGTGAATATGTTTCGAAATTATTTAATGTCAATCTTCGTTTTAACGGGTATAACCGCATTTGATCAAAATTATTTAAAATTTTCAATTCCTCTGAACTGGAATTTAGGTGCTTTTGACATTTAGTAATATTAATATCATCTTTCTTTGTTAACAAGACCTGCTTGTCACTATCATCTGATAAATTAACATCCGCATCAATGAACATATTATTATATTCTCTGTGGAGTTCGTTTGTTACTTCGCTGTCTTTCAAAATAAATTTTAATTGCGGTGTATCGTCACTATATGTTCTATATTTCTTTTTTGAATCACATGTATTAGAAACAGAGCTCCAGCGTCGTTCACTGTATGTATCAAAAGTATTTGTACATAATTCTGGATCTTCGTCGATAGGTTTCTAAAAATATAAATTATATTATATCGTTATGTGCATAAAATATATTAAAAGACATAATCAGTATACAAAATATTCAAATATCCTTACTGTCTTTCTTGGTACAAATCGATCCAGACTAAGTCTCATTTTTTTAGATTTATCTACTTTATCTACAACTCTTCTAAAAAAAAGGTTAAGTTGCAAATGAATAAAAGATATTTAAACATTATATGCGTTAGTTACAGTCAGACACCCACTTTTTCTTTGTACTCGAGGGATCTAAGCGTTCGATACCTTTCCTCTTCTTCGTAGATTTAGTACTCGATGCTTGTAACAAATCACAGTTTTCAGGAAGTCGCTGATTATCAGATGTATTACAATCATCGGGTACTGCACCTTTGCCAACAATCTTTTTTAAACCATTAAACATTCCTACAGAAACAAATTTGTTAAATTTAAAAAAATTATACGCACGCATATACATATATATATGTAATATGTTTAAATTCTGTGAGTGAACGAATTAGTAAGTTAGTTAATGCACGCATTAAAATATGAAATTATCATTAAACTACAAAGCTTGTGCAACATTCTGTTATATTTTCTGTTAGATATAATGAAAATTTATTATCAATGTCAATACAGTATGTGAAAATAGAAGTCAAATGTAAATTACTATAAACAGATTCGCAGACATACTTAGATTAAGGTTGGAGGCACTTAGATGTGGCTTACGTGTAAGACTTCCACTGCGGTGTTTCTTTTTTCTTGATTTAGAGCGTAAATCAGACACATCCAATTCATTGTCCATGCTTCCAATCGTTTCCATAGAAATAGCTTGGACTATATGATCTGGTAACACACCGATATCTTCTGCATTCTCAATTAATATCTATAATATTTATAAAATGAAATTAGTACAATTAGTTGTTGTTATAATTTATCATTTTCCAAAATAAATTTATTACTTTGACAACAATGAAATGTAATTCAAGACGCATTTGGACAGCTGACATGGTTGTTTCTTGCAAAGGCATTATATTTGGTCCAACAACTTTCGCTAAATTATCGATGCTCATTTTATTTTGTTTCTCGTACAGTGATACCTTCCTCAAGAACTCCATAAAAAATGCCAGAGTATTAAGATGATGCGGCGGTAAAAGAATACAAGCCAGTAATAATGCTTGTACACGATAAGCTTTAAGCATGGCACAGTGTACGAACAAATCGTGATAAGAAAAGGGGATCAATGGTTCTGGCAAGTCTCTAAAGAAGGTCTTCAGGCAATTTGCTACGTCAATTGCATTATGTTTCTCTCCCAATGTTCCGCCATTATCCAAGCGACCTATTAATTCTTTTTGTCGAAGCTGCGATCCCGCTTTTCTGAATAAGCCTTCTTGAGTGATGTGGTTCTCCAAGAATGTTGATACTTCACTGACGAAAACCGGTACATGTACAATACCACCCGAAGACAAATTCACAACATCCAACGGATGATACGATAAAGGAGTTTTGAAAACTTTCTTCGAAATATGCTTAATTCCCTCAACTTTTTCAGTTTTAATCATACTCTTTTTGAACCGATACTTAACACCATAATTACGAAGATCGCTAACAATGGAATGATACACTGTTTCTTTATGCAAAACATCGTAAATGAACATGTTTATATGTTAAAAAACTAAACCGGTTAGTCCATAAATTATACTAAACTATTTCATTTGTAAATTATAAAAGAATAAAACAAAGTTTTCATGTTACATCAAATGTAATCAAACACACTTTGGCATTATTGGCATAAAATAACGACGAATTTCCTTAGGCGTCTACGCAAGAGCCATGTTACGTGAGCTCGGCGCTTCACGCAACTTCGGTAAGTCGAGAAAGAAGGCGAGCATATGAGTAAATCGGCTTAGTTTAGCCGGAAAAGTAGATTTCCTGCATTTTATAAACGTGCAAACATATCGGAAACTATGCGAGATATGGCAAAACATATACAGACCTTTTTTGTAGGAAATTTAATTTCCTATAGCGTGTCCGGCAACCGCTTTTTTGAAATAATAACAAATTATTTAAACAACCATTATTATTTCACGAAAGCGGTTTCAAACCTAACCTAATACTCAGTAATATTCACTGCTAATTGAGTTTTAATACATAAACATTTCTTAAGTCTCATATAAGCAGTTATGAACGGAGCCTTTACGTTCCCCGACCATCATTTTCGGGGGGAAGGCAGTTGTTCTGCAACTTCACCGAAATATAAATATATTCGGAAACTGTGCGGCTGATAAAAAAATGTCATAGGACATAAATTGTTGGAAATTTAATTTTCTACAAAAAAGGTCTCTTGATATTTTGCCATACATCGCATAGTTACCGAGATATTTGCAGATTTATAAAAAACAAGATTTGATACCTATAAATAACATTTTTTTTTTTTAAATGACCCCAAGAACACAGATTTAACCGCTAAACGAGGGGCCACGGAAATCGTAATCTCCTCAAGTTTTAGGCGTCAATTATGGCAAATCTGGCCGCGTTGCGTGGCCTTTATGAATCAACGTATTCATGTATGAAATACCAATGCATCAACTGTTTCTTTGCGACAAATCAACAACGATACTCGACTCGATCATTTCGTACGTTACCACGTTTAATTTATTTAACATTCATAAATCAAATGTTCATTTTGAAGTGTTTCAAATACCTTTACTATTGCGTACCACGATTTGAACGCGCTACGTGAAACATAGCCGGTACCCGGGTGATTTAAATTCTTCCTTTCTGCCTCATATCGTTCCTCGCACGTCTCTATACGAAAAATTAAATCTAAACATTTTACTTTTAAAAACATAGAAATTTGTTGCAGCGCGAAAACCTCTTTCTCAAAATTCGTGAATCAATTATTCTTTGTAAAATTCACTACAGATCAATACGCGCTTTGTGGGATATATATAACAAACTCTGCTTCTCTACAGACGCGAACATATGTATTTGGAACAGTACAAGGTTGATCTAACTTTAGAAATTAATTTTGTATTTAAATAGCACCACCAGGAATTAGTTAATCCTTATATACTTGAAAATAATAGTTTTATGGTATTGTTAGAAATAGTTTAAATTGCATGACAGTTAACAATAACAGTATTGTAAGTTATTCAAAAAATTTAACAAGTATCTTTCACAGCATTAAATCAATCGGGTGAAGAAACTATGCGCTTGGTACGATTGTTGTCAGGATATGATATGCCCACTGTAGGCTTGGGTACATGGCAGGTGATTTAATAATAAGTGACATTAAAATCAGAATTAATACGTATGATAAAAGAATTGTTTAGCGTGTAAACTAATTTTTTTTTTCACTGCAGGCTAAATCTGAAGAAATCGAAACTGTTGTGACGACCGCTTTAGATATTGGTTACAGGCATATAGATACTGCATTTAATTATAATAATGAAGAAGCGATCGGGGCTGTTTTAAAGAAATGGTTTGCGAAAGGTGGAAAACGCGAAGATCTTTTTATTACTACAAAGGTAGTGTCTATTATAAGTCAAAAAAATGATTTTTAAATGCAGAATATAAGAAACATTTATTCCTCTTTTTAGTTGCCTCATTATGGTAATCGACCATCAGACGTAGAAAAGTATATCAAGTTATCATTAGATAAACTTGGTTTGGATTATCTGGATATGTACTTAATTCATATGCCTTTTGCTTTTAAATTCAACGAAAGTACTTGTGCTCCAGCAACTCACGAAGATGGAAGTTATGTGTTAGATCTTGATACAGACCCTGTTTCAGTGTGGAAGGTTTAATGTTACATCTGTATTAGTTAATGGTTTATTAGTAAATAGTAATTAACTGTTTTTAAAACTTTTAGGAAATGGAAGAACAAGTAAGGAAAGGTCGTACAAAATCTATAGGTTTAAGTAACTTTAATGAAGAGCAAGTACTAAGTATATGGGAAAATGCACAAATTAAGCCATCTAACTTACAAGTAAGTGTTAAATGCCCAAATTTTAGTATACTGATGTATCGAATGGATCAGTTTACTGATACTGCTTCAATTATTATTAGGTAGAGTTACATGCTTATCTGCAACAAAATTCACTTCGACAATTATGTAAGATGCACAATATCATTATAACAGCCTACAGCCCCCTTGCATCGCCAGGAGCTAAAGTGCATTTTCAAACAAAATATAACGTTAACGTTGAAGAGTTTCCAGATCTTTTAGGGCATCCAATAGTACAGCAAATAAGCACAAAGTACAAAAAGTCCGCGGCACAAATTTTATTGCGGTACTTGCTGGAATTAGGTGTTGTTGTAATTCCAAAAAGCACATCGCCAGAAAGGATTAAGGCAAATATTGAAATATTTGATTTTGCATTAAAAGAAGAAGACATGAAACTTTTGAGTACTCTAGATAAGGGTGTACATGGAAGGATCTTTAACTTCCTGTTTTTTAAAGGGTAAGTCGATTTATTAAATCGATTTAAATTTGTTACGGAAACATAGTAGTGTAACATTGTTTTTCACATCTTTTAGAGTCGAAAATCATCCGCATTATCCATTTAAGAATGAATTAGTATCGTAACTGAAAACGTCATTGATGTGTAGTTTGTGTTCTTCTATATTTATACGTTGGAAATTAACGACATACAGTACAAAACGAATAAAAATACCTAAATGCACAATATCATTATAATAAAATGAAGAGAGTATAATATATTAAATTTAAAAAAAAAAGATTATATTGCTGCATTTTAATGAAGTCTGAATAACATTTTACGTTGCATACGATGCTGAAGTTCCCCGCGACGTATCATTGTGTGTATAACTTTATAAATAGCACGTTCCGGATATGCTTGTTTTATGAAGTCTTTGACAATATTTTGTTCCGATACTTGATTTCCAATAGGAAATCTACGTTTCAATTGTTTCTCGATGCGGGATAACATTTCATGATCTTCTTCCGAGGTAAATCCTTCTGCGCCTATTACATTATTATTTGTGTTAATGCTTAAGCACGATAAGAATAAGTACGTACATATTGGTTATTTAATTATAGATTACCAGCTAACGATCCGGACATTGCAGCATCTAAAGTAGAAACTTGGAAAAGTCTGAGCGCTTCGTTGACATGGACTTCATTGGCAAAGGGTTGTAGTTGCATTTTCGCTAACGATTCTGAAATTCTTATAACAGCTTCCAGCTGGCGAACGGTTATAGGAATAGATAATCTCTTGTCTGTATCCTTCTCGAGTTCTCGTGTGCTAGCTCGCATAACTACATAACGATTTTTCAATTTTTCTCCCGCCTCTTTGTTAAGTCTTGGGCCACAACGTCTATAAAAGGCATACAAACCAATTAGAAATGAGAAATATATTCGAAGATAATAAGATCTCACCTTCTGCAATAGTGGATATATTTCTTCAGAATGTGAAGCGGTAACTCTCCTTCTGCAGTTTGTTCTGTAACTTGACCAGCATGAGTATGAATATTCATCACATGTTTAGCTAACATTATATCCTTATTTTGCTCGTGCTCATCTTTAACAATAAATATCATATCGAAACGCGATAAAATCGTTGGCATGAAATCTATATTCTCTTCTCCTTTTATGTCATCCCAACGACCAAATATCGAATTTGCCGCCGCTAAGACAGAACACCTAGTGTTTAGCGTTGTCGTTATTCCTGCTTTCGCGATCGATATTGTTTGTTGTTCCATAGCTTCGTGTATCGCGACTCTGTCATCCTCTTTCATTTTATCAAATTCATCTATGCAAACAACACCACCATCTGCGAGAACCATAGCACCACCTTCCATGACAAAATTTCTCTGTAAGTTAAAGAAAATATCATATCGGAACAAAGCAGACACGTGTATATAGAAGTTTAAAGAAAATGCTAGTAACTTACCGTTACCGGATCTCTTAAGACTGATGCTGTTAGACCAGCAGCCGAGCTTCCTTTTCCAGATGTATAAATTGCAACCGGTGCAACTCTTTCTACAAATTTTAGTAATTGAGACTTAGCTGTGCCAGGATCACCCAACATTAAAATATTTATGTCTCCTCTTCTACAAAGACCATCAGGCATTCTTTTCCTAGATCCGCCAAACAACAGACATGCTATAGCTTTCTTAATATCCAATGCACCAAAAATACTAGGAGCAATACTTCTTGCAATTCTGTCATATAAATTATGATCCGCCGCTAGACGTCTAAACAAATCTTCTTCTTCGTTCGTGACAGTTGGATGAGTACCTAAAATCATTTATTTTTCTCTTATTAAAAGATTTTATAATCCTATGAAATCCTTTTATAACAAACGTACCACTGCCAGAGTCTTCTCCATCTATAGAAATACCAATAACTCTTATATATGGAGCTCGAACACCAACCAATGCTTTATCTCTTGCTGCATTTCTAGTATTAGTTTTAGTAACCTTTTTAATAGAATATATTCCCAAAATAAGAACTCTATTGCCTGGTACAATTCTATCGCATAGATAACGATCACAATACAACTGCAAATGGCGTGGCATTTCACCCTGTGGTATCTGATCTGGTAATTCTTGTAATTTAAGAACTTGAAAATCAACGCAATGGCATTTATCTGGCATTATAAAAAATGGATCCAATGGACATTTTGGTCGACCTCCTTGTTCTCTGTTACAAATATTTTAAATGTGTTACGTATAGTATTGTTGATATTATTTTCAGAATACATTATCGATAAAAATGAACCTACGTTGTACATTTTCTGGGTAAAACGTATCCTTCGAAACCAAGTTTAATGGAAATATTAGTTTGCATACTTCTGCACGAACGGCATTGTATAGTAATCTGTGTTGCTTTTGCTCTAATTCCAGATGCAGAAATAATGATACCAGGTATTTTAATAAGTTTAGAAACTGCATCAGGCTAGATAAGATCAATACAATTTAATATAAGAAACTTTATATATTTTTAAAGATTTTGAAAATGAATGAATCTTACTTTCATGCCTCTTAAGGAACTTGGAAGGGCATCTGAAGATAATAATACTTGTATATCTTCAACTTTTTCTTCCCCTTCAGGTCTCGGGGCTGTAAGCTCATCAGCCAAATCTCTTGCAGCTTCCTCCAAAATTGGCAAATATTCTGTTGGGTGTTTATAAACTTTTTCTGCAAGCGATTCGTCAAATGCTGCCAAGTCTTCCAAATTAACTTCTACCCAGTACTGTCCAAGATTGTAATTGCGTTTCAAAGTGTCTCTAAAGAATGATTACTTTATCAAATATCGTAGTTATCATTCGAAAAGGTCGCATTGAAACAATACGTTTCATTTAAAATACCTGTATTTATAATTAAAGTTTCCTTCGTGAAATTGCCTTATAAACTCCATAAACTTCTTTTTGAAAAACTGAAGATTAGTTCGAGTTTCATTAGTTTCGTTTGTTGAAAAGTTATCGGAAAAGTATATTCCTGGGTCATCAAATCCTTCCATTATTTTAAATCAATTCTAGACAATTTTATATATAAAGTAAACAATATAGATTGCTGAAAATTTGGCGGGAAATAGTTAACGAATTTCCTCAAATCTTTTTAACATAGATTAAGAAGTTAGAAGAAATGACGCTTTCAATAACATTTCATCGTATTATGGTTGATTTCCATTTTCCCCTCTTATACAGTATGTGTAATTAATAGTATAGGGAACATGGAGTAACTCCCTAGAGAGACCGGCAGGTGATTGGCTAGCAGCAGTACAGTACTCTGCCGACAGGCGGCAGCCGACTCTGCGTTTTCGCGAGCCACAAGCCAGTCTCTAAGGTACTACCGTGGGAGGTGCACGAACGAAGTGTTTGTGATCACGTACTAGTATCCCGAAGTAGGACATTATCTACAATAGCAACAAGATTTCTAATAATACAAGCAGAGTTTCGCCCCTGTTCGCAAGAGTTATTGCAGTCAATTGTAGTTATGTTTCTTTTAACGTATTTTTTGAAATGAAAAAGAATATTTAAACTAACCTCAATATAAATAATAGCTTACCACTTTCAACATAAAATAGATATTTATTACATCATATAAATTTTGTTTACATTTGTAATTATAATTCAATCACGAATACTGTATTTTTATTTTTGCAGAGATTAAAAGAAGATACAATCAATTATAATTCACATTCATAAATTCAATAAATCAAGCAGCCTTAGACGCATAAGTCTGCAATGTCCATTCGATTAAAAAATGTTGGTACGATAAGGGTTGTAACAATGCCAATAATTCCTCTGTAAGAAAAATCAAGAGATGATATACATTATATATAATGAAAAAATGAATGAATTATGAATATACGTACGTTTGTTTCCGTAAATGCAATTTGCAGACATTGCCGCACTTATGGCTTGCGCGAGTCGCTCCATAGCTAAGTCGCACAAAGATGAATTAGGACTTGTTTGAGATTGTAAATTAGAACTTAAAGTGCGAATAGTAGCTGCAAAATGTTGCGCAGATATTGCATGTTTATTGTTCCCGCTATTTTTTAATCGTAATACTGAATCCATAAGTAACTGCTGTATTTTAGAATATAATTTTCGCTGTTCCTCGCAATTTTCCGCATTTTTCGTGAAACTTAATCGTAAAGGGCATAAAATGCACCACCTAACAAACAATTATAATTATAATTATCATAAATGAAATCAATAAATTCATTCATTCATTTTACCTGAATAAACCTGCTATAGGTGTTATTGGTGTCATTGGAATGCCACCAGTTGGTAAGGCAGGATTATCCATTAAAGGAGTCAATAAAAGACTTGGGTTTTCATCTATCCACTCTCCTACCAATCTGAGCAGTTCCGTAGGTGGATCTTTATCTTCATAAACTTCACCTATTGCCGTTAGTAAGTTGGCAGTGAAATGTGGTGCAAGTACAGGAAGCTGCTTTAACTTGTCAATAGATTTCGGAGTAAGGACAAAATAATCATTAAGTACATGCCTTGCTAATCCTACACTTTGTAGAGATGTAGAGCCTAATTGTTGCATCCAAATTCCAGTAGCATTCAAAACTGCTTTGTTTTGGGTAGCAATCGCCAAAGATACTAAATTGCCCAAGACTTTGTATCTAGGACTATCTGCGGGAAAAAGGGATAAAAATACTGCATTGCGAACAGCAGCACTTCCTCCCGGGCTTTGAAAAAAATCGCTTAAAACTTCTATCAATTGCAATTCTTGTATCGCTATCGTCATGTTGCGTTTCTTCCGCTTCTCTATTTCGCCGAACACAAACTCTGAAATTAAATCCAGTTGCAGGTCCATTTGTTTCCCAGGTCTGCCGCATAATATTTCTTTAAAAAAAAAAAAAATATAACTCACATTAGCTGTTACTTTTCCATAAAACGGTTAACCTATTTCACGTATGCCTTACCGATTCTGCATAATGCTTCTCTAGCGCAGTAAGGGAAATCTAATTTTCGTAAGTTTTGCTTTATATCATTTCCTGCCATTAATGCATGTGCACGCGTGTGACATGTAAATACATTTAAAAGAAATAATTCAACTCGATGACACTTTGACAGTAAATGTAAGGAAACATTGAGTATTTATGTACAATCGACCGCAATAATAATTCTTGCCGCCTTAGGGAAAAGTTACCAGTGTTGGTTACTTTCAGCTTGATCGACAGAATGCGATTCTGCGTTCTTAAATCTGTAGGGGACACTAGAGACATTTCCCTAGCACCTAGGGAAAGTCACTAGACGGAGTTGGTGTGGCAGCCGTGGAGAGCGCCACGCTACGCCAGTTGGAATAAAGCTCTGAGACAAGGAACACGTGTCGTACTGATATTCCCGTTATCCCTACGCATCCCTATAAATCTACTAGAGTAGGTAGTACTTCTATGGTTAAGAAACTAAACAATATGGCGGTACAATGGGACCATTCCTCAACTCGGCTACGCCACCTACGTCAGTGTAGTAACCTCTGGTTACAGTAACCAAGTCATCATACTTACATCGTTTTCATATCCTTGGCGAACAGATATACGTCACAGATTTGATATAGAGCAGGTATAGAAGCGTAGTTTGTTTTGCTACAGATTGTTTTAATCTGATATATGACTATACATAGTTTCTAACCAGTTTTCTTTATTCCAAAAACAGTCAACTTGCCTTGTTTGCATCGCTGCATTGTGATTTGCATTAAATAGTGGGTGAAGCGTTTCATCAGAAGTGTTGCAGTGTTCTTTTGTCACATTTGTAGTTTTTAATATTTTCGTAAAAGTAAGTAATTACATATGTTTGCATCAATGATACTGTTTATTATAGAATTGTTTCGATATTAATCAGTATTGAAGAATCCTCTAGAAAAAAATTATGTAGAGAAATACAATCTTTCATTTACGTGTTTTTTCAGATTTAAAGAGCAATATATGGAGATATGCCTCCTTGTTTAAGAAGAAAACGTATTTCTTCAGATACAACAACATCAAAAACAAAATTCATTACTAAGAAGGAACAAAAAATAAAAGATCATCCTAAAATAACAGGTACAAGATCAGTAATTTTGTCAAGAAGTGTATTGAATGAGAAGGAGTCTGATATTTCAACAGAAACGGACAAAAATGTTACTCAAAGTAGAGATAAAAAAATTACAAGGAGTCGAAACTTAAAAAAGAGTTCTGACAGTAAACTATCTGCAGAAACAAAACGTGTTGAGATACGTAATAATATAAATAGTCTAAAAAAGGTAAAGAAAAATGATTCTAGGCTGCGTCAAGTATTGTTGAAAGAATCCTTTTTAAATCAGTCGAAGACAAGACAGCTACGTCCTCGTCGAATTGTTAAGAATTATGACGAGGACTTGAGTAAATGTCTTTCACCCAAATTAAATACGAAGGGAAAAACAGTACCAATCTATAAATATGTTTCGCCTGAAAAGTCTGTGAAAGATGCAAATGAAATTTATGAATTCAAATTTGATATTAATGATTCTAAAGAAAAAGTATCCAAAAAACGAAAGAAGAAGCCTACTCTTAAGAAAACACTGGCGCGTAAAAAGAAAAATATTTATGTAAAACCTAATGTACAAAAAACTAGAATTCACAAAGAAGAACCAGTTAATACTACATGCGAAGTAATTAAGGAGAAACCCCCTATTGAATCTTTACAAGATAAAGTTTTTGTAAAACCTCTGACAGAAAATCCATTGAAGGATCCAGAAAAAGATGCGAAAAATGAAGTAGCGTCAAACGTAGAACAATTAGTTCTCTCTCCCTTACCAGACAGTACAAACGAAGAAAAAACTCCAACTATTACAATTACAAAACCAACAATTGCATCAATACAAAATTTAGATAATAACAAAGTAACAATAATGGATAATTCACAACTATCAAACTCGGAAGAGTTCAGGCCATTTAGACCAACAAATATTTTTAACAATAAGTTAATGGTACAGCATAAAAATGTGTTAAATCATTCGCTATTTGAAAAATCATTATCGCCAATCGTGAAATCATCCGAGAATTTGGATATGAATAGTCCTTGGAGAGTACCCGCGTTATTGACGTTTTCTCAAGTGAAAAATGTATTTCAAAGTACGCCACAAAATAAGAATTATGAAATTTCTACTAATAAATTTTCACGTGCAATAATTACCGAATCCAAGAATTGTGGTAATAGTACAATAGTAAAAGACATTTTGCAGGAAAATAACGAAAATGTAAGCGTGGAGGCGCATGTAAATACCAACACTATCAAAAAGAAACGTTCTTCGATTCCAAGAAAATTTGGTACAGAAATTACAAACATAGATCAATCTTTACAGTCTCATTTGGCGGAAGAAATAAATGAACAAGTATTAACTGAAATAGAAAATATACAACCAAGTATTCAATTAACCAATGTGAATAATATAAATAACGCTTCTAAGTTTGGTAATACTGAAAATAGAGAAAAGTTCATGTTACATTGTCAAACTCCAAAGAAAGTACTTAAAAAAACGATCAGAAAAAACAAAAACGTAAATCCTCAGAAAACTACGGTAATAACAGAAAACTATGAACAAAAAGAAAATTTGAATCCTGAACCTGGACCATCGGGTTTGCAAAAGAATATAGTTTTTAACGAGGACAGGATATTAAAGCAGTCGAATTTAAATAATTTTCTAAACGTAATGGAAAAGCCACAATCTACCACAATCAGAACAAATCATGGAATTTTTGATGATGTATCTTCAACGCCAGTCAATAGGAAGCCAATAAAAAAACTTAATGAATCTAGTATGGAATTACGAAATGCATTTGGTTTCGATGAGGACGATTATAACGAAAATATATCTTTTACCGAACATCATGAAACAAATGTGACACAAAATGAAAAACACAATGAGAAACCCTTTTTAAAAATATCAGTCGATAAAATAAAAAATAATTTTTTACTTAAAAAACCAAGGAATGATGTAAGAAATAAGGAGAATGTGGAGAATAAAAGGATAGAAGTGAGACAGTCACCTATCAAAGCAAAGCAAAATCAAGTTCAAAAAGATAGTGTAAGCTTCTCCGATACATTCGATGTTTTTTCTGAGATAAATGAAACTGCAACAGTGGACACATCTAATATTCCACTATTTGTTGATGTTGAACCGACCCATTTTACGCAGGTAATTCATCTAATTATTTAAAGTAAAATTTTAGTAATAATTAATAACAGTCTTATATAAATATATATTTTAGCCTCCAAGACATTCGTACAAACGAAAACGTGCCGTGAGATTCAGTTTTTCAGACGGCAATAGCGACGACGAAGAAGAAAATTTAATTGCGCATGAAATTAAACGGAAGAAGAACGATAACAAGAAAAAAGGGGAAAATAAAAATATAATTAAATGGATTCAGAATATAAATAAAACTTTCGACGAAATAGATCAGCATGAACTTCTGATCGAATAAATTATTAATTATATTTTATTCAAGAAAGATCGCTAATAGCCTGATTGGAAATGTAAGTTTATATTTTTAGTCATATTTTATATTTAATAATCTTTAATATTTTTAATTATATATAAGCAATTCAGTTAGATATGTATATTTTTTTTTAATATAAAGTATATAGATTTATAATAGAAGTACATTATAGTAAATAATATTTCACTGTTTTATAAGTATGTAAAAAATAGTTTTATATTTTTTAATTTTATGTATAACAGTATTTCAAATTTAGCTTGCATAATTTATTATAGATATAAAGTACTAATTTAGTAATGTTTGTACAAAATAACTTTTACTTGCTTGCTTTTATATAATTATTTGATTATTAAAAAAGATCTTTGTCTATAAAAAATACATATGCTCGAATGAGAAAGTAACTAGTATAAAATAAAACTTGTTCGATTATATATCGGTGTATATATTATTTTAATCAATTTAATGAGGAATGAATTTATGCATTGATACAGTTTCGATTTTCTAAATATTTTACTAGGTCAGTTTTCGTACGATATGTTTCAGCCTTTTCCCTATAGATAGCAGTATGCCGATACATTGTACAAAAGAGATAAGTTTCTCAACTATGTGTTAGAATAACATTCAATAATGCAGATTCACATTGTACTACATATTCTCGTTGATATTAAAAATTGTATTAATGCTTAAATATTCCGTATTTTTCATAGAACTAATCTGTAATATATTGTATGCACACATTATGTACAATACAAAGTGATAATGATAACCATTCGCTCCAGAAAAAGCGCGTAACATCGTAAGGGGGTTTTTATAAAATTGCAATGCTAGTTATAGACAATAGATTATAGACAATAACAAACATTTATATACATTGTTATATAAGACATAAAATTTCTATAAAATTTCTGCCGTGTCTGGTCTCTTCTTGCAATTATAATTACGTAAGCTGAAATTAAATTACGAAGTATAAGAAGTGATTTCTTTGCGATTCGGAAGAAACAACCAGTGTTTCTCTTTCGTTCGGAACAATGAAACACGATTCCCGATGATTGCCCACGACATAACTATACGCTATTTACACCAGAATGCATTTATATCAAGAGAACACGATAGAAAGTAGGTTCGAAACGAAGATAGTGCATGTAAAAGACACTTATACGTGTAACCAATCCACTCTAGAGAAGTGCATTACACAGATCGCACTGTGCACGACAAGCCAATATGTCCTGTATTTTACTATTCATTTCGCCCATTATTGGACTCGTGAATTTTCGAAAAATTTTTGAAAAATTTAAATTCGAAGATTCTTTCGATCATATAATCATGGGGAATAATGAGACTCGTTTTACATATACGGAAGAAATTGATGTTCTAAAATTGTAAAATTTCATTTCCACGCATAGCAATATATTTCCTTTGCAAACATTAAGTATTAAATAGTTCCAAACCGATTATTTTAATACTGTAGTTTTGTTTTAATAATAAATAAACAAAAGGCACAAATATTCCTAATGGTGATAATTCGGCACATGTAATAACGTATATATCGGTTTGTTTATCGTGTGCAAGGTATAACTTAACACATCGGATTTGGGTGAACACTCGTACAAGAGTACATGTAATGGTGCTACGTGACCAATTTAAGCTAATACGTGTGCGCACGTACGCACATACGTACGTGACCAATTCGAGCACAAAGAATTTACATTTCAAGAAAAAAGTCCTACGAAGGTGGTACAGGAGTCTCCTACATAGAGCACGTATTTATAGTTGCGCTAGTCGCGTATATTGTGCGTCCACACTTAAATAGACAGTACACGCTATTGTATCACGTGCATTTCTCTCATATAATATCTATAGTTCATTGCCATTATCAGAATTGATCAATTACAAATCATTTTTACACGATTTTACATGAAATTAAAGTTGTTACCTTGAAAATTGCAACAGTGCCAATAGCGAGCATGTAAATAAAAATGTCTATGCTAAATTATTGCACGCGATAGAAAATTAATGGACTTATCGTGACAGCGTGAGCTCGGAAGGAAAAGTATTTTTAATTTTAATTTAAAGCAAGTCCTACGTTTAACCGCTGTTACAAACTTTAGAAACGTCTATTACAAGCCGATTAAAAATAAATGATATTTCTGGACATCAAAAATTCACAAACACGATCAATATTTGTATTAAACGATAAAAGTGAAACAGTTTTATAGTATTCCTTTCAACTTGTTTTTAAAACCGTTAAAACGGGATTAAACGCATATGAATTCATCGGTACGCGACTGAGATCAATATTTGCATGCAAAAAATATGAGAAGAATCGCTCGCTACTTTATGCATATTCGTAGTGCACGAAAGCTTATTATTTCCAATTACGTAATACATAGAAGTGCATCGGTTGTAATCAGTATTTCTATTGAACGATAAAGGCGAATCGCTCGAACGTTTTGTCGTTTTTGTTCCCAAAGCGTGAAAGCTCTTTATTCCGAATCGTATAGTAGCCAGATACCTACGTTCGTATACAGCTACGATCGATAACACATGCATTGAATGAACAAGGGAAATCGTTTATAAGCGTTCTGTCATTTTTGTTCCGAAAGTGCGAAAGCCGCTTCGATATTTCTTGCTGCACAGTACCTAGTCATAGTAAGTATGCAATCAGCGAAGCGCCGTTTGACTGGAGCGGATATCTCGTCAAATTAACATTGCTAAATATATTTCTACGCGTAATACTTGCTACCCGCTGGTCCACCATTACTAATTTCTCTGTATAACCTGTAGCAATATTGTACCGAGTATAATCGTGGACACAGTGAAATCATCGGAGCATATTAAAAACTACATTTAGAGTATAATTAAATAACATTTAGAGTAGAGATATCACATACTACCTTGACGCAATTATACGGTATCAAACTTTGTTAGTTAAACGTAAACGTACTTTTGAATAATACGAACGCAAAAATCAAGATGAAAGTTATTGTTCAGGATACGTACGTGTGAAAGGAAATCTACGTGTAACTATCCGATTTCAAGTATGAAATTAAGTGCGTGTAATAAGCCATAATACAATTATGTATATACATATAACTACGTGCAAACATTGCACGCAAAGTAGGTCGACATGTATGCATCGCATCAAACATAGTACATCGATTTAACAAACAATTTAGCTACATCGTTTTACATTCGTAATATGTTATATTTACTTTGTAATTATATTTACTTTGTAATTATATTTACAATCCCATTACCGTCGATTATGAACTTTTACGTTTCTTTGTTTCGGCAATTAAAAGAATAAATTTAGTACGCGAAGAACATCATTTCCCGCGGTGAAAGATTCAGCCAGTATGGAAATTGCGTCGTATTAAAAAAAAAATACGTTACCAATGTACCTACTACAGAAATGTGTTAACACACCACAAAACCTGCAATGATGCGGACTCCGTTGCACGTTTCGCTTGAAACTAGTAGAAACGTTACTTCTAATTAAATACCAGTAGCTCCGCGGCGGAAAGCAACCACTTTCTATTTACGTTTTACAAGCCGAGTTTACCCGATTCGATCGAACACTGCTAGAACTAATGGTTTCTATTTGTTGAAGTTACCAGTCGAAACAAAAATCTATAAGAACGTATCACGATAATACGAGCATTGTGTATACAATATACCGTATGTACTTCAAGCACGAGCAATAAAGTCATAGGAGTGTCATTAAATTAACTTTAGAAAGATGTTCCTTAATTCGTAGGAAAGTACGACGTCTCCGCGTTTAAACATCGATCGTTGATTTGAAAAACTTAATCGTTAATTGCATTTAACATTTTTACAATCCAATCAAAACCAAATGTTATAGGCCTCGTTGCATAGAAGACGTTTTATACATGGAAGCAAATGAAAATCTTAACGATATCGAACATATGTACTTCCAATAGAATATACTTGCCGCACGCTTATCGTTCCCTTCGTTCTCTCTACGTAATAAACATGAAATTAACGGTGTAAGGGTGCAGTGTGCAAGAGACGAGTCGCCATAGTCTCTCAGGGAGCAGCGCCTGAACGTAGAGCATGGAATACCGAGAGGCGAGGGGTTTTGGTGGGGACAAATACATTCGCCCCACCTTTCGGAACAAATCTCCCTACTCCCCTAAAACGTTAGCACGTCGCGCTTCGCTATCGCACGGAATCACGGACAAATCAAACATGGCGATTTAGTCGCTGTTTGCGGTGAAGGTGTACGGTTCGTAGAGCGGTAGCACAGAGTATCGGTGGATGAGGTAGTGTTTTTAACGGTAATGTGTACTTGTACCACCGCAAATCGCCGAATTTTAGTCAATATTACGAACATGGAAGATCATAATGTCAAGACGATGATGGAGAAAGTGTCGGGCGGCATCGATGAACTACGTGACGCGAAGGGCGTAAAAGCAGAGCCGACGCCTGCGGCGTCATCGTTGCCAGTTTCGGAACAAGTATCGCTCTCTACTGGTGAAAATATTAAAGAGGGCAACTATATCAATGGAAAAACTGTAAGAATATAAATTACCTTGTTTGAAAAATATTTATTCGATGCGTTATGACACATTTAACGTTCAAATTTTTAATTTTAATTAAATGTAATTTCGCGAATTTGTTTTTAATATAGCGATATAAAAAGTTCTTTTAGCCACGATTAAATTTAATTCTAGTTTTTATCGAGTGTATGTTAGAAACTCCAAATTCGGATTGTGTAAATAGAGAATCGTTTCTCTGCCTTCTAAATAGAATATATTAGATTGTTAAAAGTAGTTTAAACATTAAACGTTATTGTTTTTTTTTTTAATGTTTCAGTGTATTAAATCATTAATAAAAAATACGGGGAAATTTGAAAGTGGAAGTGGTAGCGGAGATCAAGAAGGATGTCAGTATGAGGATGGAAATGATATTGCAGCAAAGAAAAGAAAGACTCGTAGAGGTGGACGTAAGCATAGAAAATTAAAACCATATTCAAAACAGCAATTATCCTATCAACAACAGTTGCGATATGGATCTAGAGGCAGACTAGCAAAAACTGGTAGACAACCTCCAGCGCCATATAACACAACACAGTTTCTTATGGACGATCACAGTGATCTTCCAGATCTTGACCAAAAGCTTTCAGAAGCCGCGTCGTCAGAAATTCTTGCTACATTTCAAAAACCGTCAGCCCCGTCTCGCACTCGAGACTCTAGTTTCAGTGTTGACTCTGACGAGGATTATTTTTATTCATCTCCAGAAGATGAGGAAGAATTTTTGACAAAGGAATTTTCAACTGCGTACGAAGATCTTCATGCCGAAAGATTAAGCACATTAAGTAAATCAGAACTGATACAGGAATATCTACAATTAGAGGCTAAAGTAGATTTACTGACAAAACGGTTACGTGGTAAAAACTTTCATCAGACAGAAGAACGAGATCTAGAAAGTAAAAGTAATAGTACAGATTCAGAGTCTGCAAAAAAGTTAAAAATATGTCAACAGCGGATTGACGATTTAATGCAACAAAATGAACAGTTAAAGAGAGAAAACGAATCATTGAGGGCTCAAAGACACGGCAGTCTAGTTTCAAGTGTTGATAGCGAAAGCGACAGTGATAGTACAAGTAATGGAAATAGAAGCAGATGTAGTTGTCCTCTTTCAAGTCCTAGCTCTTCTCCAGAACATGTAGGATATGCTTCTAGACGTGAAAGTAGTCAAAGGAAAGACAATTCAGTGTCTAGTACCGGCAGTAAAAGTGACAGTTGTAGTACTAACTTAAGTGAGAGTTCTAAGGAATCTGTGACACCGGTTAATCTCTCAAATGGTCATGTAACTATTCAAGAAATTGATGGCCTTCCCACATAAATTATATGAAGCTGTTTTTATATTAAAAGTCTATTTAATGTTTGAAGAATCAACATACAAGTTACATTGAATATGTCATTGGTCCGTCACATTTGCTTTAAACCTATTAATCTAATTAGAAGACTGGTTTAAATTAATTTTGTTGCATTTAAGCAACAATGGTCCTCTTCCTGATGTTGGTTATACAACCTTGGTCTATCATTGAATATGCTCTTGTGATTTACTTCCTATATTTCTTTTAAGATTTTCTTGTGTAAGAAATTTGAATGTGTAATGGAGTAAGAAAATACATACCCAATCTTGTGGAAGAGCAAAACTTATACTTGTGCAAGCTATATTGTTACTCGCTTGATAAAATTTCTAAGAGTTGCACATTTGTAGTATTTGTAGATATAACATTATTTTGTCTTACTTCATTTCATACTACTTGTAATACAATTGAGCTAATTTTTTTCTTTAACAGCTTGTTTTCAATGAACTGCCATTTAAAAATACTGAATGTGAAAATTTGTGTTTTACAGACCATCAGCTAATAAATTATGAAATGCCCATCTAGACACAACAAAAAAGAATACAATCTAATGTTAAACTGTAATTTATATTGTAAGAGTTTAAACATTATTGTACAATTGTATAGACATAAGATATAAGATTAGATGTTAGTTTATGGTCTGAACATACAATGTATTAAAGTATTTCGCACTTAACATTTTTAATAAACTTAAAAGTTTTTCTTTCTTTTTATTATGGTTATTCTCCTAAACACAATGCAAGAAGACAGAGCATATTTTGAAGTCGTATGTAAACATATCTGCCCGCGAGATAGGCCTAGTATAACTAATTCAAAATAAAAATGTAAATTATATTGTATCGAAAAATATAAAATTTGATTTTCAAAATTTTAAGAACGTGTACGGTGTAATATTAACAAACAGAAATACGGTTTTTTTTTCTTTTAATTAATTGTAAGCAAGTTAAATAATTATTTCAGTTACTAACATTAAACAAATTTAGAGTATAGAACTTTAAACTTTCTATAAATTCTTGATCTAAGAAAATTTTCAATGAAAGCGAATATTGTTTAAATATTAAAATTATACGATGATGTTCACTTGAAAGACTACCTTAAAACATTCATTGTATCTATTATGAACTAGCCTTAATTTCTTTCAGAACGTTGCCAACTTCGTGGCATGCGAAATTGAAAAGTACGCAGAGCAAGCGTTTGGTCGTATGTACGTCTCTGTATGTTTCCTTCTGCTTGAACTATTAACAAAACATATAAAAGTGTCGTGGGACAAAATAGCATGAAAGCAATGTCTCATCATTACGTAGTAACGGCACATAAGCCGACGGCTGTCACCGCATGCGTGACAGGTAAGTGAAAGCTTTTCGTAAATCATAAGTGCTTACGACGGTAAACAATTATTTTATTTTTATTAACGAAGGTAATTTCACCTCGCCTACGGATCTCAACCTGATCTTAGCAAAAAATGTTCGATTAGAAATTTATCTCGTTACACCAGAAGGTTTAAGACCACTGAAAGAAGTTGGAATTTATGGAAAAATTGCAGTCGTTAAATTGTTTAGACCGCCGGTAAGGTTATACAAGTATTCTTTAGTTCCATAACTTTCAAAGATTGTTTGTTTTGCATAATTTCTTTTTATTAATATCAGATATACCGATTCATTCGTTAGAATAATTAATATATAATTCATGAATAATAATATTTTTACAGCACGAAAAGAAAGATCTTTTGTTTCTCTTAACCACACGTTATAATGCTATGATTTTGGAATGTACTGGAGAAGGAGAGGATATAGAAATTATAACAAAAGCTCATGGGAATGTAGCAGATCGTATTGGAAAGGCTTCTGAAACAGGAATTAAAGCTGTGATAGATCCCAAAGCACGTGTTATTGGTCTTCGATTATATGATGGTCTCTTTAAAATCATACCACTTGATAAGGATAATCCAGAATTAAAAGCATCGTCTGTACGTATGGACGAACAGCAAGTTCAAGATGTGAATTTTCTTCATGGATGTGTTAATCCTACTTTAATTCTAATTCATCAAGATATTAATGGCAGACATGTAAAGACTCATGAAATTTCTTTGAGAGACAAGGAATTTGTCAAAATACCATGGCGGCAAGATAACGTAGAGCGTGAAGCTATGATGGTCATCCCTGTACCTTCTCCTAATTGTGGTGCGATTATAATAGGCCAAGAAAGTATATTATATCACAATGGAACTGCGTACGTCGCCGTTGTGCCTCCAATTATCAAACAGGGTACAATTACATGTTACGCTAAAGTCGATAATCAGGGACTTAGATATTTATTAGGAGATATGGCCGGGCATTTGTTTATGCTGTTCCTAGAGCAAGAAAAAAAAGCAGATGGTACGCAAGTAGTGAAGGATTTGAAAGTTGAGCTTTTGGGTGAAATCAGTATACCAGAGTGCATCACATATTTAGATAATGGAGTAATATTTGTTGGTAGCCGTTTAGGTGATTCGCAGTTAATTAAATTAATTACAAAAGCAGACGAAAACGGTTCGTATTGTGTTCCGATGGAAACTTTTACCAACTTGGCACCGATAGTTGACATGGCTGTAGTTGACCTTGAAAGACAGGGTCAAGGGCAAATGGTTACATGCTCCGGAGCTTTTAAAGAAGGTTCTCTCAGAATCATTAGAAATGGAATTGGCATCGAAGAACATGCGAGCATAGATTTACCTGGCATCAAGGGTATGTGGGCATTAAAAGTTGGTGGAGGTAATTTCGACAACACTCTAGTTTTATCTTTTGTTGGGCAAACCAGAATTTTGATGTTGAACGGAGAAGAAGTTGAAGAAACAGATATTCCAGGCTTTGTTGCCGATGAGCAAACTTTCCACACTGGAAACGTCACAAATGATTTATTTATTCAGATAACACCAACATCAGCAAGATTGATATCACACGAAACAAAGACTGTTATTTCCGAATGGGAACCAGAAAATAAAAGAACAATCAGCGTAGTCGCTTGCAATGGTACACAAGTACTTTGCGCTACCGGGAATGACTTGTTTTATATGGAAATTTTAGATGGACAGATTCTACCAAAAGGATTTGCTACTTTACAGTACGAAGTTGCATGTCTAGATATATCTCCATTAGATGGGCATACAGAAGCTATAATCGCTGCAGTAGGTTTATGGACGGATATTTCTGTTCGTATACTAACTTTGCCTGCTCTAGAAGAAGTTAATAAAGAATTACTTGGAGGCGAAATTATACCTAGATCAATTCTAATGACATGTTTTGAAGGCAATACATATCTTCTTTGCGCTCTTGGAGATGGCAGTATGTATTATTTCACTCTACACAAACAGAGTGGTATACTTTCTGATAAAAAAAAAGTTATCTTAGGCACGCAACCAACAGTTTTAAGAACATTCAGGTCACTATCTACCACTAATGTTTTCGCATGTTCTGACAGACCTACTGTGATTTACTCATCTAATCACAAACTAGTGTTCAGCAATGTTAACTTGAAAGAAGTGAATCATATGTGTTCTTTGAATGCAGAATCATATCCTGACAGTTTAGCGTTAGCAACTGACAGTACTGTAACAATAGGAACGATTGACGAAATACAAAAACTGCATATTCGAACTGTTCCTCTTGGAGAATCGCCAAGACGAATCGCTTACCAAGAGAGTTCACAAACATTTGGGGTAATAACGATGCGTGTTGATATTCAAGATAACAGTGGTGTTAGCATTGTAAGACATTCTGCATCCACGCAAGCAGCTTCAACATCTAGTAATAGTCACATTGCATCGCATAATAAGCCCACAGGACATACAGCTAGCGATATTGGCCAAGAAATTGAAGTACATAATTTACTTATTATAGATCAACATACTTTTGAAGTTTTACATGCACATATGTTGATGCCTAGCGAGTATGCATTGTCATTAATATCGACCAAATTGGGCGAAGATCCTACTTCCTATTATGTGGTTGGTACTGCATTCATTAATCCAGATGAAACTGAACCACAAATGGGTAGAATACTTCTATATCATTGGAATGATGGAAAGCTCACACAAGTTGCTGAAAAAGAGATTAAAGGGGCATGTTATTCTTTAGTTGAATTTAATGGAAAACTTCTTTCCAGTATTAATAGCACTGTTCGTTTATTTGAATGGACAGCGGAGAAAGAACTTAGACTAGAATGTAGCCATTTTAATAACATTATCGCGCTATATTTGAAATCAAAAGGAGATTTCGTTTTAGTTGGAGACCTTATGAGATCTTTTACATTGTTACAATATAAAACGATGGAAGGTAGTTTTGAGGAAATAGCAAGAGATTACAATCCAAATTGGATGACTGCTATCGAAATTTTAGACGATGACACTTTCTTGGGTGCTGAAAATTGCTTCAATTTGTTTGTATGCCAGAAGGATAGGTAAGTTCTGAAATAAAATTATTTATACGTATTTTAGTACTACAAAATGATTTTTATAGTGCTGCGACTTCGGAAGATGAAAGGCAACAGATGCAGGAAGTTGGACAATTTCACTTAGGTGATATGGTCAATGTCTTCCGACACGGGTCTTTAGTGATGCAAAATTTAGGTGAATCAAGTACTCCTACGCAAGGCTGCGTATTGTTTGGGACTGTTAGTGGTGCAATTGGTTTAGTTACACAAATTCCATTTACATTTTATGAATTTTTACGAAATCTCGAGGATAGATTAACAAACGTGATTAAAAGTGTTGGTAAAATAGAACACAACTTTTGGAGAAGTTTTAATACAGAATTAAAAATTGAACAGTGCGAGGGTTTTATAGACGGAGATCTAATTGAAAATTTTCTCGATTTGAGCTCTGATAAAATGGCAGAAGTTGCAATGGGCCTTATGGTAAATAAATTTATTGCTTCGGATAATAATTTATCACACTTTAGATCTATTTTGGTTTCTTCTTCACAGATTGATGATGGTACTGGTACAAAAAAGGAGGCAACGGTAAATGATCTTGTAAAAATTGTGGAAGATCTTACAAGAATACATTAAACGTACACGTTTGGCTAAGATCTATAGTTTATTATATTTTGGAGAGTTCATAGATGAATGAATTGATAAGAAAAGTTTTTAAATATTTGGGACACAAAGTAAAAAATGTGTATTTAATTACCCATGTATCATTAACAGTACAGGAAAGCAAAAAGCTGAATTTTCCTCGTTTCATTTTTTGCAAACTTTTTTTCTTTTTTTATTGATTTGCAACTGTGCTCTTGTACTTTAATTCACATTACATTAATATGATAGTTTGCTTTAATTATTTGTATATGTATATGTGAATGTGAAAGCTGATCAAAAAGGTTTTGAACATTAAGAAATATGAATGAATGAATTGATTTTTCTCATATTATTATATCATACTATTTGCGAATTCATATTGGTACAATGTATCTTGTATGATCGTTAATAATAATCGGCAAATAGTATTAATTTTAAATAAATTCGTGAACTTTTTGATCAACAGTCGTATAATTATGGAGATAACTATTTTTTTTCGTTTTGAAATGTTTAAAAAGAAATGTTAATGTTCATATAAATTAATATAATATCGAGCCATAAAAATTAAAGTTCTATGTCTACTCTTAAAGTAAATATCTATCCTTGAGTGTAATAAACATAATAATCCGTCAAAGATCCGATAATAAGTTAAATAATAATAATGTTGGTGTTAGTTAAAAAGTTATCCATAGCATCACTATAACCTTGTAAGAATGAGTGTAAATAAAAGGAAATGTCCATTTTCAGGTAGAATTATTTCATACTATGTACTAATTTCATTTGTTTGCATTTATTGCAGCTTTTAAAGTGGCTGGATCGAACAACCAGTCTCTTATATCTTCAATACCTTCTCCGGTCATTCCGCTAGTTTCAAACGTAGTGAGCTCTTGTGTAACTTCTTTCTTTAGTCGTGAATATTGAAGTATGAGTAAGGCTTCGTTACGCATTTGACGATATGAAAGATCCATTTTGTTCAGCGTTAATGCAATTTTTATATTTCGCAGTTTAGGCTCGACTAACAATGAGTAAAGTAATACTCCAGCTGCGCTTATCTGACAAAGATTACTCGCGTCCACTACGTAAATGATCTTTCGAATCTAAAAATTAAAAAACAGTCGTCAAGTATATTCAAAATTATTTTTATTATTACAGCCTTTTCTAAAAAAAATTTACCTTATCGAAGTAGTATTTCCATATTGGTGCCATGCTACCGCCAATCTCTTTAATAATCATGTCGAATTCACCTGTGCTATTTTTTATTGTAAAATGGTTCATACCATTAGTAGAAATAGTATGAGTCGCATCATCTATTTCATCTCCTTGTAAACGTTTCATCAGAAAGGTTTTACCAGATTTAGTTGGACCAAGACAAAGACACATTATTAAAAATTTATCAAATTCAACGAACGTCAATGTTCTGATGCGTTTTATTTGTTATACTCTCCTTATAAATTGATAAACCATTTCATATGTATATGCACAAAGATTTATTGATTTAACAAATATGTCTCTCTAGGGAATACATATAATTATCCGATACATCAATATTATTTCATTATAAAGAAACTATTATAAACCTTGAATAATAATGAATAAACGTTTGAAGTAAGACAAACTGAAAAATAATAAAATGAAAACTGTAGTATCTACATATTTGTACTTAATTTAATAAAAAAAAATTTATAACAATTACTTTAAGGTATAGGTTTTTCATTAAACTTTTTATAACACTTCCGTACAATTTAATATACAAAATTTTAAAACTGTGTACATTGCTATGACTAATTTACATAGAAAATATGTTTCCGAAAACAAGTGCCTACAAACTTTGTCACAGATGTGGGAACAATGTTTTATTGTTACACATAACAAATACTAGATACACAATGAACTTATACAAAGTACAACGTAATATGGTTATTGATTTGCATGTAAATGATTGTGTAATTTTATAAGTACAATGTGTATTGGATGTAATAGTATATGTTAGAGGTAAACTACACAGCAAAATACGGAATTGTATGTAATTCCTTTACATTTTATACTTTTCTTAAAAATTGCATATTTCAATACAATGTATAATATAGACAAGTTGCTTTAACATATACATTTCATCGCAATCACATTTTAAAGTTTTCCACTAACACATCGACAGGTACACATCTTTCTTTTTCCAACTAATAAATTAAAAAAGGAGTATTACAAATAATGATATAATGAAATGAAAAAAAAAACATGTGCAAATTTAAAATAACATGTATAAAGTTAATGTATTATGTACAAATTATCAAAGAATGAAAAACGAGTAATTTATAATAAGATAATATTATAAATAAATTTGTGAATTTACGACAAGTACTATTTGAAGAGATGAATTAAAAAAATTGAAAGATATGCGTTCTATCGATGGAATTAAAAACATTATTCTTATTACAGAAATAATATTTTTATATTAGCTGACATTAAACACCTCAAGCCTTTGCACTTATCAAACGAAATATAAAAAATTATAAGCCACCGATGAATTTGATATAAAATAACAAATACGATTAAGTAATCCTACTACTTATAATTATCGTGGTACTACTTAGTAAGTATGTAATATCATAATAAAACATCGTGGTTTACTTTCCAAACATGGTATGCAGGTACAAAGAAAAATCAAGTGCAAAGGTTCAAGTATTTTGGACGATGAAGGGGTGCGTGCACTTTATTGCAGTCGCGCTCGTGTTATTTGTATTTTTATTTAAAATTACCAACCAAAAATATTTTGCAACGCGCACAAGGCACAAGAGGCTTTGCCCTCAGTAGCGCAAGTCGATAAAATGGAATAAAGATTTTTCTACCGTTTTTTTTACAGCCAGGACTCTAACATAATTCTCAGTACTGGGAAATACTTCAATCTTATCACGATATCAATAATTTAATTTATCTACTTTTCTGTACAAATGTATTTATATTGTTTATGTGCACTTTTTCGTAAATAAGATTATTTATATATATTACAAATTAAGTCCTCTCAATCTGTACAATCATTTCACAGAAGTTTTTATTGTAGATAGGATGTACTCCAAAGTGATTCATTAGTCTTTCTTAGGAGTACGACTAGAGTAAGATGTATCAGTTCAAGCCTGGTTCTCCAACTTTTAGAGTAAAGCTTGTACTGGACGTGACATTTGCCATGACTGCAAACGTTTATCTTTGCTACCGGCTATAATCTAGAAAATAAATATTTATACTTTACGTTTAATAGCTGTGCAGCTGATACAACGTTCCAATAGTCATATGCCAATTTAATAGAATTTATTTATACCTTATTGTCTATAATTTCCATGCTTAATAACATATTTCCAGGACCAGGTATACTGCATACGAGTCGATGATCCTGACAAAAAATGTAATATCATTACTTCCTGTTACTGCTATCTTCTTAATTTAGAATTATTTTAGTATTAACCTTTGTATCAAACACGTAAATATTTCCGTCGTAACAACCAGCGAATAATAGTTGTTTGTATAATTGCATACACACGATTCCTACTCCAGCGTCATATTGCATCATTTGATCACCATTCTGCGAAGAGAAGTAGAACAATGAATAATTTTCGTATATAATGTGGTGGAATAGTATTTATTGTATATGTTATTTTTTACGAACCGTAAAATCAAAGACAAGTATAGATGTGGTACTTGTACCACAGTAAATCAGATTATTATCACGCATTAGACTATACACTGTATGATTCTTTTGACCACAAATCGTGCGAAGAAATAGGCCGTTCTGAGCATCTCGTATTGTTATCGGTTGGCTACGCGATGCTACAATAAGAACTCTTCGTGGACCCTCGTTAGTTGCTTTTAAAGCCAGCACAGATTTTTCCGAGAATTGTATGCTATTTCCTCTGATAACACCTGACTATAATATTAACCGATTATATTTTATGTGCATAATATACATATACAAATAATATGAAAGCAATGTTAACATCTTCCAACGAACCTTCACATGGTAACGCGATACATGGCCTGATTTAGTACCAATGAATATTATTCCCCATGCTTCATCCATGCACTGTATTGGACTACCTACATCCGCTGTGTCTCTGATTTGTAGTCCACTCTATAAAAATTCATTTATAATATACGCTGGCATACAGAACATTTTTATTAATGCATAGTATACTTTTTTTTAATGTCGATATAAAAATATTTTGTTTACTTACAGTCACATTGTAACACCGTAAAGTTCCATCCAACGAACCAGAGAACATCCATTCTTTGTCAATGTCTGTAACGTTTGTATTGTACACGTATAAACAAGTTACCGCTGCTTTATGGCCTTTATAGATGTTCAATATTCCATTAGACAATTGGCTGTATCTATATATCCTGCCATCTTCGCTTGCAGCTAGAAATGAATTCTCAAAAACCTAAAAGACATATTTGTTCTTACAGTATATTAAATGTAGCGAAACTTGTGAGACTAACATAAATTGTGAATATGAAAAATTATTATTCAATGTTCGTGTTGCGCGTGTAATATCAATGAACTGAGATATAAATTTAAAAAAAAGTTATATCAAGTAACGGAAACGACTAGCTGCAAGAAGAAACTAAGGTAAAGGATAATAATAAGTGAAAAACTTCGAAACTAGAAACTTTGGTGACTTTATTTATACTATTCCTACGTATTTGTACACTGATAGTCGTTGTTGAAATGAGTTTTTATGGAATGTAAACCTAAAAGTAAAAACCAATAAAAAAAAAAAAAAATTACACACAACTAAAATGCTTTATACTTTGCAGATGATTGCGTTTTATAGGAATCGGGAGTATACAATACATTTTTCCCCCTTCTTTCTGACAACATAACAATTTTTACCTTTGTGAAATTATTTAAAAAAATTTCAATGCTTTCATTTTGTTTTTCTATTACAGTGGCATCGATCCTTAATTAACTTTACCTTAATATCTAAAATAGGACCTTTATGGACTGTATACTGTGTCCTTGGTAGTTCCTTATCGTCCTTCGTCTCTATCACAGTCAATGTTGATCCAGAATCACTATAATGTTGATTCTTGGTAACTATCGTTTTCTCCTCCACGATCTCGATATCCGGTTTCTCTCGATCGTGTGAAATGTCCACGACAACTTGCTCTTTCGTCAAAATTGGCATTACTTCGATATCTGTATCTGAACACCTTTCTTCGTCGTTTTCAGGTAAATCAATGTTCATAGATTTCGGTCCCTTCTTAACTTTGATTATGTAAATTTGATCGTCCATGGATCGCATTACATTATCCGGTTTGTTAACCAATTTAGAAGACTGTCCTTGTAAAAGTTCAGGCGTTGAGGTCCGTCTCATGGGACTCGGGATATCTTTGGTTGACGTTGATTGCATAGATTTTACACGAGACTGGTGGTCCGGGCTAGGTGGTACTTGAACAGAGCGAGGATGAACATATGGATTAATCTTTGAAATTCCAAACTTTCGTAGCAAGTTAGGATTTACATCCGGTTTTAAGAGCGTGTGCTTACTGTCCACCAAATTCACCGTGCAATTCATCATTTCCAGCACCGTGAGTTTACGTCTTTTGTTAATATATTTCGACTCGTCGCTTGAACCTGATGAATTCGAGAGAATTTCAATTTCTTCATGCATATATCGTTTCCTATTCGTCATTGGTTTTTCAACGCTACGAATTTTTTTAACATTCGTCGGAACATTTTCAGCTTCCTCGTACAATGACGGCGTGGGCGATACACTTAGAATCTGTAGATCTTGATCAGCATTCTGTACATTTCCGTCAGCCTCGAGTTTTATGTGTTTCGTAAACTCTTCCGTGTATCTCGAACTTCTCCGAAGAGGCGGTTTGCTGTTTTCTCTTCTGCGTTTAGATAACTTTTTGCTGAACGCCTCGTCGATTTGACACGCGTCTGTCGTTTCAGCAAGAGAAAGTATAGTTATACGATTACGGTTATCATTTTCTTCATTCGAGGATTTGTTGGATCGTTCGGATTCTCTTCTTTTACGCGGTACTTTCTGCTCTTTTATACTTATGAAGAATTCATCTTTGCCATTCGTATCGTCATTCTTGAACTGAGCGTCTTGGTTTAACAAAGAATCTTTGTATAAATCTTCTTCCAAGATTTCTATTTCGGCATTGGCATTCTCTCTCGTAGTGAACGTGGTAATCTCGCTTGTCGTTGCCACATCATCATAATTGCTGGATTCATATGAACTGTCATGGTTGCTTTTAGTATCATCAGACACTGTTATCACTTGCTTGGTGTCTAATGATACGGTTTTCTCGGCGTTAACAATGTTCTCTTGTAAATTAGATTCCTTGTTCGGCTTATCCGTGTTGTAATTTTTGGTTCTCTCTGTATCCAAATTTGCTTCTGGAATGTTTAAAATATTTTGATTATTCTGTGTAGTGTTGGTATTTGATTTCATAGTACATGCATCTGAACTTTCAACTGAGATTATTTTACTGGTCTCTACATCGTTATCTTCCACGATTTGCTGTACAGAAGGTTCTATTACATTCGTTTCGATAATTACAGATGCACCAGATGAATCTTCCATGTTTAGTGATTCTACACTAACCAAATTTGGATGAGCTTGTCCTTCATTGTCTGATAGATTTCGAGGTTTACTAAAAGAAATCGCTGATTGTAGATTACTATCCGCATTATCTTTGCCATCACAAGGAATTGGAACATTAGAATTGCTAGACAATTCGATGGAAACTTCTTTAAAATTTTTCAACATAGACAAGATTTCCATTTGCTTCTCTTCTTTTGATGATTTAGGTTCAAGGTTTGCTTCTGAATCATTCGCTTGCTCCTTGTTTATGGACGCATAATCCACATCAGGCATTTTGTTTTGCTTATCTTCGCTTGATAACTGTCCTGATTTTTCTGTATAAAGACTTTCTGTTCGGTTTTCTGCCACAGCATTTATTACTTCATCCACATTCTTCCAAAGTTGTTGATTACTGTCCGTTTTCTCTAGTTGTTCATCCAGAAAGTTCAGCAGCTTCCTCTTTTTATGTACTTTCTTCACATACAATGTAGACAATGGTAGCTCCTCCTCTTCAGGTGTCAGAGTATTCACGGTTTGCGGCAGGCATCGCGCTCTCTTTTGCTTTCTTCTTCTTCGCGCTTCGATTCTTATTCTTCGCGTTTTTGCCATTTCTTTCCTATACGTTTCTTCCAGAAGAGCGAGACCAGTAGCTGGCTTCTTTTGATCGTCGCTTGGTGTTTGTAGAAGGGAGTCCCAAGTACTGTCATCCGAATATATCGATGATCTCTCCGGTGTTCTATTCTCCAATGCTTTTGTCACCGAACTTGCCGTATCCGTATCATTTAACGCTTCTGTTTCATCTTCATTATCTTTCAACGAGGAAACAGTTTCATCAACTTGCTCCATCGCTGTTGGTTTATATTCATCACAGCACACTTGAGATTCTATTTGTTCAGAAATTTGTTCACTTGCTCCAGCGTTACAAGCCTCTATTCTATCATCCAGAGGTAAATCCTTAGATACATCGTTTGACTCTTCTTGAGATTTAATTTTATATGTTGGATCCTGACTAGAATTTTGTTTCATTACTTCTTGTTTTGTACTGGTCTTTTTAGATAACGATTTTGCTGCATCGATAGATTGCTTCTCTTTTATTGTAGTCGATGAGGTATCCTTGGCTGGTTTATACTCCCAATTAACCACTCTTTCAGTCCCTCTATGCCTTCTCCTTCTTTTAAAACTTGCAGCTTTGGTATCTGTAGCAGGATGTACGATCTGTTCATTGTCAGAACCATAGGCAAAGATACAATTTGTCTTTTTTTCAGCATGACGTTCATGTTTGGATACTTCAGATTTATTTATCCGTACAGGATTAATCGAGCTATCCTTTGAGGGTACAATTTCTACGGTCGTTTTGGCACATTGATTCGTTACAGGACTAGCATCTATATTCTGAATTAATTGTGACATTAATGCAGATGGAGTTCTTGGTCCAACTACTGCAGTTTCGAGTTCCTTGTTATCATTTATTGTGTCGTTTGCTTGCGAATCACTATTGGTTGGTAAAGCATTGTTCCTCAGCTTTTGATACAAGGTCATCTTTTCAGTCATTAGTTTGTGAATCTCAACGTCGATCTCGATCATTCTAGCCATAATAGCCTCCTTGGTGGTTGGATGTTTAACTTTCACGCTATCGGACCGCACTGCCTCTTTTATTGCTTTCTTAGAAATGTTACATTTCATCTGTTGTTTGTGTTTCATACTGTGCTTGCTTTTCATCTTATGTAAGGTTTTATTTTCCTTCCTTTTATCAGATTTACCAGAAATTTCTTGCTCTTTCATTACTAGCTCAATCAACTGTTTCGATTTCTCTTGTTTTACAACTAGATTAAAGTATGCATCTTTATTGATAGGTGTTTCAGAAAAGGTAGAAATTATCTTATTTTCAGGACTATGGTCTAGTTTCTTGTTAGGTTCTATGTTCAACTCTAAAGTTTCCTTATTGTTTGCTGAAGTTTCTTTATTCAGTTCTGAAAATTCCTTGTCCACCTCTGCAATTTCGTTATTCACATCTACAGTTTCCTTGTTCAGTTCTGAAGTTTCTTCCTCCGCTTCTGCAGCATCTTTGTTCAACTGTAAAGTGTTCTCATTCGACACAGAAGTTTCCTTGTTCACTTCTACAGTCTCCTTATTCAGCTCCAACGTTTTCTTGTTCAACTCTGCAGTTTCGTCCAGCTTTAAAGTTTCCTTGTTCGATTTTGCAATTGTCTTGTGCAGCTCTACAGTGTCCTTATTTGTTTCAAAAGTTCCTTTATTCAATTTCAGAGTTTTGTTATCCACATTTAGAAATTCAACATTCACTTCAGACGGTGATGATGTAACTAAAGACAAATTTTCCGATGACTTCGATAAGGCAGGTTTCGCTACATTTAAATCTGTCAATATTTTAGCATCATGCTGTAAGTTATTTCTTGGTACATCAATGGGACAAAAACTTTTCGGTGCAGTCTTTTCCATTTCTGTGCATGATAAATCAGATGTTTGAGATTCCTTAAGAATATCATTAACAGGAGGTGCATTTGTTCGTGATGATTCTGTTAGAACTTCTGGCTCAACTGGATCCATCAATTTAGAATCAGCATTAGATTCAGAAGAAGTTGTGGTTGCAACGTTTACAATATTTTTCTTTTCATCAGTAAACAATTCCATTATGTTAGAATTTGTTTCAATAGATGTAGGTTTCTCCTGTCCCTTTATAGTCGTCACGTCGTTTGTATCAAAGACTTTTGATAGCTCTTTGAAACTTATCGAGTTGAAGTCTGATGACTTAACATTATCCATCGAGTTCTCTACTTCTGGCAAAGGTCTGCTCGAAAATATATCCATCTCCCTTGCAATACAATCCTCTAGATCCAAATCAAGTGTGCTCAATTTTTCAATCGATCTACCATCTGTATCATCTATGTATTCGTCCAAAACAATGAATGGTTCACCATTCTCGTCAAACGTATCCTGGCTATCCAAGTCAAGCATTGGTGAAACGTCATTCCGGCGCATATTAATGTTACAAGTGTGAAATTCCTCTGGTATATCCTTGTCCCTTGTCTCTAACGCTCTTACAACAGTCTCAATGTTATTTACAACACTAGAACGATTACACGGTTTGTAAGCAATGATATTTTCAGTGGTACTTGATTTATTTTCCACTGATGCGCAAACTGATGTTGGTTCATTTGTTTCTTTCATTTCCATGGAAGGGTTGTTCTCATCATCGTTATCGTCACTTCTTGCCTCTGTACTGAGTCTGTCATTAAGACGCGTCTTCAGCCATTCCTCTGTGCCTTCTGTTGCAATTTCTTTGGAATCCCCATCGCTCATCTCTATGGTATATAACTGGGACACTTTGTGAATATCGTCTTCGATGGATTCTGAAAGGAAACCTTTGAATGGACTGCCTGAACTATCGGGGGATCTTACTTCACTTTCTTCAGTTTTACTGCAATCATCCAAGGTCTGTAAATCTTGCAACAGAGGTGTAGATTTGTTCTCATTCTGATCACCGACATTTACTTTTGCTTTTAAACTTGTACTACTCTCACCAATAATTTCTAAGTCTATTTTTGCAGATACAGTAAAATTACTGTCCACTGTATCATTCTTAAGATTTTCGTCGCTTCTTAAACACGAAAAATGTAATTCTTGATTCGTACAATATGGATCTTCAGTAGAAACTATTGTATTTGACACAGATTTATTGCAGGAATCTGATAAAATATCATTAAGAAAAGGTACTTCTTCCTTTATATTCTTCTCTTTGTTCAATTGTTCGGTAGCTATACACTTAGGCGATATGTCGTTTGTATCAAGACTTTTAGAACTATTTTCGTCGGTCACCATAACACTACTTTCTCTCGTTTTTGAATTTTGGTCAGCTTCTGTTCTTCTTTGATCTGTAACTTGCTGATTCTTCGGGAGTATTTCATTAATATCGGTTGCTATTTCGTTATCACATACAATTCTTTTATCGTTTTCCTCTACTATTATAGATTGAGTATTAACCGACTCCTTATTCATTTCGCAGTTAATACTATTCTCTATTACTACACTCTTAGCATGTATTGTAGATTCTAACAAATTTTCGTTCACCTTTTCGCTTTGCAACGATTCACGAGAGTCGCAACTATTTGCCCTCTCAATTTCAGTCTTAATGGCACTGTTTGCGTCTGGAACCAATAGATTCTGTGTCTCTTCAGTTTCCTCTGAATGTTTCAAATCTTTCTCTGTCGACAAAGGCTTGGATTTCATGGATTTCTTTTTCTTCTCCGTTGATTTTTTGTCTTTCTTCAATTTCAGTTCTTTGCTCCCTTCTGATCGGATATTCTTAAACTTAGTGGACTCTGCCGTAGTCGATGACTTCTTTGATTTCTTCTCTTCTAATTCTATTCTAGACGCAGCTTTCATTCGGTGGTCTTCTAATTCACGATTAACTAGTTTTTCTTGTGGCAATGGTTTAGCATCGCTTTTACGATCCTTGGATTTCACGGAATCTGTAAGAGGATTCAAATCGACATCTACCGAACGAGATGTTGGTCCTTCGTTGATACTCTTCGACTGTACAGAAGCTGACAATTCCGTATTATTTTGAAGGACGTCCGTGGATAGATGTTCTCCTTCCAAATTAATTTTTTCTTTAACTTCTTTGCTGGAAGTTTCTTTGGGAGAAGCCACCGATTGATTCGCTATTTTCATTTTAGTTAAACGTGGATCCTTCAACTGTGCTTTACTTACATCCTCTGTTACCTTTAACTTATCCATTGTACTTGATGTTTCAGTTTCATTATATGTCTTATTTAATGGCAAAGCATGTTGTGAGTTGTGAGGCAACGAAATTGAAATCCCAGAATTTTCTTTCAACTTAGCCTCCTCCTTCAAGCGTCTTTGTAAAGCACGTTCCTTGTACGCCTTTATATCTATCTTTTTGTAGCCGCCTTTAGTTTCCGTTAAAGGGATACTTGTTGGTAGTGCTTTTAGATCAGTGTTCTGGACGTTGGTACTAATTTCAATAACAGGATTTGTAATATTACATGACACCATGTTTGCTGTATTGTTACCACTGATAATTTCAGTGTGTCGTTGTCCTGTAACATTTAAAGACGTATTAGTTTGAGACAAAACGTTATCCGTGGGTAATTGAGCATCTATCTGGTCATTGTTCGTTTTAGCTATTTCTTTATCTTTGTTCTCCTCTGCTTGTTCTTTCATTTTCTCGTTATCAGTAGTACTCTTAGCAATTTCAATCGATTTCTCTATAGTTTGTTTACGCTCTGGTTCACCAGACTCTGGCATTTGCTTGAGTTGTGCCTTAGTTTTCGGTTGCACCATCATAGAAATAGTAGTCGACTTTATCTTTACTTGCAATGGCATCTTATCGCAGATAATAGCAGGAACTTGATGCTTTACTGTCTCCGAGCTTGGAAATTCAATCTGCGAAACTGATTCGGCCGTTTTGTTGATTGCAGCGGGAACAACGGTGAGAGTGGTATTAATTTCATTATTGGACGTTCGAAGAACGGTTTCCTCGAACATACTCTCCGGTTCCTCTTTAACGACCACCTCCTTTTTTATTTCATCCTCCGTTAGCAACCGAAACTCCTCCGACTGTTCACTGGACTTTGACAGATCCGAATGAGAATTTCTCTTTCTTCTTTTCTTTCTCTTCCGTTTGTCCCTCCTGTCCCTTTTTCGTTTCTCGCGTTTCCGGAACTTCCGGTCCCTGTACTTGCTTTTCTCCTTCCACTTTTTCTCTATCTCAGCGGTGACCTCGTCTCTGATCGTCTCGTTCAGCGTTTTCTGTTTAGCAATCTTTTCGTTCTCCTTGATCACCTTCAACAATTTCGTTACATTTGTCGATACGGCCTCCTCGTCGCTGTCGCTGGAACTGTTTGTGCTAGAGTCAGTGCTGCTCTCCGAATACTCCGCCCTTCGCAGGTCCTCCAGTTCATTGTAGCGACTAATACTGCACCTCTCCGGATTATACGCGGGAATCTCGCGTGTCGTAGGACTCATGCTCAAGTGCCTCATAGGCGAATCCGACGAGCAATATCTTTGAGACTGATAATTTCTGCTGTCTCTGCTCAAATTTTCAGCGCTGTTAGAAGAAATTTTTCGTATAACGATCGAAGTTGAGGTGTTCATCGACCCGTACTTAGCCTCCCATTCTTCTTTCGTTAAATTCCTGAACATATCTGGATCCTCGCGCTCCTTCCTTTTCCATCTCTCGTACTTCTCGGATCTGGACGTCTCCGGATCATCGCGCTCTTTCCTGTTCCATCTCTCATACTTTTCACATCTGAACGTATCCGAATCCTCTCGCTTGTTTCTATTAACATTCTCATACTTCTCGGATCTGAATGTATTCCGGTCCTCGGAGCTGGATTTACGTGCTCTCGAATTGATCGAGTCGCCGCTTTTGCTGAGTGACTTAGCTCGGGCAATTCCAGCTGAAAAAATATCATCAAGATCAGCCGCCGTCGTGTTAAAAAATTGCGCGAATGAGTTACATTCAAAAGGTTTTGTCACAGATTGCAACAGCGAAGGAGCTTTATGTGTTTCTACAGATTTTCTTGGCTCTCTCGAAGTTGTAAACGTGTTAGGTTGATTTTTTGTCCTCTCTGTGACTTGCGACAATATATCATCTAAATCTGCTTCGTTAAATAATGGTTGTTGTATTTTATACGTACTCTCGGGTTCAGGATTTGATTTATTCAGCAATGATCGTTTCGATGAATTAGTGTTTTCCCGTGAAATGTTTAAATTCAATTCTGTAGTCAAAGAATAATGACTAGGTTCTTCCTTAGTATAGAAAGACTTTTCTTCCACGCGTTCAAGTAACTTATTCTCATGTTGTGTGCATTCAGCTGAAGGACGTTCTTCTATGATTTCTTGGTTTAAATATTCAGAGGTATGTGTTCTTGAAGTATCGTTTTGATTTATAGTTTTATCCTTGTCGATATCTGCGCTTTGCTTTTCTGATGATTCTATGTCAGATGGCATGGGATCTAGCTGCAAAACTTCACTCAAATGATGAATAAATTCTGTAGGCAGATCTGTGATACCTACAACAGCGCCTGGATCCAACATTGCGTTTAACTGAGTCATGAATTCTTCTCTATCGTACTCTTTCATTTTCTCATCCTCTGTGTTCCTCATTTTTAAGGACAAGGAGGATCTTCTTTCTTTCACTAGATGTTTCATTGCGATATCGAACTTGCGAAGACTCGAGTTGTTTACCATATTGCAAATATCGTTTTTGCTCATTTTCAGAAAACGGTTGATTACTCTGCTCTTCCAAGAAGATTCCGCGGTAGGAGCTTCTGTCTTTTTAGTTTCATTTCTTAATTTTTGACTTTTTTGTAAATGTAATTTTTCTGAATCGTTTAAATAATCCTGATGGCAAGATGCATCGGTTGGTTTCTCAACCATAGATGTCTTTGAATTCATTTTAGAACTGTGTTCAATTTCCTGATTCTTAGTTTGATTTGTATTATTTCTCTTGTGCTCAGAATGCTTTTTAGATTGTTTTCTTTCTTTATGAAGATTTTCAATTGTAACTTGTTGAGAAGTTTCCTTATTTTCAGGAATGTTTATTGGTGTTCTGTGCCATTCTTCGGGTTTCTGTATTACCTTTGTTTTGGAATTTAAGTTGAACACCACTTTGGGCCGTATTTGATCACCAGCCAATAGTGCGTCATCAATATTTTTGTTTAAATTTTGTACACACTGTTCCTCGTCTACTATTCCAGTTTCTTCATGTTTTTCTAATATTAATCCTGGTCCACAAATTACATTGTGTTTACTTTTTTTACTTTTATTATCTTTTTTCTTTTGTTTCTTTGTAATATTTACATTCGCTTGATTTGCCGATGAAAAACATGGTTTGTTTTCGAATGGTACAGGGATTTCTGACGGTGTAAACAATGTTTCAGGCAATACTGATGGTGCATCTTGATTAATCTTCATTTCTTCTGTCATATTCATTATTTGTTTCGCAAATTCCATTGCTTCCTGCATGTCTTCCAGACCATCATCCATATTTATACCATGATGGTGATTAGGATCTTTTTCTGGTAAAGGCTCTTGTGGTATAGGTAAAGGAACATCGGTGATATTTATAGGTGGTACAGGCAGTGCAAATTCCTGCACCATTACCTGTCCGCTATTTGCCTGTGGTAGAACAGATTGAAAATTAACTGGTAAATTAGGCATGAAAGTCTGATGCGAAGGCATATTTACTGGCAAAGGTTGTGAAAAATTTGCTGAAGCAGGCGTTATATTGAGGACTGATATTTGCGATGGTTCCATTAACTTCATTCCCATCATGTGGGCTCCGGGAGTATTTAATGGAGCAATTAGCTTAGAACGTTCTTGAGAAGAAAGTCGTGGATCAAAGATTGGTGGTGGTTGTAGAGTTTCATCTCGTTTGTGAATTTTTGGTGGTGGTTGTTGAGGATTGAACTCAGGTAATGTTTCATTTGTTTTCGCAATTACGTTCGTGATCCTAGGAGGTGGTTCTCTAGGGTCAAAGGCAGGGGTTTGCATAATTTCTATATTACTTGTAGGAGTAGTTTTTATTTGGTTTCTTGAATCTAAAGGCGGCATAGTCTGCGTAATTTCTTGCCTATTAGATGGTTCAGATACTGATATTGTTCTTATATTTGGTGGAGGTTCACTGGGATCGAACGTAAGTGGCAGATCTTTAGAAGAGAATGGCACTAATGCATGGTGCTGAGAGTCATGGCTCAAGGCAGGTACATTATGTGTAAACGGTGGTGGTGCACGTGGATCAAATGTAATTGGAACTAAATCAGTCATGTTATACGGTGCAATGTGTCTTGGTGGAGGCATTCGATTACCATGAAAAGGTAATTTCTGTGGTCCCCTAAAAAATAAATTATTTCCATTCTGTTGAAATGACCATCGACACCTAGGACCAGGAATTCTTGGAGCAAACCTGGGAGGTATATTAAATATCCTTGGTTGATAAGCAGGTGGATTATTTAATATCTGTACTTCATTATAAGTTGAACATATTGGTGATTTTGAATCACAGACAATATTTGCCTGAATCTCTTCACTAGGACGTGAAAATTTTATTGAATTATTCTGAGAAGTATCAGATGTACTCGTCGAAATTTGACAAGCTTCTTCTTCAGATAAATTTGTCTGTACATGATCTTGTAGTTGGTGTACATTTGATTTGAAATGTTCATTTTGTTGTAAATCTACATTAATATTCTGAACAGTACTTGTATCTATATCCTGTGTATCTGATTGCAATGTATTTTGACTTTGTGAGAAGTTTACTTGAGATGCATCTTGATCATTTAAAACTGTTGCTGATATTGAAGTCGTTTCTATATCGTCTAAATCTAGTGATTTTTCATTTGTTAGATCATTGATAGGTTCTATCGATGTAAAATTTATGTTCTCATCTAAATTTGGAACCGATAAAGTTCTATCTGTATCATTTGCATCTGAAGATACTACACTTTGTGCAACATTATCACATTGTAAATGTAAGTTTTCTAAATTACATCCAGAATCAGGTAAATCGTCAAAGGTCTGTTTCTGACAGTTAGTATTTTCCAACGATAAATTTGGTACGGTCAAGTCAATTTCTTGTACCGAATCTGAGATGTTCAAGATTTCTTCTTGACTTTCATTTATTACAATAATATCATCATTTGTATTGGTAATTGAATTTGTAGCTCCACTTTCAAAAGTGATTGTAATGTCATCATTATCAATTTTATCTTCCGCATTGTCAAATTTTGAATTATTGCAATCAATCCTGCCTATATCCCTAAAGTCAGTAAAACTTAGATTAAGTTCAGGCGGTTCATGTCTGAGCTCAGGAATACCTTTGTTCTTAGTATTATTTTCTTCAGAACCAATATTTGGTAATACAGACAAATCATCTTCCCAAAAATTTGTAAGTTCTTCTTCCGTTATGGAAGATAATTTCTCCTTCAATTTGTCAGCTGTTTCTGTAATTTTTTGTTGACGTTCCTCTTCAGAGCCAAGTAGAGGAATTTGTGGCACCAACACAGACTTATCTTCTTCTATAATTTGTTCTTCTTGCGGCAATGGTACCCTGGGTCCAGGATTTCTTATGAAACTTGCACAAAATTGATGAGCTGGTGCTCTGCCAGGACCGGAAAACCTTAATATTCCCCGATTATTCGGTGGTCTACCTCTGCTAGTTGGTCGATATTGTAAATTACTCCTATATTGAGGCCGCGGAACAAAACCTTTCTGCCATGGTACAAAATTCGGACCTTCTACCCATTTTTCGGATCCAGACAATCTATGTAATGATCGTGGATGATTAAAATTAGGATGTGGAAATCGGGGTCCAATAAAGCCATTGGTCGGACCATTTGAACGAGCACCCCGTGGTCCAAAGCCTCTTCCTCTGAATCCACTGCCGTTCATTACACTGTCGATACTGGCACTTTAATTATCGTAGTGCATTTGAGCCTACAGTTCTTTTAACAGTCATGTGACTCCTGAAACGCACTGAGCTAGGTGTAAAAAGGTTCACATACTGCATAGTTTATCCTGTTATGGTCTTATTACTTTGTACAAACAGACACTTTTTAGAAATTTGTAAATCTGTAATAAGACACATATTTGTATATTCACAGGTATCGTCAACGCTAACGTTGCCAAATATTACCTAAAAATAACCTACTACGAATAATGGTTCAATATCGTGCAGGAGAAGATATCAACATAAAGGAGAATATTCTCTTATATTGTCCTTAACCTTTTCAAACGTGATTACTTAGTTACAACGAATTTAATTCGTGATTACGAATATTACGATCAACGTGTATACATATTGTGTATACTATCGTGAGGAAAAATATGTAATTCCTGCAATACAAATGAAATAATAACAAAACGACGTGCACTTATCATTCAAATATAATCGCCATGTTGCACAATAAATCTCGTCAACCTCGATAAACAACGCACACATTACTGTCAAATAGTTAGGCTCAACGAAAATATCTTCTTAACATTTAAATGTTTTAATCAATGGTCAACGATCAAATATTATTGCGTGTTGCGTTCATAACAAATATGTTTTCGGAAACAACCACCGCACCGTACTTGATTCATTCAATTAGAATTAGATCTTCACTGTTCACGTTTAAAAACTAAAACCCAGTCACGAACTCACGAACATAGTAGAGATCGTTCATAATATTTGCAACTAGGTCCACAAACATTTTCTGCACTAAAATCTCTTGTAAGATCGTTTGAGGATTCAACTAATTTCGCGCAAAATAATGTGTAAAATAATTAATCGTTGGCCTATTTTAAGTAGAATACACTATTTGCGATCATATAATATGAAGTTGTAACATACTAATAAAATAACTTCGAAGGTAACCTTAGGGACAGGATCATCGTCATTATCAGCTGTCACAATTCATATGTTGTATCCATTTCTAGTAACAATGATTTTTTTTCTAACATTCTATAATTATAAAGTATATAAATTTAAATATTTTTGATTTTGTGATATTATTTATTACAGTTTCTACCGAATGACTCTTAAACATTTCTATAATAACGTAATGTAATGCCTCCGATGGAAAAGTACGCGGTAGTTTTAAAAATATGAAATTTCATTGCATTCGATACCTGAAATTATTGTAATGTTTGTAGCGACGGTTATTTCGCACCCTTTCTAGATCAAAGTTTGTGGCAAACAATGTTCACTGATTTCAGAACCTATCAGTGGCTAATTTTAGAACACGCTGCGCTACAGCCTGCTGTGCGTTAATGTAACACCGCACATTTCAAATTATGTGCATCGGTTCGAGGTCCGATCGCTAGAGGCGCTAATTTACAACTAGAAAAATTCGTCTCGGGCCGGACAGACTTATCGACGATCTCTCTACTTGTCTTTGGCATCACTTCCTCGGTGAGGAATCTTCACCATCATAAGAGTCGTGAACGAACATCTGAGTATAATTTGCCATTTGAGGATGGCCGCGATGCTGTCCAACTGTTCGCGGTTCGTGCCTCGTGCAATAACACGAATTAGTATATCACGAACGAAGGTGAGTTCCTTTTGGTATTCGTGTCCCTTCCTCGCTTGGTAGTTTGAAATTTTGTGACACATGCCTTAAATAAGAATAATCTAACGCCCTTTTTAGTAAGAACCTGCCATCAAGGTTATTGCAGTACTACCCTTACCTGTGATGATCCATTATATAATATCATTTTAACGCTTCTCACACCCTTCACTCGATCCATCGCCAATGTAATCTGTCAATGAAAGATCATTACTTTCGCACGATCGTTGAACGCGAATTAAAAACTGTTAAATAACCGATCTTGGCCAACCTTGACTTACTTATAACTTACAGTTATACTTCTTTTCTATGATAGAAACAATACCTATTTTTATCTTGCTTCTCAAGTACCATGTTTCTGCCAACATATATGAAAGAACTATCCAAATACATTGTGTTGAATTTCATTATAAAAATTTATATTGTATTTGGATGTAGTTCCGAAAGGCCCCAGTGGTCAGTTGACATGAATTTTGAAGTATGGGAAGGGGAGAGGTACGGATTTTAAATATAAAATTTTAACTTCGAATATTTGATAGTTTCCGAGATGAAAGGTTAGTTATGGTTATTTCTCATTTCATCGCCGAGTGAAGGACTGCTGCCGCCCGGAACGTGTGCAACACTACGTATTTAGGTTACCTTAGAGTAGTATATTGCAAACTAACATTTTCCGGCCAACAAAAGTTTAAACCAAATATCTTGGAAATTATTAATTACCCGAAGCTGAAATTTTAGATTTTAGCCCTCTTCTCTTCTCTCCCCTTCCCCTCCAAATTTCGTAACGATCGACCACTGTAAATTATACATATTAACATTTTTTTCAGGTTGTGAGGTCTTTATCTAGCCAAGGTAAGACTAATTGGTATTGAAGATAACACGTTAAGGAAGTGGTGAGATATGTTGAAAATTTAAAAATTATCTTTATAGAGAGGCATACCAACATTGGGGATAACCATGAACATAAACTACTAATTGTATCAAATCATTTTTGTAGGGCGCATACTATTTATCCACACCGAACATGTGATCAACAAGAACTCTCGATTGTAAGTTAAAAACACATCAAAAAGATTAAATTACCACATTTAAAAAAAAAATTATAGAATATTTTATTATGACATTTAATAGAACAGTCTTAATCTAAATTTTTAATAAACATTTAGGTGTACAAAATATAAGAAATTTCACTGCCGGATAGACCAAGCAAGATATATACATTCAACATCTACATTATGTAAGTCGGCTTTGAACGGTCAAGGAGTATACTAATAATAGTATCATAAATTCTAATATGTATTATATTTGTATGCGACAGGGGACTTAAAGGAAGTTGTAGTACCAGCGTTTGCAGAAAGCGTAAGCGAAGGAGATGTCAGATGGGAAAAGAAAGTTGGCGATCAAGTTAAGGAAGATGATATCCTGTGTGAAATTGAAACAGATAAGGTAAAATAATCCTATAAATGACATTGGTATTTTATAGTTAGTAAATTTATGATGATGCTTTTGTAGACTTCAGTTCCTGTACCAGCACCCGGTTCTGGTGTTCTAAAAGAAATCTTTGCAAAAGATGGTGATACTGTAAAACCGGGACAAAAATTATGTACTCTTGACATTGGTGCTACTGGTGGAGCAGCACCAGCAGCAGAAGCACCAAAGCCTGCTGCAACGGCTCCGCCTCCACCATCTGCACCTTCTGCAGCACCTCCACCACCACCACCACCACCACCGCCGCCGCCACCGCCGCCTACATCAGCTGCACCACCTCCACCTCCAGCAGCTCGTCCTCCACCTCCGCAAGCACCTACAGCCTCCATGCCAGTTGCTGCAATTAAGCATGCTCAAGTAAGAATTATCATGTATGATTACAAATAAACTTTACTTGCATTTATTGTATTTTATTCTTTTTAACGAAAATTTAAAAACTTAGTCTTTAGAAGGTGCAAAAGTTCAATTACCTCCCTCTGATTACACACGTGAAATAATTGGCACAAGGACAGAACAGCGAGTGAAGATGAACAGGATGCGATTACGTATCGCGGACCGACTAAAAGAAGCTCAAAATACAAATGCTATGTTGACAACGTTTAACGAAATTGACATGAGGTTATTACATGTTAACTGTTATTTTGTCTTTATTAAAAATTTCTTTTCATGATCACTAATAAATTGACCTTTTTTTTTTTTACAGTCGTATCATGGAATTCCGTAAAACACACCAGGAAAGCTTTACGAAGAAGTATGGTTTGAAACTTGGATTTATGAGTCCATTTATTGCAGCAAGTGCTTATGCATTGAAAGACCAACCAGTAGTAAATGCTGTAATAGACGGCACTGACATAGTTTATAGAGACTATATCGATATCAGTGTCGCAGTTGCAACACCAAAAGGTCTTGTTGTTCCAGTTATTCGCAGTGTAGAAAATAAGAACTTTGCAAACATTGAAATCGCTCTGGCAGCTATAAGCGATAAAGCAAGAAAAGGCAAAATATCTGTAGAAGATATGGATGGCGGTACATTCACAATAAGTAACGGTGGTGTCTTTGGTTCTCTCATGGGAATGCCTATTATTAATCCGCCACAGAGCGCAATTCTTGGAATGCACGGAGTATTTGATAGACCTATTGCAGTAAAGGGCGAGGTAAACAGTAAATTATATTTGCATTCAATTTTATTACGATTATTGTTAATAACATCATAATTTTTCAGGTCGTAATTCGTCCAATGATGTATGTAGCTTTGACATACGATCATCGATTGATCGATGGCCGCGAGGCTGTGATGTTTCTGAGGAAAATCAAGGAAGCCGTCGAAGATCCCAGAATTATCTTAGCTGGCCTTTAAACATCGTAAATATTTACATTCAATCGCTTCGAATACGCCTCTCATCTCTCCCAAAACGTTTTGTAGGCGTTGTATTATATTCTGTCCACCGAGACTTTTATTTGATACTCAAGAGACTCTTGAATACTTACTGATCATTGTGATAAACGAAAGTAAGGAAAAATATTATACAGACAAGACAGTATAAAATGTTTCTTCTACTCGACAATTTTAGTTTATTATGGAAGTATCTTCATTCACTCATATTTCAGTATTCAACAATACGAAGCTTTCTATGATATAGGTTACGATTTAATTAAACTTGAATTTAAGCGCAATACAAGAGAATGTTATTGGCATAAAGGATTATATGTATATTTTAATTTTTTTGTGACTCAAACTTGGACTACATAATAATCGAAAGAAAGGGAAGAAATTAAATGCTACGTGGTACAAAATATATTTAAATTGAAAAAAAAAAAAAACAAAAAATATGTGCATAACGGAAGAAATTTCTAGTCTATTACTTTAATATTGTTATAAAAAGTTCAAACTTTAATTGTATTTTTTGATTACCTTTATCAAAAGTAGCCGTGAGCGTTGAAACGTTCTTTTATATATCGTTTATATTGCTGGACAATACTGTTTTTCGATTCTACAATACGTGATGCCAGAGATTGCGTGAGATGCGTGTTTACCTTTTTCAGGAATGAAGTAAAACAGCCACGAATGTTTGTAACGATTATTCTATTGTTTTTAAATGTATTTATTTTCATTTGGATGGCCTTGATCAGCGAGACGTCATAATGAAGCGATAGACAAACAGCTAGAGGATACTTTACTACAAAAATAAATGTATCTGAACAATTAAAATAAAATTTCACAAAGCTACATGTTGTCAACATTGTTGGATTGTGTTCACGAATGTTGCAAACTCTATGAAACATCTTAAAAAAGAAAATAGATTTTCTGCACATGTGTAACATTAAATAAAAAGCTTGTACATCTTTCTACAGGTATAACAACTTTGCAATTGATTATAATCATTGAACACAATTATCTAAGTTATTGTTCTCAAATTAAAATTAGTACTAAATCATTTCCTCATAAGGTACTTTAATGTTATTGAAAGTATCACACAAATTTTTAATAATAGAACATGCACAATAAAATGCATATCAAAAATACAGTATTATTTTATTGTTTACAACTTTCATTTCACACATTTTTTCTTATTTTTGATTTTATTTAAAGACTTATATAAACGGGTCAACTTTTTTTCTTTGATAGAAGCAAAAGCTCTGCTTAAAATTTTCACGAGGCGGTCCGAAATTACTTCGGGCAGCTTCGGAGATTCGAGAAAGGGGGCATGTGTATCAGTTTGCCTTTGCGACTCTACGAGCTCACTTACGCCGTGATCTAGCGTAGCGTGAGTAGTGCGTCCAGTGCTCGATCTGGCAATCTCTGGTACTACCCATTCGACAAAACGCTTCATTTGAATCAGGTTATGTGTCAGTTTGTTTACAAACACGTTCAGAAAGATTAGGCAAAATGAATATTCACGTAGCATTGGACGAACCTTTGACAAGTAATACTTGCGTGAAACTTATAATTGAACTTTTAAAATATATTTTATATCAAAAACAACAAATACCATTTACATATGATTCGTTAACTCGAATGCAAACAAACGTGAAATCAACTGGCAGAAATTCATTCTACATAAAAACCTTATTAAACTCTTTAAAATGTACATCGGAACAGTTGGACTTGCAGTTTCATCTCACAGGATGCAAAGTCAAAGAAATTGCTATACTTATTGGTGGTACTATAATGTCGCCAAAACTGCAAATTAGACTGGAATTTCCACCCGATATTCTTAATAGCGAAGAACACTATGAATGTAAACACGCTTCTAGGAAACCTCTGTTAAGCCTAATGAGGTGAGTAAAGATCATTGGACGATAATCTTATTTTTATTTATCATCGATGTAATTAAAGCGTTATAAAATTAATTTTCTAGGTCAATGTTTGAATGTTCTAAATTTCAAGATGCAATATCTTCGCCAATACATCTTACAAACACTTTTGTATTTATACAAAAAAGTGATAGTCATTCAATGTCCGAGTTCTTTTTACCTAAGCCGCAATATATACCTCCAACGCAAACTACAAATTGTTTCTTCATTAAATTGCATCACAATGATCAAATAAAAAGGGATTGCAATTGCATAGATATCATAAAAGTTTACAATGATTTATCCGAATCTAATGCCAATAAAGATAGGAATATTCACCATTTACATAATTCAAACGAGAACGCTACAAACATTCCATATCAATGGTATCAATCCAGAGAAGTAATTAAAGGATTCAAATATATAAGATGACTATCAGACAATTATTAGAAATTGAAGAACTTTTTGTTAAATGAACAAATTATAGGAAATAAATCAATTACTATATTATTGAAATACATGACAGAACTTTAATGATATTGAATATATTGACTATAGATAATATTTGTATTTACTATAGTAAAAATTTTTTTAATAATTAAAAATTAGTACGCTAAATACTATATTATTGAAAAATATATGTCCATATTGTTCTAATAAAATCAGTAAATAATTGATGAAACACGGGTATATTTAATTTAATGATTTCCAATTTTAACATTTTCATAACACTCTTAGTTTATGTTAGCAACAACTCAATTGCTTGCATTAAAGTTACCATAAGTTTTCAATTATATATTAATCGTTATATTAAATTCATATTTTGTACATTAATCTTTCTTCTCATTTTGTTTATTGTTATACTTTTCTGTTTGATCTTTATCAGTTTTATTTAAGGCATAGTTGTTTGGAACTTCATAGATTCTGATTTTAAAAATTCTAAAATCATTAATTATTATTACTCTGAAAATTAGTACCACCAATCCTCCTATCCAACTCCACATCATTATAACTGAAAAAGCCTTGAGAATATTTAATATATAGTTTAGTGAACATAAGATCTTATTATAAAAGTAAAATATTTAAATGTTTTCAACAAATAACCTGAAGCCAAACAAGCAGTTTGCAAGTATTATTAGCTTGAAAGTGATACATCTCCACATATGTATGAACAATTTCACATTCACTGTAAATCAATTTTAATCAAAACAATATCTATGAAACACAGTAATTTGTATTTCACACCTTATATTCCTTGGTATTTCATAATTGCTGCTCATTTTGAAGAAAACATTCTTCACATCGTTACTAAATTTTTTATATCCTTCCTCTAAGTCAATGGTGACATATGTTGTTATTATTGAAAATATTAAATTAAAAACCATTGCATAAGGAACAATTCTCCATGGTGCTTGTACTCTATATATTCATATAACATCCAATGGCTTTACATTGTTATTGATTAGAATTAACAATAATAATTGTAATTACTTGCATCATCGTATTATAGCCACCTTTTCCACAGATGAAAAATAAAGTGAGCCATACAATTCCAAATATACAGGAGAACAAACATGTCATAAAATACATGATGCACTTATATCTATAATCATAAGTGGTGATAACATAGTTCCACCAGTCTGTATAACTTGAATTTGTTGTATATTTATTAACAGTGTCATCTAATATTGAGTCCATTATTAACATTGAAATAGATTTTGCCCAAAGTGGACAGTTTCCATTAAAAGACTGTTTCTTGAAATTTCATAATAATAAAATTGATAGATATATGATCTTGTTTAAAATATCGGGATAAAACAAATTATATTATTATTATACCCATATCAAATAGAACAAAATGCTGCAAACGTAACCGCTGATTGCACATAGGAAATAAAGAAATATTTGCACAACTTTCCATAAATAAGAAATGTCAGTTGCATCGCGCTCAATAAGTTCATGGTATTCTTCCAAAAGTTGCATCGCGAATCTTTGCGCGATATCGACGAAAATGCGAATTGCAATTTACGAGTATCTTTTATTAACGTTAGACCGGGGATCAAAAATATTGCGCGCCAACTTCATCCGTGCCAAAAGACACGAATCTGATTGGTTTATTAAGTACGAACAAAATACAAACGACAGCGAGACGAATGAGTTTTAAAATTTATAAAATCACCTTTACGTTACGCTGGACAGACATTTAATAAAATTACTTTGTTACGACGATTATTAAGGTGCAAGTAGATTAAAGCATTTAAATTGATTGAAAATGAAGTCGAAGCTCATAATATTTTCTAAACGTCGAGCTTGTAATAGATTCGACGTAACTTCGGTAACTTTGAAGGAAGTGTTGCAGACTGATCGTGGGAGTTGGACCGAGAAACGGAGGAACGCGCGGACCGCGAACCGCCACAGTGTTGTCGACGAGAAGGATACACGAAGGCGAGAAATTCTTGTTTTTTTTCACATCTGAACATCGAAAATCACGAGGAAAACGATGGTGGACGCACGTTCTAAAGGGTCGTCGAACGAATAAGCCCAATTACCGTGGACACGTAAACCTTTCGTGGGTGAAGTGAAACACATGTGTCGGCCAAATCGTGTTTTCCACTATAGAGTGCCCGTCCCGTGTTTGGTCCGTGAATATCTCAGCGCTTAGAAAGCCAAGTTACACACCAGTGTAGTAATTCGTGGAAAATATAACGCGGCTGGCTTCGAAGACATCTATTAACGCGATGAGCCGATTCTTCGAGATGGAATAGAAGTCGTCGCAGAAGGCGGCAGTGCGTGGGTGGGTGGGTGTCTAGCGATTGCCACTCATGTATATCAAATTCCTTTTGGAATTTTGCGCAAAATGTTGCTGACGAACCAATGATAGTGCCCTTTCTGATTAAATGTTGTTCTGTTCAATCAATATATATTAATTGGCACATTATCCAAACAATTGTTTTTGGGCATAAGAAAAAATATTAGTTAACTTTCATAGCAATGCTGCTATTCGCTGTCAATTTTTGACTAATGTCAATTTGACAGTTTTAAACAAATAAAACCAATATGATTGTATTTCTACATTATTATCAACTTTGTTGATCGTTAAAGGAACCTATATAATATACTAATTTTGATACTATTGTTGAGAAACTTTTTTGGTATAACCGACTGGATGTTCGGTTGTGTCATATATATATTCAGTTTTATTGAATTCATTTTTAAAAGATGTGTATCCTAAATTGTGAAATGAGAGTACTGTAACAAGTCTCTACCAGTTATCATTCATAGCTTTGAGAGAAGGACGTTAAGAAGTCCTGCCTCTTTTCTTTAATTGACATTAAGAGGCTAAAGTATGAAAGGTCAAGCGGAGGAAAATGGATATCGGTAAAGTGTCAGCATGCGTGAGAAGTCAGCAGAATGTCATGCTCACGCAGGTCACGTGAGAGGCACAACTGAAATGTGCTCACGTGATCCTCCTACATTGCACTCAACCCTTACCAAGGCAAATGGTAAAAATTCAAGCCCCCAGCCAACACTTCATTCGGAAACACGTATTGATAGCAATATACTTCCAACGCCTGGCGGACGATTAAAATTTTTTAAAGATGGAAAATTTATTTTGGAGCTATCCCATCGTAGGGACGGAGAAAGAACTACATGGTTTCCAGTTCCGAAAAAGACCTTTTGGCCACCTGCTAGCACAACTCCAAATAGGCAGGAGAGTTCTACTTCTCTTAGCGGTAAGTTGAATAATAATATTTCAAATGGTAAATTGGTAATTTTAATGTTGCTTTATATTTACAGTCTCCGATGATAATTCATCGGTTCAGTCAAGTCCTTGGCAAAGAGATCATTGTTGGAAACAAGCTCATCCAAGACGTAGGATATCCACGGAGTTTAATTTTTACTATTATAGAAATCCAAGAAATCGTCTGTGTACGCATCCTCGCTTAATTGCAAGAAAACGTAGACGTCCATTAGATCCAACTTCGCACCTACTTATTCCAGAATCAGTAACAAATTATGTTAAGCCAACACGCAAGTCGAATAGTACATCAACAGGAAAGGTTTTAAATTTAATCATCGACAAATTAGCACGTCTTCTAGATCCTAATGTTGTTTCACCTCGCAAACGTATTTTGCGCGAATTGGAGAGAGTATCATTAGAAGATCAGGCATCCAAAAGACGTGCGACGCCACAACCTGTTTGTACAACGAGTGCTTCAACATCGCCAAAACAATTATCATCGTACAGTATAACAAGTATCTTGGGAGAAGATAAACCAAGTCATGAACAAGGCTTTTTGAGAAATTTATTGAAGCCAGATGACAGACAAACTGTGAAATACTCATCAAGTAACTCGTATCCAAGGGTACGAGTGGATCCATACATTGGTACTATAAATACACCTCTTCAGCATCCACTTTATGGTGTACCAATGTTACCTCCTGGACCATATAGAGCACCCTTATGGATGCATTATCCATCGCCCGTCCATTACCCACCTCCTATGCAATTGTATGCACCGCCACCACCTCATCCTCCATCTCCTCCAGTTCATCATTACAAAGACTACAGGGAACAAACTCTCACACCTCCTTCAGGTACATATTCAAGACCACATCCTTCGTTCGTTAAATATTATAAATGGCTGCAATTTGCATTGCTTTATTTTTAGATATGCCTTTAAATCTGTCGAAGCATGCGGGTTGAATCTCAGGATCCTAAAAGCTGGTGCCTTATCAATGGACAAAACTGTGCAAACACTGCCCGTGCAACGACAATGCGATATATTAGTATTTTTTTATCCATAAACAATAGTATCATAGTAAGTAGAAATATGCAACCAGAAGGACAAAGTCTGGGTGCTATACTTGTACATACAAATGCATAAACTGTCAAGAGTTGGCATAGGTATTTTATATTAATATTAAATTAAATCATGAGTAGTATTATGCAATTTTAATGTAATTAATACTATATATGTATGACATAATTGAAACTATGTATGTACTGCATAATTATTTACGTTAGATATGCTCACTGCTTTTTGTTTAATTACAAAAAGAAAACATGGCGATTTGACTGTTTAAAACACATGAATGTGTTCACGTTGTAAGATCATTGGATTCGTTTTATATTTCAATTATTTTTACTACTCATGATTCGGATACCACAATGAAAGAAAAGGAGCATGCTCTCATCTTATGCATCTCATTTATGCATTATCTTGTTATTCTTATTAATGTTACTATCATTATTATCATTAATAAATGATACGACTATCCACTTTAAAAGATTCATAAGAAAGACATAGAATTATGTACAGAACAGATTATTACCTATATTTAGTATAAATAATTATTCCTATGAATAGTAATACGATAATAAATCCTAGGTTAATAGCATCCACAACAGTATACATTTATTTATATAATATTAATGAACAAAACAAAATTGCTTGGTAAAGACCGTGGAGTGTGCCTTAAATAATTGTCTAAATTGCAAAAAACTAAATTATGAACATTTTCACGGATATGTATTATTATTACTACTACTATTACTATGTACATATGAATATAACTTTGTGTTACGTATTTGCATCAAATCGACATATTCGTCACTATTTATTATTAGTCAGGCGCATTACCAAACATTTTACGCGAAAGGCAAGCTCACACAGGCTCTACAAACTAGTGAGTAATTTTAATTATTCATTTACATAAACTTTTTTTATTAATTGAAACAGATGAAATATGTGACTGTGCGCAAGCAATTGTATAGAAAGACTAATTTCGTAAATATATAAATATTTCATATACTACACCAGCGGTTATTTCTTATTGTCTCTAATTGTAAATAAATTTATATAGTACATACTTCGATAAAAATAACGAAGATATACCATCTTTGATATTTAAAATAAATATTGAAACTGTATGATTACAGTAATATTCGGAATAAAAATACGAAAAATTATTTAAATTTCGCGGTTAGATTCGCGAGTGCGCCAAAAAATTGGCACTCTACCGTCTGGCTATCCCCACTTCTCGGTAGGGTAACGCAGACGCTCTCAAGACCGCGCAATCGTCAGGTCTTGGTAGTATCCGACCCGTGGCCTTGTTTTGTGGTATTCGTTGACCGGGTTGTAACGTCCCGATCACGCGTTTTCTACCGAAAAATCGTAAAAGTAGGTTCTCGCGGTCGACCGAAACGAACGAACAACCGCGTAAAGATCGAGATCGTGTGTCTCAGTGGTGTTTCGAATGCACGCGGGTTTGAAGTAAAGCGAGTGAACCCAGCTCCGGTAGAGGGGAGCAGGCAGTTTTGCCTGGTCGTATATGTAGCCCGCTCTGGGAAAATGAAAATGGCGGTGTTCCCGTATGAACGGTGCAACGGCCACTGACGATGTTCGTCACGGTAACGGACACGTGAGCTGAATCAAGTGTGGGATTTTCACGCGTCTTGTGTACATTCACGAGGATTGTTCAGTGTCACATTATAGGCGGGAACAAGTCGGTGCAAACACGATATAGGATAGCCAGCGCGATCTTTTTTTTTAGTCGATCGAGGGACAAACAAACACGATGGAGTGACACCGCGAAGTGTTGACTCCGTGGACAAGTGGGAAGTGTCGGCTAATACATTCGCGTAGTTGGAGGATACAAAGCCTTCATGCCGATGCCGGCCGAATACCACGAGAACCACGGTAACCACGAGAACGCTAATTTCGCTCTCGGGGCCACACAGGACGCCAGCAACATGACGGCCAATATGTACCGGGTGGGAGGTAAAGTAACCGCACACATTCCGCCGGCTGATGGCCACGCGTCGTCTCGAGCGCAAGCTTTAATTAACCCGAGAAATTAATGTTTGCAAATGGTGATCGCGATGGCGTTCCCTGTATCTACGTTTTACCCGCGCTCCGACCCCTCGACTTTCCTCTCTTCATTTGGATTTCCCATCTTCCTCCCCGCTCTCTCTTGTTAGCGTCCTATATGTACGTCTGCTTTCCTTCTACTCCCTCTTACCCCACTCTTTCGCCCTTCGTCCAGGTCATGCTAATTTTTTACACGACGAATCCCAATGATTAAAATTCGATATTCGAACATTAATTCCCTTTTCGATCTCGAGTCATTTTTATAGCTGGATTTACAATTTTTTCGTGTACGCGCCAATGGTTCATAGTCTCATTCATTTCTATAAAATGATATTTCTGTTTCTTCAATATAATATCGACAACAAAACGAACATTTATTTAGTAATGCAGCATAGCAATTATTAAAAAGTAACAATTAGAAAGAGTTCGTGATTCATACATTTCGCTATTTTCCCTTTTTTATTATTATTGGTCGATAATAATACTACATTTTCATTTTTCAATACTTGCCAGCTTTTAATATGTGATTTATGAAATTTTTTAATATTTTCCCTCTCGTATCGTATGTATTTCTCAAAGTAGCGATATCATTATTTACATATTCATATGCAATATATATACACACATACGTATACATAAATAAACATATATCACATAAATACGTTGCTTTGAAGGAATAGTATTTATTTATAGAAATCAAATTTTCCTTTTGAATTATAAATATACTTTTGCGCGCGCGCGCGCGTGTATTTATGTACGAACAATATACATACATACACACATTTACTTATATCATTGATACATTGCATTCTCAATATAATTAAACAAATTTATATACAAACATATAAAAGTTCATTAAATATATTGTTTTTTTAATTCATAGATTATGTATACTTTGAAACATCTTCCACATCTCCTTACCAGATTAGGAGGATAGAAGAATTAAATAAGGTAAGGAATAATTTCTTTTCTTTTTTATAACTACATCGGGCCATTGAGAATGTGTAATCCATGTTGTTTTGTATTTAGTGTAAATTAAAATGTTATAATGTTACCTGATTTGAAATTGAAGCCTTATTGAGCTAAATATATCATTATATATTGTATCTTGTCTATATATTTTAATGTTATTCATAGAATTTATATTTGTACACAAATATGATAGTTTTAAACAAATATTTTTTGGGTTTGATTCATAAATCTATCTAATTTATTTTAGACGGCAAGTGGAAATGTTGAAGCTAAAGTCATGTGCTTCTTTAGGCGGAGGGATTTACCATCTACATTAATCATGCTTGCAGATAAACATCAATGTAAGTGAAATTTATATTGTTCTACAAACTATAATTCTCATACTTTATTTATTTCACATGGTTCTTTTAAGATACATTACATTACCACAAATTTAGAAAACCCGATACTTTGATCACTTTCTGGATCAGGTAGTAATGTTTAAACGATTCAATACTAATATTAATACATTGAACATACGAGAGTAATGTCATTTATGTTGCTAAATCGATAGCCATCCGCAGATGAAGAAAACTGAAACGTTCCTCTCGTACAGAGCGAAAGGTCGTCGTCTTCGTACGTAAATTTTTTACGAACTTGACACTTCATTCGCGTAATGTAATTAACGATTGGAAATTCGTAAAGAAGCCGTACGATATAAACGCGGCTTGCAACGTGTGCAAAACCGTTTACTGTTTACTAAATATATTCTACGTTTCGGTTTATTATTATTCATAGGTTCGTACCTAGGCTATAACAGTGAGTATTCTTTCTTTAAAAATGTTAGATGTTACAGCTCGAATGAAGATAAAAATAAAATTTTGACGAGTTTATTTTCTACTCGCAACGTTCAAACATATCTACAATTCTCGAATAGAAGTTCGAAGGCCCCGGTGCTAAGGATAACTTGTATTCGCGTGAAAGGCGACACACGCTTGAATATGTTCATATAGAGAAAAATAACGTGTTCGGTAAAAAGTTCGCTCGGTTTTACGTATCTGAACGTATACGTTTATGTATTACGTATCATATATGTTTTGTATATATTTATGCGTGCATATGTGTATGCTCTGAACCTTTCTCGATTTTTCCTTTGCAGTGGGAAAGATAATGAGACGCGGGGATTTGGGGGTGAGAATGTATAATAAGTAAAGTTGGGGGGTGGAATGGGGGTTGTATCGATCTGCAGGGGGTGGGTTGGGGGTGGTGCACCCGCTAGTCCACCACCTCCTCCGCCTCTTTCTACCTCTCTCACCCGAGTTTCCCAAACCACCTCACCTTGCGTCCCGCCACCCTGAACTAAATGAATGACTGACGCAGGGGTTGGTTGGGTATGTGTGTTACGTGTACTCGGACACAGGCTCGTAAAAACACCGATAGAACGCACACGATATAACACGTACACATAGTCGTATATGAATAACGGGCTGAGAGAAAACAGAAACGCACACCTATACGTGTGTGTGCCTGGACGAAAATGGTGTGGGGGCCCACTAGCCATCTTCGTTTTAAGCATTTACTCTCCCCCCCCCGCTTCTCTTTACCTCCCTTCTCTTCTTTTCTGCCGTATGTGTACGTGTACACGAATGTACACACTCACGTCCTGTTTCTCTCTACTCGTGGCTCTATGTCCGTCCACCGGTATTTGCTTCGAATCGGGTTCTCCCTTTCCTCTACCATTTCTGTACTTTGCTCTTCTGTACCTTGAATTTCGCGAAAAAAATATACGTACCTTTGTCTTGTCGAGAGTCGATATTTTTATGCGTCGAACGTATAAAAAGGTTGCGGTAAAGATGTACTCTAAAAATCGGATATTTTTTTTTCTTCTCCTTTTCCATTGATAACGATACAAAATAGACAAAAATCGTTGAAAAATTGATTGGGACCCTATCATCATAATCAATACTATCTTAAGAAATATTATAATACTACATAAATTATGCAGTAATCAGTCTTAGAGAGAAATGATGGAGAATGTTGCAGAAACCAAAAACATATTTCAATGAAAAATTCAAATTTACTATTTCATTGCACAATATGCTGTGCTCTGTGTTCTTATTTTTCATATGCTTATCATAATTCTATGAATACATGTTTTAATATATTGTAAACATGTAAATAGAAAAAGATAAATAAATGTCATAGCAAATTCATGTGTATGAATATTATCAGTACAAGTATATATATTATTGCCATGTTAGCAATAATGTAGATACTCTACATTTTAACCATAAAAGTACAATGCAGTTGTAAATAGAAACGCGATTGGAATTGGTTGACAGAATCAAAATTGTTGTTTATATCATTATATGATCTGAAATTATAATGAATTAAATTATTGGTAAATGTATTTGTAAAATGTTATACATCTACAGTTTCGAGTTCTTTTTAATTATAAAATATAATGGCATGTATTAAAAAAAAAGAACAAAATAAAATAAAAATGAGAAATAGTAGAGTGGGTTGTATGATACAAATTGCAGTGGCAAGCGCGGAGCAGCAGAGGTCAGATTCCCCTGCAAGCACACAGAGTCAGAAACTCGAGATTCCAGATACTACTAAGGAAATGACTAGTAAAGATGGGATTGGGCCCAAAATGATGAACAAAGGGGGCGGGAAGGGGGGCTGGCTGAAGGCCCCACTATCAGAGGCCCAAGAGCCTCATGGTGAGTGAGCAGTCAATTGAAGGGTGCCCCTTACAAATGAATCTCTAGTGATGTACATGCTCTATTTTATTAAAAACCTGTATATATAAAAATTTAATTAATATGATGCTAAAAATAATGGAATATTTTCTTTAGTTATCAACACGTGTTATTAAATGCTTAATTTACACTTCTCTATAAATAGTCAATGCATGTAAATATTCTATTTATGGAATAGATAGAAATGAGTATTAAACATTGTAGTCTTGAAGACAATGTATATTTTTCTTGAGTTCTTTGAATTACTTGGTTGTATTAAAAAATATGGGTTATTGTACAGGGATTCATGAGTAAGTATCCTATAATATGCACCTTTTAATTGTCTCATTAGTCTCAAATAGAAGCCGGTGATGATGTAAGGCTAATGATCTAGCGGCAGGATTTATAAACTTCTTTGTAATCTTGGTGAATGTCAAAAGCCTAGGTTAAATTCACTGTAAGGCCAAAGAGACAATAAATTGGGTTTAAATATGACCTCTTCTCTTAAGTTATGTAGGAAGGGGTTTACTTGTTTTTCAATAAATATGAAACTTTATAAACCCATACATTTTGTGATGATACTCAATCATAATCATTTTCATTATTTCATATAATTTTTACCATTGTCTATACATTTTATTTTCAAAAGATCGTTGTAATGATCTATCCAATTTCTGGCGCATAAAATTCATATGTATGTTCATTCAAACAATTTCACTTTAATCAATCATCCTGTCATTCAAAACAAATCCTGCCGCATAAAATGATAATTCTTTAGTAATCTGAGGCTTCTTTAAACCATTTACATTCCTCCACGAATTAATTTCATTTTTGTTATAATAGATAATATATCACTTAAGATTGCTTTCATTTCCTTTTGTTGCCCGCTCTTGCTGATATATTTAGTTCAGTGTTATAAGTTTTTATTGATTCTGCCACATTCCTGCGTTTCGTTTACATTTAATTTATGTATATTAAAGAAAAGAAAAAAAAAAATGAAAGATCAGAACTGCATGAACAAGTTTAATGGCCTTTAGGGATAATCTCTACGTTGGGAGAATATCAGTGTTTTATTAGCGTACAAAATTTATGTTGAAAATATCTAATTAACATTACAAGTAAAATTTCTGCCGGTATTATGTTAATTACAAAATAACGAAATTACAAAAAATTTTCAAGTATTTAATGTATCTAGTCTCTTACTTTTTTCGCCTCTAAGTAAAACATTTTTTTTATTTATGCTTTTTCTAACATCGAAATGAATATTATAGTAACGAAATATAATTAAAATCAAATTGTTCTCATGCAGGGATGGAAGAAAGTGTAGTGGGCGCTGGAGGAGTTACAGAATTAAGCTCTAAACAACGTCATCAAATGAAGCACAGAGAACTATTTCTATCGCGGCAAGTGGAAACAATGCCGGCAACACATATAAGAGGCAAATGCTGTGTAACGTTGTTAAATGAAACGGAATCTCTACTAAGCTATTTAAACAAAGAAGATTCTTTCTTTTATTGTTTAGTATTTGATCCAGCTCAACGTACTTTGCTTGCTGACAAAGGTATTTATTCGCATCGGAACATTTTCGATACTACAGTTACTTTTCTGTCTATGTATTAATTTTAATAAACATATAATGTTACAGGCGAAATTAGAGTAGGTAGTAGATATCAAGCTGATGGCATAGCGCCATCTCCGCTCACGCCTGCTGAAAGGGAATCGGATCCTCGTAGGTTACAGGATTTAGAAACATTGGTTTGGACACCGCGACATTCGCTAACAGATCGTCAGATCGATCAATTTCTCGTTGTCAGTAGATCCGTAGGCACATTCGCAAGAGCTTTAGATTGTTCATCTTCGGTTAAGCAGCCCTCTTTACATATGTCTGCAGCAGCTGCATCAAGAGACATTACTCTTGTAAACATCATTATATCATTATCATTGTCATATAAATTATATTATTCTATGAATAAGACTTTCACTTGTTTCTGTTTATATATGTAGTTTCATGCAATGGATACTTTGCACCGGCACAATTACGATGTTGCAAAAGCAATGTCATCTTTAGTGCCTAGTACAGGTCCAGTATTATGCAGAGACGAAATGGAAGAATGGAGTGCATCCGAAGCAAATCTTTTTGAAGAGGCGCTTGATAAATATGGGAAAGATTTTGCTGACATTCGTCAAGACTTTGTAAGTATATGTTGAAAAACATCTAGAAAGTAACGTTTCGTCTATTTTCACTTATCGGTGTTCCATTTCAATGAACATTGTATTTCAGCTACCATGGAAAACATTAAAGAATGTTATTGAATATTATTATATGTGGAAGACGACGGATAGATACGTACAACAGAAAAGGGTAAAAGCTGTAGAAGCTGAGAGTAAATTAAAACAGGTTTATATACCAAATTACAATAAACCAAACCCACCCACGACTGCACCTTCTGCAGCAACAATTGTACCTCTTGGTAACAGTAATAGCAACAGTAACGGAAAACCAGCCAGTGTTCTCAATGGCAATAGTAATGGCAACATGGCGACCGATAATACCGGTATATTAATGGTCGGGGTTGGTGGTAAACCATGTGAAAGTTGTCAGGTTATGCAAAGTCCCCAATGGTATGCTTGGGGCCCGTCACATATGCAGTGTCGTCTGTGTCAGTCCTGTTGGACGTACTGGAAAAAGTACGGAGGTCTTAAGGTACATTTAAACCCCGTATACATCTACCAACGAATAAACAAGTTTTATTTGTTTCATGAAGATATATTATTTTCTTTTCTTTTGAACGGGATCTGTAGGTCCCATCGCGTATTGACGATGTCGACTTAGAAAGAAAAAAAGGCAGTACAGGCTCAGACGAGGAAAGTAAAGGAATTGGCGGTGCTCATAGACCGCATCGATGTAGTATTCCTTCTTGTGGTAAGGAATTCAAGCTCAAAGCGCATCTGAGTCGTCATTATGCGAGTGCTCATGGCGTTGATTTACGTGGAAGCGGAGCAAGTGGAGGCGGCGGTGGTGGATCTCCTAGACCTGTGATGAAAACTCGTTCTGCATTTTATTTACGTACTTCAGCTTTGGCACGTGCTGCACGAAGACTATGCGCAGCACAATTACGTACACGCCATGCAGCGCGAGCGCCCCATCAACCTGTAAATGCAGCACCGCTGCGACATCTTTGCGCTTCTCCTCAATTAACATCGAAAAGTCCTGCAGAGTTACGTATTTTAGCACGTGCTGTGCGACCACGACCACGTCCACGCGTGACTGATATAGCAACACGTTTAGGCGATCATCCGGCTCCGCGACAACCTGGTGATTGGGATTGGTTAGCTCTTACAGCACCGGCACAACGAAAAGAGCCTGATCGGGTATCTTTCCCTAAACCGCCAAAAGCGCCGGGTATGTAACTGATTAATAAGTATAATACTTTATATATATAAGGCATATTAATGCATTTGTAATAATGGAATTGCAGATGGAAGCCTTTTGTATGAAAGGGTACCAAATAAATCCGAAGTGGATAGGTTGCCGGTAACACCACCTCAAGCGCAACCCAGTATGCAAACGCAACAAACAATATTAAAGCGCACAAGACCTCCATTCGATGAGATCAATGGATCAGATGGTAAGTCTCAGGATCATGTATTCATTAATGTATTTACGGTTAAGTTTTAAATCCTAGTATTGAATGTGGTCTCTGTTTACTGGCTTCTACTCTGATGTGGATTGGGATGAAGGTAAAATAATTCAGTGCCTATGAGTCTAAGTACACAACGAAACAAATAATCAAAGTCATAAAGTTGTACAGTTTATCGTATGTTCCATAGGAATGCGCAACATCGGTTTAATAATTCTTATATCATTGTGAAATTATTTACACTTCCGATTGAATTTCGTATAGATTTTTTTTATCTTCAATAGGTATTGCCCTAAGTGCAGGGCTCCCTGGTGGACCACCTGCAAAAAGAGCTCATCATTCTCAGCAGTTACATCCAAAGCACGCTTTGGAACACACTGCGCCTCCTGTTCTTCCATTAGCACCACCTCTAAATGGAAGAGCTGCTCATCCACATACCTTGCCTCATGGCCCTCCATTGTCTAGAAGTAATGCACGTAAACAAGTTATTTCATGGATGGACGCGCCTGATGATGTTTATTTTCGCGCTTCAGATCAGACCAAGTTAGTACTTTAAATTTTATGTGCCGTATAATGCAGAATCTTACAAGCTTACAGTTTTATGGTGTTATTATCTCTTTATAGAAGACTTAGAAGAACACTTTCATCTGTAGAACTTCGACGAGCAGCGCGCAAACCGTGGCGTAGATTACCAGCTCCTTTACATCCTCCTCATTCACAGAGAGCAGTACGCGGTGATGACATGGTCGTCATCTTGGATTGAATCGTCAACAATGCAATCAATCAGGCAATCTGATGAGATGTCGGTTTGCTATGATGGAATCATGCTGTTATTGTAATTTTAATGCCAGAGTGACCACAGTGAGGATATCCCAGCTTTATGTATTGTCATTGGCAGCTCTGACGTTGAGCAAGGACTAAGCACTGTTCGGAATTTTTTCAATAATTTTCGAGACGGTAATTCGCCGAAACTGAAGGCCTCGCTTAACCGAATTTGCATATTGCATTGACATCGCTGAAATATACTTCACGTGTATGAACGACGAAAAAGCAATTACTCTGGAACGGACATTCATCGAATCTTTAAAAAAAAAAAAATAGAAAAAATGAAAATAAGAAATCAAGTCATTCGCCGTGAAACATGATTTTCTATTCGTATTAATTAATTATTGTTGTTATTAATAATAATTATTAATAATTGAATGTACATATACATCATACCACATATTCATACATGCATAGCCAGACAACACACAAGTGTCCAACGAGTGCTGGACACGAGTTCTACGTCGGTTAAATTGGCCCATACCATGCGCATCAGCTCACGAAGAATGTTACGGCCGGGCGCGTAACAGAGACGAGTGCGAAAGAGAGTGTGAAAGAGGGTGAGAAAGAATATGAACGTACGGGAGAAAGAAAGAAAGAATGCTCATTGTGAATATTTTTATTAAATTTTCAAGTTTGATGACTTCCGTCGCAACAATTAATAAATAAACGTAAGCATAAGTGGAAGAACATACTAGTCCTTTTTCCGTTTCATCCAATTTCCTTTCACAATTAGGTATTAGATAAAAAATGTCTGCATGTGCGTACATTCATTACTCTAGTTCCTTTGATTGTCAAGAAAATAAGGCTTTTTATAGTTATTGTAAAAATGTACATTTCTTCTTGTCTTCATTAGTTTTTATATTTTATAATCACTGCCATAGGGAATACTAATAAATATTTTAATGGGATTAGAAGTCATAAAAAATATTTTTGAAAAGTTAAAATTTGTTTTAAATTGTTAATATATTTAGATATATAACACTATTTGTGGGATTATTACCATATTTATATAAAAAGCTCATTAAAAAATCTGTATTTTAGTCAAGTATCGAAAATATGGTTCCAATAATTGTAAATAAAATTAAAAATTTGATTATGCTTATATTCCGGAAATATCTGGCAGAAGTTTAGTGTATAAAATTAAATATTTATTTAACGAGTAACTAATTAGTTGCCAGTTTTATAAATTAAGTTATAACAGGGAATATAAATTTTATTGTGGCTAATTGCTTTCAGTAACGAAAATGTATAATTTTATTTAACTGGTAAATTGCAATACTTTCTGAATAATGCTTACGTAGTTTCCAATCTTTTCAGTAATTTAGTTCATACTCTAGAACCTAGAATGCGTCATGCATCATTTCTATGTTTACTTCAATGTTCGTGGCGAAGGCAAAGTAATGTTTTATGTTTTTAGTCTGGTGCATCGTTTATGTGTACATTGATGGGCACGAAGTTTCTTATAAAAGAAACGTTTTGAGTTACAGATAAATCAAAATTTTAACACGCTAAGTGTTTAATGTATGGTGAATAAAATAACATGGAGAATATGCCCGGAACTGAGGTTAGTTTTGTTCATATTTAAGAGTAGAATAATGTCCATTTATATCATAATTCCCGTAATATTGAAGTAATTATGAATTTTTAATACATTTAGTTGTATGTGTTAATAGTATTGTAGATTGTAATCATTTAGTTTTACATTTTAACCTCATCTTATTAATTCTGAACATAGAATCAACAAATGCCCCATCAGATGCCACCTATGATGAGTATGCCTCCCAATAATAATCATGGAGTTCCAGGGTTGGAACCTCCTAAGATGTTACCCAGTTTATTGAGTTTGAAAGTGAGTCCACCAAGTGAATTACAAAATCAGAATTCATCGGATGATGGGGGACGGGACACGGACAGTGACTCGATGAAATTGCCAGCAGCTTTAGAACAAGCTCTAGCTTTTAAAACAGAAAGAGCTAAAGAAGTAGGAGCAGATCCTAATGATATAGTTTCTTTAGGGAAATCGCCTAATCATGAAGCTATGGGAGAAGACGTGTCTCAGTTAGATGATGTTATAATCGAACCTGAAACAACGGCAGAAAAGACAGACACAAAGATGACTAAAATCAAAAAGAAGAAAAAGAAAAAGAGGAAGAAGCATAATGTGGGAAAAGAAACGGAGAATAAAAAGGATAATATAGAAAATGCAAAACCTAAGGATTTGCCAGAAATTGAGTACATTCAAGAAATTCCGAGTGTTAATGAATTGGAACCAATGTATCGTCAATTTGCTAGAATTTTCGAAGCATTTAAATTAACTGAACCTGAACCTAAACTTACGGAAGCAGACAAAGGAGAACCGATAGGTCAGTATCCACCGGTGATAAATTTGCAAACAACTGGAACTGTACCCAGCAAAGTACCACCGTTGGACGATTTTGACGATGATGGGAATCAACAGCAGCAACAGCAGGGAACCGGAGAGAACGGCGCTCCGCGTCTCTCCAAAAGAAAATTGAAGAGATTAACACGCTTAAGCGTTGCAGAATTGAAACAGCTTGTAGGACGCCCTGATGTAGTGGAAATGCATGATGTTACTGCTAGGGATCCAAAACTTCTTGTCCAACTGAAAGCCCATCGTAATACAGTACCTGTACCGAGGCATTGGTGCTTTAAAAGGAAATATTTACAGGGCAAACGCGGTATAGAAAAGCCTCCTTTCGATTTACCAGATTTCATAAAACGCACAGGTATCACAGAAATGAGGGCAAGTCTCCAAGAACGGGACGATACACGCACATTGAAAGCTAAGATGCGGGAGAGAGCAAGACCCAAGCTTGGTAAAATAGATATTGACTATCAGAAATTGCACGATGCATTCTTTAAGTGGCAAACTAAACCTCGCATGACCATTCACGGTGATCTGTATTACGAGGGCAAAGAATTTGAAACGCGCTTGAAGGAAAAAAAACCTGGAGAATTGTCCGACGAATTACGTACTGCCCTTGGTATGCCAGTAGGGCCTAATTGTCACAAGGTACCGCCGCCGTGGTTAATTGCCATGCAACGTTACGGACCGCCGCCAAGTTATCCCAATTTAAAGATACCTGGTTTGAATGCACCAATCCCAGAAGGATGCGCATTTGGTTATCATGCTGGCGGATGGGGAAAACCTCCTGTGGATGAAACTGGAAGACCATTGTACGGAGATGTATTTGGTATATCTCGTACACCAGGTGGAGATGCTATGGACGAAGAAATTGATAGAGGTATGTGGGGTGAACCTGAATCAGAATCTTCTGGGGATGAAGATGAAGACGAAGATGCAGAAGAAGGCGGCGAAGGTGAAGGAGAAGGAAAAGATGGAGATGGAGATGCAAGCGGTTTGGTTACACCTGGCGCAGAAGGCTTGATAACTCCAAGTGGAATCACCTCAATTCCTGCGGGACTGGAAACTCCAGAGACAATAGAATTAAGAAAGAAGAAAATTGAAAGTGAAATGGAAGGAGGGGATACGCCTGCTCTGTACACAGTTTTGCAAGAACGACGAACAGAAGGACTTGGAGCAAGCATGATGGGTAGTACTCATGTATACGATATGACAGGTGCAGCGGGAGGTCAAGCACCTCCGTCTGTAATTGCTGCGCGTCGTGGTGTAAGTGGAACAGCATCTGATGGAAGAACAGAGAAAGACGGGGCGGTCGAATTGGCGTTAGATCCAAGCGAGTTGGATCTAGACTCTGAGGCAATGGCGTCCCGGTACGAGGAAACTATGCGATCGCGGCAAGCTCATTTAAGAAGAGAAGACTTATCGGACATGCTCCAGGATCATGTACAACGACAAAAAGTAAGTATATTGTGTATTGAACGTGTCAGTTAACATATCCATTGCATTAATTTATTTTTACAGAGTAAACGTAAACGTCAACAAGGTCAAGATTCAAAAACTTCTAAAAAATATAAAGAATTTAAATTTTAAATATAATAAACTGAAGCATTACATAAATAAAGTTACTTATTTGAGACTAACAAAAATTATATTATTGCGTCAATATTCCATATTCGAGATTGCTTACATAATGGATCATTATCATCAAAGTACCATATTATTTTAGACTTGGTAGTTTAAAATATGTATTAAATTTTGTTTCATACCGTAATGTAATATAGTAGGAGTATACATATATATTAATTTTTAAAAAAAAGGTAAGAAGTATTATTTGCTTACTTTTATTCAAAATAACATTATTGGATTTCATACATAATTTTGTATTTTTTATACAATATGTGTTTTTTCTAAAACCATGTGAAACTTGAATTTATTTGGAATAAATATCATAAGAGGGTATGAAAGATAATACAGTAATAATAAAAGACATGGAAGACATATCATGATTATGAATCTACTGATGGCACTACCAATATCCAACCAACTTCCTTGAGGACTAACACAGTACGCAAGCGGCAATGATAAACAGTCTCCGAATAAAAGTACCGCTAGAAAAATATTTGAAGATCCGTGTACGTGGCATGCGCACCCAATTAGCATTAAAGGAATGCTAATTTTTAGCAATATCAATGAAAACATTGTAAATGGTGAAAAGACTGTTACAAAATGACGAGTCCAAGATGGATCAAACGAACTAATACTTGCCATATTGCCAGTTCCAAAGAAACACAGCAACGTATATAACATCTATAATTAATTGTTTAGGACATATAATATTAATACATTGTTTCGGAAAACGTAGTAGTGAAAAAGGATACAAAGATTACAGCTTTCAATAATTCGTCCACCGTCAGAAGATTTTTAGTCCTTTGGTAACTTTGACTAGAAAACTCATTAGATCGTGGCCAACAAGATAAATGTAGCGCAAGAAATATGAAGAAGAAGGGCTCATATGATGCTGATAATAAAACAAGTGGACAGAAAAGACCCAATATGACTGCTTGCATTCTTTCCTTTGATTCTATAGGATAAGTACAAATGTGCAGTGGCGTTGTCAATAAAATCGCCCATGACATCCAATTTCGACCATCTATAAATTTTAGGTATGTCGCCCCTGTAACGATTAGTCGAAAAATTTCTACTGCTTTCCTGAACTTTGATCGAATTTTTAATGCGACTATTACTGTTACAATGCATATACTGAGAAGTCTGAAAAAAAAAACATTTTAAATTAAATTTATTTTTAAAAAAATATAGTTGTTCAACATCAGTTTCAACTTACACGATATAAACTCTAGGTGATGGTTCTACAACAGGTAATAATGGAAAAACAACTAGAGATAACGCTGTCCAATAAAAATTCCGAGCGTTTTTTGATATTAACTTTTGAATAAAAGCCGTACATAACATTCCTGCACTAAGGGTAGGTCTGTATATTAGTCCCATAAAAATTGTTGTTAATAACAAAATAATTCCTATGACCTCTGCCCAAGGAAATTTATCATTTTTAATTCTTAATTTTACCGAGTACATAATTATACATCGAACAGCAAACCAAAAAGAGATTACAGCCAAAGATGTATAACAAGGTAATCTCAAATTTCTGCACCCTGAAACTATTTTATTTGCATAAAAGTTAGATATACTTTTCCAAACAATTGTATATAGTCACGACATACTGTACCTTTATGCATAATAAATATTGTAACTAGTATACATGCGAATGCAATATCTGCTACTAATAAAATAATGTGATTGATAGCACGACGCTTAGTTCCAGCTATTTTAAAAAATAACAGTATTATCCATCCTAGCCACATTATAGACAAATACATTAAAAACCACGATCTTTGGTATTGCCGGAAGTATGATAATGATTCTTTGGCTATTTTAATTGTATCAACTATGTCATTTAAATTTTCTCTCGAGTTTTTCCCTTCAAGATATTTATCTAATGTAGAAATTTTGTAATCCAATTCCATCTCTCTCCAGTCAGTGAATCTATTGTCTACGCAATTCATTTCACGATTTGCTTTTACTTGATATGTTAACTGTTTTAAATTATTTAATAAAGCGTGATTTATGTATTTAAAACCAGTATCGCTTAAATACTGCCATGGCAAAACACCCTGAAAAAAATGTGTTTGTAGATGTTTGAAAAACAGACCGGTATGTAACTACACCAATATTATATTTATATATACTTCACTATTACTGGGGATAGGAATACCAATTAAAGTTGATATCAATGGTGTAATGTCTACTTGTTCTACGTCTCGACGAGAGTTTGATGCATTAATTCCTGCACCCCAAACAATTAATGGCGTTTCTGTTTCATCTGTGGAACCACTTCCATGCGATCCCCAATCAGTCATTCCATGATCAGTTGTAAAAACGTATGCAGTAGCATTATCACCAAAAAAATTCTCTGTCATTTGTACAACTTCTTCTATTTTATGATCAACATAATTCATGTTATCGACGTATTCTCTGTATTTAAATTTAATTTGAAGCTAATAACATCATAGTTTTATTAACACCATAGGACAGTACTTGTATTAAAAATCTCAATTGATCAATTTTAAATACCTAGAATAGGGTTTGGCAGTATGTCCTGTAGTGTCGCAACCAAGAAGGTGAAGGAAAAAAATTATACGCTCTACATTTTTCATATTTGGAGCATCTTCCCGTAGCCAAGTTAGGTACTTCTCGAATACCCATGAATCTAAGCGCCAAATTTTACCTTGTATTATATCAAAGTCTTGCCATTCGTGAGGATAGCTATCCCCGTGTATGTTTCCTTTTGCATTTACTTTTGGGAAATATCAAATAAAGAATTAAATCTATCGTATGACAATTTTCTGAAATATTCTATTAACTGAAGCTAAATAATGTATTTGTTATACCTTTTGTAAACATGGGTATAATATCAGGGCTTCCCCATGCCCATGAAAGGTGACTTTGATTGAAAACAGAATCAAAATCAACAGGATTTTCTTTCCACCCTTTAAAAATAGCGCTAGGATCTTCGTATAATCCTGCACAAATTGCAACGATACCTGGTCTAGATTCTGTGGGCAATCGTGTATGAGATACACCCCATACACCTTCATATGTCATTACGTGTCTACAATCAAAATCATATTATTATATTTAACAGCAAATTATGAATTTAATCATAACGAAATAATAAGATTATTAAGTTGATTACTTAAGAAATTTTGGCGGTGATTCAATGAAGGTTCTAAATCTTAAACCATCTGCCACGAACAAAACCAATCTCTTTGCCGGTGCATTTTTTAAAACTGGTACATTTGGTAATTCTTGTATAATGGGGGAATGAAAATTCACGTCTAGTACACCCCACAACAACATCAAATGCATTGCGAAGCCCCATATTACAAATGCATAATTAACATTTGTATTATTGTTTTTTTTATCAGGCATTGTTTCAATCAAATATTTAGTTTCTTTTTTCTAATTACTAAACCTGTTAAATTAGCATCTTGAAATACCTGTTTCCAATCGAACAAACTATGTGATTATTAATTTCTTACCATTTCAAGCGCTATTTCAATTATTCTACATTTTGTGTAAATTTCTTACCTATTCGATAATTTTTTATTGAATTTTTAAATTCGTAGAGAAATCATTCAGTTAACAAAGTGATTCTGTAAATATTTGCAGGAGTTTGATATAGTGAAAGACAAAGCTTCGATGTACCATCAATTTAGATTTAATAAGAGGAAATATTTTACTTATGATCTTTCAAAAATTTAAACAATTAACTACAATCGTAAAGATACATATCCATATGTAAATACCATTTCTACGAAATTTTATCAATATGCATGAAGTTGGCTACTATCAAATCATGGTTAAATAACTGATGCTTTGTAACTTTTTAAACGTGAATTTGAATGATATTTAAAAATATATAACAATTTTTGTAAGATAAAATTACGTGTACATACATCAGATTCATTTATACTACAGAAAGTATAATATGTCGTACGAATAGTATATATCATACGATCCTTGTCAGTCATTATGGTCGTCTGCTATACTCTGAAGTAATTTCAGTAGTGAGGTAATGTGGTTTTCAATACAGCATGAAATTGAGTACTTTTCGTCATGACATTCAATGCAAAGACAATCTATATTAATATCGTATTCGTAATATTTAATATATAAATACGAGTAGAATGTAAAACGGAAACGATTGATATGTTTACTAGAAAATCGTCTATAATTGTAACACATTTCAAATGCATTACAATGTTGCTTCATACACATCATAATTTTTAGGTTTCAGCTAGATTAAACGTGGTTCGTTAAGCTGCTGTAAAAATTGAAAGAGAAAATGGTAGTGGGTGTCTTTCCGGCCCTTAAATTGGGAGTATTGTTTGTTAAACAAATCAGTAAACCTTTAGCAAAGTTTCTAGTTAATCAAGCAAAAAATCATCCTGTATTTAGAAACTACATTATCATACCTCCTGCACAATGTAAGTAAAAATGTTTTATCATGATGTAATTGTTAATTATAAATATCAATGCATTGTGTCCACATCTTGTATTGTCATAATTTAATTGCAGTTTATCATTGGGCAGAGGTAAAAACTAAAATGTATATAATGAACCTTGGTAAGCCTACCAAAGTTGCAAAATTGAACGAAGCTATGGCAATAGAGTTAGGAGCAAATTTGATAGGTGAGGTTATTATATTTAGCGTCGCCGGCGGTTGTCTAATATTGGAATACAATCGCCAAGTAGCAAAGGAAACAAAAAAAGAAGAAATACGTCTTGTACAGATAGAAAAGTTTACAAATGACATTGAGAATTTAAATAAAATTACATCTCAACAAGAGGCTGAAATTCAATATCTACTAGAAGCTATTAAATCATTATCTAAACAAACAAAACATAAATTGCCTACCAACCCGATAGTAACAGAGTTAAATGAACAGAAAGAGAAACTTCACACGGATAAAATACTTGGTACAGATATGAATATGGAAACAAATATAGAACAGCGCAATAGAGAAAATGGAAATCAGTCGCTGGTCGAACGTGCTATAATATATTACCAACATGACGTCAAAGCAGATAAACTCAGTTAACTTAAATTATTTTATTAGTAAATACGATAGAGCGGACATAACATTATTAATATTTATAATGCTGCAGTGTACATAAAAAATATTTTCCTTAATACATACAGTGCAAGACTTTGTACATAAGTAAGGGTAAGGACACATGCAGCAATTTTCATATGCTATTATTGAGAATATGCGGTATTCTGTGTTTATTATACATTCTTTACATATATAATCTCTTTTTTAATCATCGATCACCCTCGGAAGTAGATATATAATTTTAGAAAAATTTATTCACATGTACAAATGTTTTTTAGTCATGTCATTTTGAATAACCATCCAAATACCTGTTTATTTTGTTTATAGCTCTGCCAGTCTACTTAAAATATCATCTCAATTGTATTATATATAAAATGTATAATAATAATGGCAATATTAATAATAACAGTAATTGTTTTAATATATATTAGCTAATGCGTGTTTATAGAACAAACTTCCGATTTATTCATCCTCTTAATTTAAATTCATTCCTTCTTTTAACATTTTCTGCAATGTGTGAATTCTTGATTCCAAATTTTCAAGGTCAAGTTCTATAACAAACATTTTTTATTTTGTGAATAAGAATGCAATACTCTTTACTGTTCAGAATACTAACTTGAATCCTTTGTTTTGTTATACTTTTTTATATTTCGACAAGGAGATCTGCGAATTCTAAGTGATTCCATTGAACTGCCTATAAATATCGATACGACAAATCAATATTGATTCGAACAAGATAATAGCTAAAGTGTACAAGTAATTTCATGGAAAAATTTTTACAGTAGAATTTTGTTTTGCAGGATATATTCTAACATTTACGAATACCTGGCGATAAACTAGATTTCGAAGTTTTAACGTGACTAGAAATGGAAGAAGATCGACTTCTGCTTTGTCTACCATTCGAATAATTCGATCTTGTAGAAGAGGAACGGTTATAACGTTTTAACGACGGGCTACCATCTCCAGGTTTTCTGCCAGCAGATTCAGTAAATTCTTTAAGTTTTAACAACAGAGCTGCATTCTCAGCTTTAAGCTTTTGTATTTGTGTTCGAAAAAATGCACGCTCTTTAGCGACATTGTTTTCTAGCGATTTAATCGACCCCAGTAAAACTTTTAAATTCTTTCCTAAATGTAAAAATTACTTGAAAAATTTACGCATAAGAAATTATACATTTGTATAGTTGTACCTCCATTTGTAAGTTTCTGATTCTCTTGAACAAGTCTTTGATTTGTGGTTGTAAGTTGCTCTATGCGTCTTTGTAGATTTTTATTCGCTCCCGTCGATTGTAATTTTTCAATTTCAGCTTGTAATCTTCTAATGGTACATTGTAATATCACTGGGTCAGGTAAACCACAATATTCCAGCGGTAATGGATAATGGATTCTTAAGGGGGGGTTGTTATATTATTAGCAAGTATTTAATTTTTTTCAGAGAAATTTTATTTTTTACAGGTTTTTATTTTGAATACATATATGTGTGTGATAAAGAGATATTTAACAGATTTCTTATGCTACGATTTTACAAAATCTGTTGCGTTATACTTACCTATCAAATTCTACTGTATACGTTAATATAAGGTATCTACGATTGTTTGTTGCGTTACCGAAACTTGAACACGAATTACGTTCAAGCCTACGTGCACGTAACAATTCTAAATCTTCAAATGTGAGAAGGTCCAAGGTAATAGATTCACTCGTCTGCAATTAACTTCTTTTTAAATTTCGTTTACTTTGTTTAAAGATTCGAGTCGTAAATTATACTTTTAACAATCCAGATTGCAGCATAGCCACGAATACATCAAAATGCTTGTAATTTCCAGTTTTGTGAGTTAAGTTCTCAACATCTTGAAAAGTTCATAAAACGTATCGTTAACAGCTCAATATAAACGTATAGAGAAAGATAAAAGTTAAATAACGAAAATTAACATAACCCTAAAATAATATGCATTAATTACGACGGGTAAAAAAGTTAAAGAACGAACATGCAGCGTCGTATGAGGACTGCCAATTCTCGCCAGTATATTTGTCAGTAACGGTCACCTCCAAATTTCGCTGGTATTCCTTAAAAGCAGTGACTTTTATCTTTACAACGTATTCTTTACCACTTTTAAAAACGTAAGTTGTCACTAAAGATGGACCAACTTCATTCATACTTAAAAGTGATCATTAATGCAACGACGAATGCTTGACGGCGAAAGTCTTTAGATGAATCAATAAAAATAATTATCCGATTTGGAAATATAATAAAACAGCTTGATTAGCGCGTTTGCTAAAATTTCACAACGATTTTATGCACAACCGATAGAAGTTCAACGCAAACACGTAATTGACGCGACATAGCAGCGCGGTTGAAGATAGGTTGTGATGCGTAGCTGTCAATGACATCACGATGTGGCATTAGTCGAAGAATGAACTTTATTTATTCTGCGATAAGTAGTTAAAGTGCAAAAATGTGGTCCTTTTTTTCGAGAGACCCTACCAAAGATTTTCCATATGAAATTGGCGAACCAGTGTCTGGTTTGGACGACAAAAGTGTCTGGACATTGCACAAGGCCAAAAAAAAGGTATAACCTGACGCGGTAAAATCTTAAATGATATTTCCCGGCTACGAGTATGCACTCGAATTTTTCTACCTATGGGAAAATTTTTATTTCTATTATCTGTAATACTTTTATGCAGGGTTCAACAGGAGGTGAAGATGTTTCTGTGTTTGTCTTTGAATTTAAAAATGGCAACGAACATCTTTTGGACACAGTTCGCTCTGCGGTGAAAAGATTAAAGACACTCAGGCATCCCAGTATACTCGCATATCTTGATAGTCTCGAGGTATAATTATGATATATCGCATGCAGTTTGATCGGTAGTAGATTTAGTTAAAAATTGTGAATGTTTCTCATGATTTCAGACTGATAAAATGATTTATTTAGCAACAGAACGAGTAGAGCCTTTACACAATCGATTGGCAAAGAAATCTGGCACTAACAAAGAATCTAAAAAAGAGTTATATTTTTCTTGGGGAATATTCCAAATTACAGTATGTATTAAAGCGGAGAAAATAATATTGCGTTTCGTGTAATATACGTATTATATAAAAGACATTTTAACAGAGAGCATTAAACTTCTTAAATAACGATGGTAATTTAAGACATAACAATGTCAATTTATGGGCAGTATTTGTAAACGAGGAAAGTGGAGAGTGGAAACTCGGAGGAGTTGAATATATGACGGCGGTAGATGCTGTTTATAATGTAATACCAGCAACATTTCAAGCATATCATCCTCCAGATGCCAAGGAAAATGTTAAGCCAGCCACTAAATGGTAAATAAGATTTCTGACAAAAAAAAAAAAGAATTGCACGTGTCTGCTTATGTATAATTATTATTTTATATGTGAAATGTATGTAATTTTCTTGGATTATATGTTATTGAAAATGTAATTTCAACAGAAAAATAGTTTCTATGATTTTCGTTCATAGCTATAATTTATTTAACGTATAAAGCATTGACAAAGTAATCGAAGTAAATTTTCTTGCTTGGTAAATAATAAAAGATAGTTATCTTATTTGCAAAGTTACATTACCATATCAGCTTTTCTATATGTAAACATTTAGGTTTATTGTTAACGCTATGAAACTGATGAATAAATAAAAAACAGCTCGGTTGACATGTGGGGACTTGGGTGCCTGATCTGGGAGACATATAATGGTCCACTAAGTTCAAGTATGCAACTTAAAACTATCGACAAAGTATGTTTCCCGTCGCTGTTAAGATTGATATTACACCTGAATTGAACTATAACTTCAAGTTCCTTTTTTCTTTTTTTAGATCCCCAAACAATTACAAGTAGTGTATAAAGAATTGACTAATGGAAGTGCGGATGGAAGACCGAATCCCGCTGATGTGATAGCACGTTGCCGTAGTAATGGGGGATTTTTTAAAAACGAACTCGTAGACGCACTTTTATTCTTAGAAGAAATTCAAATGAAAGAAAGAGGAGAGAAAGGCCGATTTTTCTCGCAACTGGCCGGTCAGTTAGAATCATTTCCAGAGGGTGTCGGCAGATACAAAATTTTGCCACAATTATTGGCTGCTTTCGAGTTCGGCGATGCTGGAAGTGCAGTGTTACCTCCTCTCTTACAGCTTGGACGCCAATTACCAGACGGTGAATATCAACGAAGAGTTGTACCATGCGTGGTGAAGTTATTCGTGTCAAATGATAGAGCAACACGATTAAGATTACTACAGCAATTAGATCGATTTGTTGATCATTTACAGCCCGCAACGGTCAATGAAGCTATCTTTCCACAGGTCATTACAATTACTACTTTCTTTTATCGTATTGAAAAAGCAAAGTTTGAATTTTCTTTATTATTGTTCCACACAGGTAGCTAGAGGTTTTCTAGACACAAATCCCGCGATTAGAGAACAGACGATAAAATCTGTTGTACATTTAGCACCAAAATTAGATTATAATAATCTTAATGTGGAAACATTAAGGTATTTTGCTAAACTTCAGTCGAAAGATGAACACGGCGGTATACGTACTAATACTACAGTTTGTTTAGGAAAAATTGCTCAACATCTTCATCCCCAAATAAGACAAAAGGTATTTTGAATTTAATGTACAGTTTATAAAATAACACGTAACAAATTAAAATCTAAATAACGTGTAATTGTAGGTATTAATTGGAGCGTTTATTCGTGGTACACGGGATATATTTCCACCAGCTAGAACGGCGAGTATCTTGGCATTAGCTGCAACGCAGCAATACTTTCTGCTGCAGGAAGTTGCACATCGTATTTTACCAGCTTTGTGTCCACTTACTACAGATGTAGACAAAGGGGTAAGAGATAACGCGTTTCGAACTATTCGAGGATTTTTATCGAAACTTGAGAGAGTATCGGAAGATCCCGGGCTGCGTGAATCTATGGGTATTTATATACAATTCGAAATTGTTAAATATAAAATATTGCTCCTTAAGAATTATTCACGTATAATTAAATTTAAACAATTTTATTTCAGAGGCAGACGTAAATACAGCGACACCAAGCCTTAGTAATGCAGCAGCAACATGGGCGGGTTGGGCTGTAACGGCAGTTACTGCAAAATTCTATCGTAGTCAATCAGACACGCCTAAATCTTCAAATCCTCATGGCGCATCAAGAATTTTACTGAATAAACCTGCCTCTCTGGGTATTTATAGACTATTGTATTTTTAAATTCTGTTCGATGTTAGATGCTTTTACCCTTAATACCTAATTGGATTACAGAACAAGCTAGTAGTTCCCAAAGTAGCGCTAGTACAACTGCTACAACAAGTAGCGCTACGAGTATGACGTCATTAGATCACGATCATGAACATGACCTACAAAATGCTACAAATACAAATTCAGATTGCGATTGGGATTGTTGGGATGCTGATAATTGGGGCGATATGGAACAACAACCTTCTACCACCTCGGTACTCGGGACAAGCAATGTCTCGCCATCTCCACATTCTGCCAAGGATAATGATCAGTGGACAAGTTTGGAGGAAGAACCGGTTTGTATTAATTAACACTGCATCATTTTTGTTCCATTTTAAAAAGAAACGAAGCATAAACGTTACTTTTAGGAAGAAGAAGCGGCACAAAGTGTAGAAGATAAAAATGAATCGTCCGAGGTAGGTTGGGAAGATTCAGAATTTCAGCCTCTAGATGATTTTCAGCCACTAGAACAATCAGGTATACTTATATTGTTCAAACAAAATTCGTATCATATAATAATATTTAATTACCTAAAATTTATTCTTCGTTATAAGGAAATATTGAAACTACTGGTATGCTTAGTGGAAATAATAAATTGGAAGAAGCCAAAAGGAAACGAGAAGAACGGAAATTAGCAAGACAAAGACAAATGGAAGCGAAAAGAGTGGTAAAATTACGAAGCAGTACTGCTGCCAAAAAATTGTAATTTAAATGTCATAATTCGAGAATTCCATTTATGTACTTGAGGGGAAATTTCAATGATGGATTAAAATGTGATTGATGAAAAACAAGTATTTTTTTTATTAATTGCAGATCTGATATTGAATAAATATTAATTATAAATTGTTTGTTCAACATTGTTTATTACATTATACATTCTTAGAAAATATTATTGTATACAGTAAAATATAATTATATATTATTTTAACAACTTATATAATCAATAGTATATTGTTTCATTTGTAATACTTGGTTAAGAAAATATACATACTTTAAAAAAGTATACAAATATTTACTGTATAATATATTTTAATTATAAAAAGTTTTAATAAAATTTAAGATTATAAACTCTTGCTGTAAAAACGATCAAAGTTTTATTATTTATTTTTCTTTATACCGAGTATACAAATTAAAAAAATCATATTTTAAACAATAAATCTATTTTTATACAAGTTTCGAAACATTTTTTAATGTCATAAATGGGATTGTTCTGTAGTATTTTCATTGTGGAATCTCATGTTGAGGTAATTGGCATTGCTAGGTTCACGTTTAAATCCTAAACTTTCATAAAACGTTATAAGGGAATCTTTACAGTCTAATGACAATTTGTAACACTGTAAATAATGTGCTAGTTCTAATATAATTTTTACTACTAGTTTTCCTAATTGCTTCCCACGGTATTTATTATTTACCACCACATCTTCCAAACGTCCCCTCTGTAATGGATTTCTCATATTAATTATTTTACATACGTATTTAATAAGAAATTGTTTAAAAAGAGCAAACATACGAGGGCACAGTTGTGAATAAATTTCTGTTCCACAACCAATGTTGCGCTTGCTATTACTTTTCCAGTGCTTACATCTTCTATTACAATGATGTAATAACTATTAGTACATTTCATTGTATAAAAACGTCCTATACATTTGTAAATAATGTCAGATATATTTTCATTATTTTATCATTCATATTTTACTTTGAAAATAATTAAATACCAAGGGACTTACTTAGAAATTGTTCTTTACTAATATTTCCAACTTCAGTTAATTGAGCTAATAGTTGAAGGAAATCTATTAAACATTTATAGTACAATTAATTAACAAAGTACATTATCAGCAGCAATTTCTTTCTACAATTGTTTTACCTCTATCATAATCGCCAGATTGTAAAGGTCTAATTAATAGACCTTCAACCTGTGATAAGGATAATCGCTCCAATATACTTGCATTGAACAACTCAGTCTCTGTATCTCCAAAATTGTTTCCCTGATAAAGTATTATAGATGAATGTTAGATAAACTATCGATATTAAAAACTTAATGTAATAAGAAAACTGTAAATTCTTAAATGTCAACAATATGATAACATATTGTCTCTCAAATTGAAAATATTTTCAACTATGAATCGTTTATCGGGCAATTTGAACTATTTTTAATTTATGAAAAAAATGTACAACCTCTACAGAACTCATTGTAATTGCACAGACAGTTTCTAATTAGTATTTCGTACGACAGAATCCTCTTATCTTTTGCTTTCGTTCAGACTTTCGTGCACATCCACTGTAATCAGATTTGGCATAATTGAGTGCGTTGACGGCGACACTAGTAACGAGGAATTTCCTAACGAGTAACTAGTGACGAGGAAGTTCCTCGTTACTAGTGTCGCCGTCAACGCACTCAATTACGCCAAATCTGGCTACACCGCGCAGGAATGACTATGCCGTTTCATTTAATGGTCGAACACTGAACGTGAAATGGTAATCTTTTAAAACTTTCCTATTATGTATAAAATAATCAACTTGTATCATGACAGATAATTTATACAATGCTTACGGCAATTTTATATAATTTAAATTTAATATTCTTTGTTGGATATTTTTTTTTCACTTGACATTCTAGGTTAACTTTGTTTCTAATTTCAATTATTTTGTATCGTATTATTCGAACTGTTAATGTTAACCTTTGTTTCTTATAATTGTCATAATAGGGACAAAATCAGTCGGGTACCGGAGGTTCGGGAGGTGATAAAAAGGATGATAAGGACAAGAAGAAGAAGTATGAACCACCTATTCCAACAAGGGTGGGCAAAAAGAAGCGACGTATAAAAGGACCCGATGCTGCATTAAAATTGCCACAAGTTACACCACATACGCGTTGCAGATTGAAACTTTTAAAATTAGAACGTATAAAAGATTACTTGTTAATGGAGGAAGAATTTATTAGAAACCAAGAACGTCTAAAGCCGCAAGAAGAGAAAAATGAAGAGGAAAGGTCTAAAGTTGATGATTTAAGAGGAACGCCGATGTCCGTTGGAACATTAGAAGAAATCATTGATGATAATCATGCTATAGTTTCTACATCTGTAGGCTCTGAGCATTATGTGTCAATTTTATCGTTCGTGGATAAGGATCAATTGGAACCTGGATGTTCTGTGTTATTGAATCATAAGGTTCATGCAGTTGTTGGGGTTTTGGGTGACGAGACAGATCCTATGGTTACAGTAATGAAACTAGAGAAAGCTCCGCAAGAAACTTATGCTGATATTGGTGGTACGTATACTCTTTACGCAAATTGTTTTTCTTTACATGGTACATTTATCTTTCATAGCAATAAAAACCTTGAAAATTCACTATTTTTCAGGCAATTATAACTTTAACTTGCGGGAGAAATATATTAATACTTGTATTATATGAAACATTTGTGTAATTTATTAAAAGAACAAGTTTTATATTTATCATTGATTAGGTCTTGACACGCAAATTCAAGAAATCAAGGAGTCCGTTGAATTACCTTTAACTCATCCAGAATATTATGAAGAGATGGGTATTAAACCTCCCAAGGGTGTTATACTTTACGGTCCACCAGGAACTGGGAAAACATTATTAGCCAAAGCCGTAGCAAATCAGACTTCTGCAACTTTTCTAAGAGTTGTCGGATCTGAACTCATACAGAAATATTTAGGCGACGGACCAAAACTTGTAAGAGAGTTATTTAGAGTTGCAGAAGAACATGCCCCGTCGATTGTGTTTATAGATGAAATAGACGCTGTAGGCACAAAACGATACGACAGTAACAGCGGCGGAGAACGTGAAATTCAAAGAACTATGCTAGAACTCTTAAATCAACTCGATGGTATGAATAGTATTAATTGTAGATTCATTATCAAATATTTTCAAAATTTTTTAATTAATTTTATTCAATGATTACTTCTTATTTGTTTAGGTTTCGACAGTCGAGGAGATGTTAAAGTAGTTATGGCTACAAACAGAATTGAAACTCTAGATCCAGCATTAATCAGACCAGGTCGCATAGATAGAAAGATAGAATTTCCATTACCAGATGAAAAAACAAAAAGAAGAATTCTCAGCATTCATACTAGCAGAATGACATTAGCACCCGATGTAAATCTGGCAGAATTGATTATGGCTAAAGACGATCTTTCAGGCGCAGATATAAAAGTAAGATTTTATTTAAATAATAATCTTAATGGAAAGAAATTTTTATTAGATACTAGTGAATGCTTTTTATTCACAGGCTATATGTACTGAAGCTGGTTTAATGGCACTGCGTGAACGCCGTATGAAAGTTACCAGTGATGATTTCAAAAAATCTAAAGAAAGTGTTCTGTATCGGAAAAAAGAAGGTTCACCCGAGGGATTATATTTATAAGAATACTGCAATAAATATTCTTTACTTCTGATTCAAGCATAAAATTCTATACATGCTAATAAAAACATACAAAACATTTATATTTTGATTATAGAGTTAATTATCTTCAAATAGCTGTGGAACCTGATTTGGTATTTCTAATATATTTGATTCATTGATATTTAAGTCCCTTATGTATGGTTGAAAATACCCATACAGTGTTTCGATTACTTTTATGGAATGTGCTCTTTGATCATTAATAATATCTGAAAACTGCTTCTGTGTATCATCATTTTTATTTTGAAATTCCATTTCACATATGTGACATGCACCTCTTCTAGTTTTATCAAGAATTTCGCTTATATTTTGTGGATGCTTCATATTGTGCGGCACAGCATTTAATAAACTCTTAAATTTTCCTAAAACAAAAGCAGTTTTGAAAGCTTCTTCGTAACCTATATCAAAACCTTCTTGAAACACAGATTCTGATCCATTATCTATTCCTTCTCTGTAACCACCCTTAAAAAAAAAGCAATCAAGTATTTAAAATAAATCAATGTATACTTATTATTTAAATTGCATGTTGTTTCATCATATAAGCAATACCTTTTCAGCAGCACTTCTAATTCGATTCCAATCTTTACCAGCAATGTTCAAGGATTCCTCAATTCGTGATGTATTTGAGAATTCATCCATATTATTAGAAAATTTTCCAATATTTATATAATTTGTAATGTTTTATTGGAATGTATATTGGAAATATGCAAGAACATAAACTACCAGGTTTTTTATGATAAGCTTTCGATTGTTACGTGGCTGAAATATTAGATGATGTTTATAATAGGTTATCAAGCTAATAAACAGATTATTATGTATTAAATACGAATTACTGCATTCTAATACATTTCTGTACATGCCATTTAAATAAAGTATGTAAAATATCGGTTATATGTATCAGAATTAATCTTCAAAATATGTATTTTATAAAAATTTGTTCATTGGATCGATACCTTGTTCAAAACAATTGTAATACTTAAATAACGTTTCTATTACGCGACTACTAGGTATGATGTGTAAAGTATTATCACAGACGAGGTATACAAGTAGATCTTACATCCAATGTATTTATGCGGCGCATTTTTCTGAGGCTCTAGAACGACTACATCCCCATTAACACGCGTTATTTGCATTTTGAAACCAGATTTTGTGGCCAGATGAGTAAATATTCATACCCCCGAAATTCTACGCAGTTTCGAAGAAAAAATTCTTTACGAAATCGGTAGATGTACAAATTTTTCGGCAAAATATGGTTCGTCGTTACTAGTGTCGCCGTCGATGCGCTCAATTATGCCAAATCTTGCCTGGTTTGGAATGCCGTAATGCCTTTAAAATAATATGAATGAATGAATACGTATGTACGCACAGCACAAATTTTGACATTTAAAAAGTTCGATGGAAACAGAAGCCGGTACATCAAAAGAACAGGATGGAAATTCTGCAAACTCTAATATACTTGATACGCTTGAACAAAAGTAAATCCTTCTTCCTTTTATTAAAAGACACATTAAAAGTTACATTTATATACATACTATGAGTCAAATAAAATATTACCTTATTATGTAATGAAAAATAAAGCATAACCAATATTTACATACGTTACTTGAAATTTCAGAATTATTGCATTAGCACAGGTTAGACCTAAAGGTATATCTGATAAAGATTTAATGGTTGAGATGCCAGATTTACAGCCCGCTCAGAGAGCTCAAATTATTAATAAACTATTGACTCAGGGACACTTTGATTTATTCAAACAAGGTGGTTCCCTTTTGTATCGCTTAAAAGACCCTTCAAAAGCAAAAATAGCTAAAGGTGCAGATAACGAAGAAAAAATTGTATATACAATTATTGAAGAAGCTGGGAATAAAGGAATATGGATTCGCGACATAAGATTTAAATCCAATCTAATGCCGACGCAATTAAATAAGATTTTAAAGAGCTTAGAAACTAAAAAGTTCATTAAAGCTGTAAAGTCTGTGGCAGCAAGTAAAAAAAAAGTGTACATGCTGTATAATTTAGAACCAGACACTTCTGTAACTGGCGGTGCATGGTATCAAGATCAAGATTTTGAAGCAGAATTTGTTGATGTTCTTAATCAGCAGTGTTACAGATTCTTGGAAAAGAAACGCGAGCAAATGAATTCTTGTAAGGGTGGACCGATTGCAGCTAGAAATGTTACGTTTGCTTCATCCAAAGAAGTATGGAAGTTTATTTCTGATCTAGGAATAAGCAAGGTTCAAATAATACTATAGTATTTTTTTAAATTTTACATACGATTGTCAAAAATGAATGATTATTTACAGGTAAAGTTATCAGTTGAAGATTTGGAAATGATATTAGACACTTTAGTTTACGATGGGAAAGTAGAACGTACTCTTTCAGGAGATGGAAGTAATTTGTATAGGGCTGTAGAACCTTTATTAAATTCACCTGGATTGATTAAATCTGCTTGTGGTGTTTGCCCTGTAAGATTTTATAAATTTTCTATTCGTTTAAATGCAAATTCGATCAATTTACTGAGTATTTAACGATATAAAAATATTTTAACGCAGGTGAGAAAAAATTGCTGCGAAGTTGGCGATGTTACACCCACAAAATGTCAATATATATCGGAATGGTTGGAATAATGTTTTTTAATAAAATATATTTCTAAATAAAAAAATGTTTAGAACGTATATAATAATTTGCCATCGTTTTAGTAAACTGAATCGTTTCATCGTATTTTAGATATGTAAAGATCGAAACATAATTTTCTTAAAAATACGATCAGTTTCGTTCAAGGAAGCGTGAACGCCGTTCCCGCCAAATTTAACAATATAATGTAAATCTCGACCGGATACCGATTACCAACTTCACAAAAGTACTTTGCATTTATTTTAGATTTATATCTTTAGATTATGACGTCGTATTGAGAATGTCATAAAAAGATATAAGAACAAAGAAGGAAGAAACATTTAATGGGTAAAAAATTCTCAATACATCGGTATAACAAAATTTATTATACAATTGTCTTTGTTTCCCGCGTTTCAAATCACGTTTCCAATAAGTTGGTAGCGTTATCCTTTCTATTACTTTCCGGCACTGAAAGTTGCCAGATGTGAATGCGCGCTTCCACGAGACTGTTGAGTCGTGCATTGTCATGAGATTCGAGATGTTTTGGCAAACATTACCAAAGCCTTGCAAATGAGACACATGAATAAACAAAATTTCGAAAGAAGTAATCTACGACGATCGTAACGTAAGATTTCACGGTGCCTGTTAAAGCTTTAAGTTGACGATTACGAATTGGCGTGTATCGCATGTGCCCGCGGTGTTCCGGAAAGAGCGTAGTACTGTCTTCGACGCAGAATTGATTTCCCAAGTTGTTAGATTTGTGGACGAAAATCGCGTCCGAATATCGAAGGACACGTAAACATTGATATGCCGCTACTTCGTAAACAGCCTTTCCTGCGACTTCACGTCTCTTCAGACTTCAAAGACGACGATGAAGTTTTCCATTGCGAGGTTACCAATGAAATCTTCAAGGACTATAAGTAAGACCATGACAGTAAAGACTACTTCAAAACACGTTTCGCGGTTTCGTTAATGCGATTTATTGTATGTGAATTTTTCATTTTCTTTCGATTTCGTCTCGGTGAAATGCTTTCGTTTTTCGTAAATAGACAAGTTATTATGTTGACCAGTGTGTTTTCACTTTTTTAAACTCTGTATGAAATCTAACGAATAGATCAAGTTGCAAGTTATAGTCTACAAAATGCACGTATCGTTTATATGTGCGATCGTTATTTAAGCGCAGAATTGCTTGTATGATTATGTGTCATGCTACCAAACATAATATTAGTTTACCAAAGAAAGTTTGTTAAATTATTATTTTTATTTCTGTATATAAATTGTCCACTTATTAATAACAACTGTATTTTATCATTTTAATGTTTTCATGTATTCTATGGTTGCAGCGAGTTTTGTGAAAGAATTATTTTATGCAATTCGTTGATATGGTCATGCAGTATTACTGGCAGAACTAATATGACGTACGAAGAAGCTTTACAATGCGAAGAAAATGCAAAAAAGAGCCTGAAGGAATTTCCTATGGAGGTACAATGTTTAAAATTGTTACATATCGTTATCTTGTATATTAATTATTTTATACTTTATGTTATAGTTACGTATTCCTATATTGTATCTTGCTAGTAAAACAAACAGATCATCTTTCAATGAAATGATAGAAGATGTATATCAATTTGCAAGAGATCGATATTTTATTGGAGAAATGGTAGAAGCAAGTTTTACAGAGGATTCTTGGTGCGATTGTCATGTTCTTCAAGTTATCGCACCCACGGATCAACAAATTAAATCATACGCTAAAGAGAATAGGTATAAATATATTCGATTTACAAATTTGTATATTGTATATTTATTATTTGTATAATTTTTTTACACGCTTATGTGCTTTAGAAGTCCACAAGAGCAACAGTATCATCCGCCAGCAAAATTGTTTCGTTATGAAGTAGAACAATTAGACTGTGGAGATTCTGATGTTAGCCAACTTATGATAGTAGAAGCAGCACAAGTGAGAAGAAGAAAACAACATTATAGCAGAGAACGTAATAAAATATTTTTGCGTCAATTATGCGGGCAAAACGAAAGCGGTATATGGATTGTTAAAGTTAGTAATTGTTTCAATGTAAATAATTTTTAGAAATATATAAAATATATTAACAAAGAATTTCTTATGTCCCTCTAGGATAGTGTTTTACAAAAATATGGAATTAGCAAAGTGCGTTTTGATACTATATTCGCTGGTTTTCCTCCAGATTTCACATCACGTTCTAGAAAACTTGTTAAACACAAACAAGAGACAATAGAAAAATTTCTTACATCAGATATATCAAAACAAAAAGCACTGGAAAAACCTGATCCTCTAAAAAAGGTAAATCAAACTGGGGTGGACATAAAGAAATTTCGAAAACCAAGGTAAATAATGTTACGTCAAGGATGATGGTTTTTAACAGTATATTAATGTTATAATGTTTCTGAACAGAGCGAATGGAAAGTTTAAAGAAGACCTTAAAGCGAAAGCACTCGAAGAAAAAGCAAAACGAAAAGAAGAAAGAGTCCTAAAAAGCGAACGTAAAAAGGAAGAAAAACAGAAGTCGGCTGCTTTAGCTGCTTATGTCAGACAATGGAATAAACCGAGGGAGGATCTCGAATGCGAAGACCTTTCCCCTATTCCACAACCTGTTCCGGTTAAGAGTAGCATACCTAATGAAAAATTTGGCGACAGTGTTATGATTTTAGAATTTCTAGAATTTTTTAACGAGGAGTTAGATGTCAGTGCATATTTTCCAAACGGTTTTACTTTAGACTTGTTGGAAAAGGCGTTGTTGATGAAAGAAACATCTGGACCTTGGAGCGATCTCTTGCAGTTAATACTGTCTAATATTTTCATACATCAAGCAGACGAAGAAGATGAAATTCAAGCATCTGATTTAATAAATGATATTAGTATGTACGAGGGAGCATCATCAATGACAAAAGCTGTTAAACTTGCGACAATGGCTTCTACTTGGTGCCAAATGTATCAAGGCTGTAAATTATCCGAACTACCGATGGATCATTTAACGGTTAGTGAGATTTTAAGACAACATTTGTTAAGTTCTGGAGGACGAATAGGGGAAGCCGCCTCCAAATGGAGATATTCTCAAAGGGGTAAGCATTCAGAAATATTTCATAAATCGAAACATTACTGATTGCCGTACTTTATTCCGTTTTCTTTAGGTGGATATACGAATCACGATGATCCTGCGCTTCTGATGAGGATAAACGAGGCATACATTTTAAGATTGTTAGGGCATCGTAATGTTCATGAGTTTGATATAGACGAAAAATTAAAAGTTGTTACGTGTCTGATAAATCAGTTGCTTACCTTCGCTTCGATACGGGACGTGATTGAAGAGAAGCATGAAAAAGTTCATCAGGCCAAAAAAGAGCTGAGGTTTTACATACTAGCCGAGCAAAGAAAAGAGAAAGAAGAAAAAGAGAAAATGAGAGATCGCGAAAAAGATAAAGAGAGCAAAATACCAAAGAAAATTACGCGTGGCAACTGCGAAGAGGAAAAACGAAAAGAGGAATATGAAAATAAAATAAAAGAACTTCAACAGGCATCCAAGGATGATAAAATGATGCTCTATTTAGGTTCCGATAGAGCTCATCGTAGGTACTGGCGTTTTTTATCAATACCAGGTATTTTTACATTTTTTATATTATGTAGACTCGGGGAAACAAATTTATATATTATTATGTATGTATTGTTTGTACATAGGAATATTCGTAGAAAACGATGAATGGTGGCCAGGTACTTGCCTTCCAGAAGGTACACCTTATCAACCAGAATTACAAGATAGCGAGTCTATGTACGCATATTTAAGAAATAAATTCGAAGATGAATTCAGCGATAAAGAAAATAGTTTTAAAAAAGCAAAGAAGTCTCCCAAGAAGGTGACATTTGCCGATAAAAATGGGTTGAAGTCGCCGAGGAAAGATTTACCGCGAAAAGAATTTAAGAAAGATCACTCCGACGTTAAGAAAAATTTAATGGCTTGCACAGGAGATAGAGAATGCCCGGTTCATTGTAAAAGATCAGAACCGAAATGGAGTTTCTATGGGAATCAGGAAGACATAGAAGCTTTGATAAATGGTTTGAGCAAACGAGGCATTAGAGAGGGAGAACTCAGAAATAATATTACACAAGAGATGACGAGTTTGGTATCTGTAATCGAAGAATGTCCTAGGCATAAACTTAATCCTGAAATTGTAAGTATGTTTCAATGTATTTAAAACTTTTTCACAATTATAGTGGTTGAATAAATAGCGTCAGTGAATCTTGGATACAGTTTTCAGGACCTATTAAAGGACAGGCTGGTAAAGCTGCGAAAAAAAATAAATATGAAAATGCAAACCTAAATTATTCTTCGGAATTATCTGTCAACGACGTTTTAGAACTAACTCTGAGGGATTATATCCTAGATTTTGAAGATAAAATAAAAGTAGCTTGTTTGGGAGGACTGAAAGTCGTTAGTCGTGAAGCATGGAGAAGTGCAATCGATAACGGGCGCTACGATAAACAGTGTGATAAATTAGCGTTTGGTACAAATGAAGTTGAAGTAGATATTGCTTCTAATTTAACATTGGACAAAGTTAAGAACGAAGCTAAGCATAGCAGGCCAGGTACTCCGGATTCAGAAATTGGTAGTATTAATATGAAGACTTACAAAGATTCAGGCAAATACTTAGGCCCGTCGCAAGAGAACGAAGCACCCGTAGATCCTAACCAGCAAGCGTCTATTAAACAAATGGCCTGCGCTATTTTACAATTATCGCACGCCATAGATCAGAAGTACTTCCGAAGACCGTTGGGTCACGACGAGAAGGATAAAAAATGGTCCGGCGAGGAAACTAGAGAGAGATGGGAACAGTCGCTTATGGCATCTATCAGTTGGTCTCAGTTATTTTTGCATTTAAGTACTTTAGAAAATAGTATCGCATGGAATAAAAGTGCGCTCAATGCTCAGTGCCGTATCTGTAGACGGCGACGAGATGCCGAGAAAATGCTACTCTGCGATGGATGCAACAAAGGCCACCATTTATATTGTTTAAAACCAAAACTTACTGTAATTGTGTTTTTTTTTTTTTTTTTCGATCAAATACGTAATTTCTGTTATTATTCAATAAATGACAATTACTCGTTTCTTCGCAGACTGTACCGGAAGGGGATTGGTATTGTAAAACGTGCAAGCCATCGATGAAGTCGAAAGAGAAAATTAAAAAACGAAAGAAATTTGAGGAATTGGAGGATGAAGTAATATTGACCAAAGAAACTCGACACAATCGGGCTAAGCGTATTCTCGAGAGCGAAGAAGAAGAGGACCAAGAGGACAATGAACTGGAGGAAGAGAGCGACGGGAATATGTAAGCAATCATTTTAGGTAATTTTTGCTCGTCGATGCAAGACATTTTCTAATAATTGTTACATTTTAGGAACAGTGAAATAGATATATGCAATGTCTGTAGAAGTGGCGGGAAATTGATCAGTTGCGACGCATGTTCAAACTTTTATCACATGGAGTGTATAGAACCTCCCATAATAAGAGCTCCCCGCGGAAGGTGGTCCTGTACAGACTGCAAAGATAAAAAAGATAAGAGGTCCGGTACAAAATATGGTAAGGCATTAGAATTATACTATAAATGTTTTACAAATACACAGTGGCAGCAGAAAGCACAGTAATAAATCTCGATAGTATTAAAGTATTTTATTAACACGTTAATATTACAATGAACAGAATCTCTATATTAAATATTAATATAATAAAGCGGTTTCTTAGCTTTGATTGTGTTGTTAGTGAGGGGGCGTGAAAGGGAAAGGGACAAGGAGAGACTGTGCGCTGCAGCAGCACGCTCTCGCATCCATGGCTTTGCCAAGAGCCTCCTCACTACAGAATCTACAGACTGGGACGGTCTGTATTGTAATACTTATTCTATTTTATATACAACACACACATTTTATTGGAAATAAAATAACAATTTCAAATGAAAATGTAATAACAATAACGGGTCTTGCTTGATATAATCGTGCGTTAACAATTAGCAAAATTAAATTCAACTTTCTTACCAGATAAGTAAGGTTTCGTTGCATGTATCTGCAGTAAGGCCCCGTGTTTCGTTATTAAAGAGAAAACTTTTGCGAAATTAATTTTCCAGTGTTTTCTATATTTCTGCCTTATTATTTAAAAATTGTTATGTCCAGTATCTGTTACGAATATATCTTACCTTGTTTTATATAAACGTTTTAGCAATGCTTTACATATGTTATTGAATAAATATATTTAACATTAATATTACATGTATGTATAAATTTGAATACATAGACAGTAGCAATTCAGAAGATGCGGAACCAAGGCAGACGAGGAGAGCGACTAAAAGAGCTGCTGAAATAGAACAGGATAAGGAACCGATTAAGGGAAGTATGTCGAGACTGCCGGAATTACTTGCGGATATCAGGCAACATAGGGATTCGTGGCCGTTTCTATCACCAGTCACGAGAGACGAAGTTCCAGATTATCATGATATTATTTCCAATCCTATGGATTTCGGAACAATCAAGTATAAACTTAACAACGGGGAATACGAAACACTGGAGGACTTCTTCAATGATTGTCAGTTAGTATTTAATAATTGTCAGACTTATAACGAAGAACATAGTTCAGTGTACAAGTAAGTGTAACGTGTATAAATATTTTCATATATGGGTTCGGATGCCAGAGATCATGAGATCAATAAACAATATTTATTAAGGTGTTGTGTTCATATTGTGATAGTTTACATAAACAAACATTTAATAGCAAAGTAAAACCAGAATTATTACAAATATTTAATTTTCTTTTTAGAAAGAATTCAACGTTACAAGTACAATATACGAATAGACAAGTGAATTTTAATTTTTACGCCCTTTTAAACGTTCTAAAATTTGAATAAAAAATAAAATTGTTACAATAGGAACAATTGCTCTAATAATTTAAATGCGATCAAAATCTTTGGCTTCTGAACGCTCGATACAATATTGATTTAAAGAGTTAAACTATGTTATTTTAAAAATAGTTACGTGTACAGAGCAGGTATGAGGTTATTCAAGTACTTTGAAAAACGATGTAAAGAGTTACGGTTGAGCTACGACGAGGAATTCCTACAACCGCCAGACGCAAAAAAGACAAAATTTGAAGAGAACGGTCTTATCGATAACGAGGACGAAGACACAGAAGATATTCAAAAGACAAGATAGAAACGAAATACACGCCTCAACACGTTATACATATTGCATATTAATTTCTGTTTCCCGATATGTAAATTGAGTGTACCTTGAAAATGCATATGGGTTACTACACTGATGTTAAACAGTGTATAAATTCATACTTCTACAAAAGGTGTTGTGTAAATTCTGTTACTGAAACGCTTCATTTGTTAAGAACTAGACGATGCTATATATAATTTACTAAACTAATCCATAGAGTCGCTCGATAAAGTGCTGCAAGTATAACGTACATTCGGAATGTCACTTTTAACACCTATCGAAAGTCTTGATTAGTGTTTCCTTAGACTTGCTGAAATAAAAAAAAAAAAAAAAAAAAAACATGCACAGTATTATTCGTAGAATTTTATGCATGATGTAATTTGCTCTCGCATATTTTTAAGAGTCCTTAATATAGAGCGTTTTACAAACAAGCAAACAGCAAGCGCGTGAGCGATGATATTAATTTCATTCGCTCGAGCCAGTATAAGAGGGTAGTTTTCTGAGTTAGCGTTATTATTATATAAAAAAAAAACAATTTGTTATCAAACAAATATTTTTACATTATAATTATTTATTATTTTAGCACTACATGTACGATTATCATTTTAAGTATTTTTTCACTATACAAAACATCTCAAAGGCCTTCAAAGCTTCTTCACTTATGCAAACTCCACATTTATTCATTATCTGCCTTTCGAACTATGTATAAATCATGCGAAATGCGATAACGTGATGATACGACTGACAAGTTTAAAAAATTTAGTACTCGCGTAATAAACACGGAGAAATTTTTTTTCGTTGCGAATTTAAGAAATATTCTGTTCGATATTTAAATCGATATACAAGTACAGTCACTACACGCTTGTATTTATATAAAGAAAATAAATTTGATCAAGGTACAAATACATTACTATATAATCGCACGATCTAATGAAAATTAAAGATTTTATTATTTAATCATGTTTATTTTAAGTTCTGCTAAATTGTTAACACATTACCAGTACTTATATTTCTTCGTGAAAATCAGCCTAGCTTAACGAAATTGAAGATCCTAGGGTGGCCCTACACAAAATCTACGGTACAAATTATAATTATTCGCTATATTGTACAGCAGTTGTAGGAACAGTTCTTTGTAATCATGTACGTTTTATACAATTAATTTGGTAATAAACTTTTGGAATAGACTTTTAATTAAATTTTGTTCATAACATAACGTTCGACAAAAATGATCAGAGATAAAGACATTTCAATTTGCAAGAATCGCATATATTCTTTTCATAGATGTATTCTTACATACTATACTAAATTATTTCCCAGCATAACTTAATGATGATGACCAGGTTCTTCTAAAAATTGTTTACGATGTATTTCGTCCCATTTTTTAACATTCTCTGGACTGTAACCTGAAATATAAGGAAAAAATTAATTATGTTCGTAAGCAATGAGACGGTCTCGAATGATGAAAAAAAAAGTTGTCGAACTTACTGAGCTTTTGGATTTTATAAAACAAAGGGGCAGTCACTACAATGGATATAAGCCAAAATTTGAACACCCAACTGCTTTTATGGGTGAGATAATATTTATATGGAAATTGAGCTATCTTTGCGCTTAATGTATACGGATATTTCATAGGTGTTCCTGGATTTTCTGCAGACATGGCTGAAAATAATTTGACAATCAATTTTGTTAGTAAAAATATCTTACAGAAATTTAATTGAAAGTCTTAATTATATGCATACAGAAAATGGTACGAAGTTTTTAGGCTTCTGGAATAACCATTAAACCATGCAATACCATAAATTAGTTTTTACACGTACTTTTACATCATACAAATCATGATTTGAAATTTTACGACATATTCCTCATAAAGGAGTAAAACTTTTCCCTTGTACAGATTACTTTTTTATCCCTATATATTATTTAATTACGATACATCGAAGAAAGCTACGATACATATATAAAATTTCTAGACATAAAATATTTACACATAACAAGTATCTCTCCCATAATATTAAGTATTATTACATTCGAACGAATAGACTTAACGAATGGTATACATTTCTATATTATTTTTGTTACCTTTCTTCAAATTTGTATTAGATAATTGGGTTAACCAACGAGACATACTACAAACGAACTCCACACAATAACAAAGTGAAACTGATGTATGAAATTATACCTGTTTCTTTTGTAAAAATAAGGTTTATTAATTACTGCACAAGATCCAACGAGCTCTACACCCGACAGCCACCGAATAAGATTATATAATAACGTCCTACTGCAATATCTCGAAAAATATCGAACTGTGTTTTGCCCAACGTACAATGGCGTATTCTATTGGTTCAAAGTTGGACAAACCGAAATTTCTAAACTTTGAATACACTTGAAATTTCATAGATAGAAATAGTAAAAGGAATTTCTTTTTCTTTCAATAGGTAAAATATAATCAGTGAGGCTTGTACGTGTATTTCGGAAAGTGGACAAAGGCAAACTGACACATGCCATCTTTCTCGATTCTTTGAAGCTGCCCGAAGTAATGTCAGAAGACGATAGCACATAGGACTAGAAGATTGGACCTTTGGCGTTAATTCTGAAGCATTTGTAAGTGATCTAAATTACTCAGTACTCTTGTATTGTATTGTTGCATTAACAAATAACTTAAAATTAGTTTTAATAACTGTGTGGGTTATTAAACCTACTCCAACAGTTATTTTTACGATAAATAATGCGCCGATTTGTGAAGGACTACAGTACTACACCGTCATCTGCTAAAGGGACGCCATCTAGCGTTGAAAAGACGAACTATTCGACGACAAACTTGGGCGTTTTAACACCAGGGGGCCTGAGGTCGAAAATAATCATGTACCACCGATGGGTCATAATTTCTTTAACTTACGCACATGTCCCGATCGGGATTACTAACTGTAAGAGTAGCAGAAGATGCAGTTATGAATACTAGTCAAAATGTAATTGTCTGGGATCCTTTCTCGTTGAGAAGGCCATCTAACACAATTATTTATAGCGTTTCACTGTCCACCGATAGATAACTAATTAATTTTAGCGACAGTAACAAGTTCGAAACAACAATTATCTAGAAAATAATAACTTTAAACGTGTGAAACTTGTTAGTTAAGCTTGTAAATCAATTCTACGCCTTCGGTCGAATTAATTATTAATTCTAACCGAACAATCTAAACGAAACATTGCCTTCCATTGTTGTCCCAGGTGCAAAAGTACCTAGGTAGAGCATGTTGGTGAATTTCTTCTCGCACGGCACGAATCCGTGTGACCAAATATGCTTTTAAGAAGCAGGAAACATTCTACGTGATCATTTATCTATCCACGAAGGCTGCAATTAATGTTTCGATGCATCGATGGGTTCATGGGGGTTACATTGTCCACTTATCATGTAGAGTTACGGTGCAAAATTAGCTGGTCTCTCGAGGCCATTGTCCCCCACCATAGGCGCCAATCCTTTCTTCAAGCTTTCTCCCGTCATATCCGGTCCGTTCCTCGTCTCATGTATCGTTGCAGTAAACGAGTCACGTTGTACCAAAGTAATCAGTTAACACGTTAAACGCGAAGCAAACTTTGTTCGACTTTAAAATCCAATAAAACACATATCCTTTGACATTACACGAATCGTAAACTATCACTTGGTCCAATTTGGTCCTTGTCGCCTAAACGGAAAGCTCAGTGTTGGTACCAAAGGATCGACATAGCGTTTAACCCGTTAACAATATACTTAGAAGCTATCGGAATAACGTAAAGGGTGGATCGTAAAGAAAGTCCAGTCGTATAGGTGTATGTCGTTTATTTATTTAATCGATCTGATCGCAGTATAGTTTCTTCATTCATTATACTTCGTCTTCCATAAGTTAATTACAAGTATTTCATCGTCATCTATAATCTAAGAGGGTATAGGGTAAAGTTTTATAGGTATTTCACAGTATTGACTCTATTACATACGCTAATCAGATGGCTAATGTGTTTCGTATCTACAAATATATCTCGTATTTGTTCTCATTCAATATACATATACATATACACGCATACATACAGAGACCGTATGTGTGCATATCTATACACATACATATATTCGTTTCGTAACACATACCCCATCCTACCCTATCCCATCCCCCTCCCCCTCCCCCCCACCCCCACCCGCCGATCCGTCACCTCACGTCCTTTCCGTTCGTTACTCTACGTACGTTTAATGTTAACTTCCGGTTCCTTATGGGAATATCGATAAATCGTCGTTTTTTTCCATACGCATATGTTTTATTTATTTATTTATTTATTTTTTTTTTTGTTTTTTTCGTCATTTTCTGTTTTTTCTTTTTTTTGGTTTGGTGGTTTGTTTGTCGCTTTTAGTAACTCGAACTCTAAAAGGTGTTCTCGAGGAGAGAGAAGAAACTAAGTGGTGCCGGCGCCACGAGCGAGGAGAAAATCCCGTCTCGTTGTACCAGGACTCCGGGGGTCAACGAGATAAGTTCATTATTTTTTTTTTTCTTTTTTTTCTTTTAAAATTATGTATGTATATATGTATATAGTATCCGCTTGATTTGACACATATGATTGAGGTCTCGAGCAAGTCTCATCTGCTGCTTAGCTCGCATCTCACAGCCTAGAGGTGATTTAAACCAGACGCGAGGCCCGTTCTCAACGGGAACGCGTCGCAAACGACGCACACGACAAGTCCCCCGCCGCCCCCGCCGCACGACGATCGCCAAGCTCGCAGGGTGTATACATATTTTTTTATATTTTTTGTATATATATATATATATATATAATATATATATTTACCGTTTTTTCTTATTTTCGTTCTTTACACTTACGTAACGCGTGTTTGTATGTGTGTCCATATGGTCAATTGTGCATTATTATTCCCAAGTAAATACGACATAGTAAAATATTAAAGCGGCAGCAGAATACACTGCAATACTGTTTGATCTATGAAAAAGATGCTCCAATCCCTTTACCCCCCCCCTTTCTCTTTCCCGCGAACGCTGTCCAATTCTTGCTGTTCTCCGTTTTACGTCTCCCAAGGGTTTCTCGACTCTTTACACCTCTTTAACCTCCGCCTTGTCCTTAAGTCAATCTATTTATGTACAAACACGTTTTAGCGTTTTATATCTGAAACAGTTCCCCCTCCTCTTCGCTCTCCCTTTGTCCGTTTCTCAGTGCCGCCATACAGATTTTCCCCTCCTCCGCCGCCAACCCTGCCCCCTTCAGCGAATAAACTTTTTCTCATAGTCAACATGTCTCGTATAAACTATGCAGTGCCCGGCGCCTATCGTATAGGCAGCTACACATAAAATATATGGTAGTCGACAAGTGATTAACGTATTAAAATTAGAAAGTACATGTCGCAACATCGTGGACGATAGACAGAGAGAGATGGAGCGTCTCGTGGACCTGCGATTGGTCAAACTTCCGGTCCCTGGCCACGGATCCACCATCGCGCTGTTCCTCCCCGACGCAACGCTGAAGACAGGTTCGGTGTTGTATTGCTTTGTTTGGTGACTTCCTCTCGTCTTGCTTCGCACGATCGAGTGTGCGTCCGAACAAGGTGCTGGAGATGAGGTAGATATAGTGACGTTGCAACCGACTCATCCTCAATCATGTCCTCTCGATCCTTCTTCGGGGCGTCCAACGAACAGTACTGCTCGACATGCTCGCGAAAATAAACGAAAATTAACCCCCTACAACTCGCATCCGGTATTCTCTCATGGCTTCGAGTTGATCCGTGGACCGTGAGAAAAATTGGAAATTAACATATATCTCTTTCTTTCTAGCTAGATCAACGGCGTACATACGATGCTCTTTGCTCAAAATGCCCTACGATCGACCTGCGTTGCCCGGCCATTATTCGTTTATTTTTGCGCATGCGTTCAGCGACCCTCGTCCAGTTTCCTCGACCGTCTTTAAGTTCTACGACCTCAGCGCCCTAGCCAGGCGGGCAAAATGGCCACGTAGGTTCCACGGATGCTTGACTCTTTCGATTAAGTAGACACAGTGTATCGACGGGTACAATAGGTCAGCCCGTGCTACGTTGATTTCTCTTTTAAAAAGATTCTTTTTTTTTTCTTTTTTTTGTTTTTGTCCGTTATCGTCGATTCTCGATTTCGTCTTCGTAGATAAACTATTCGTCATATATACTTACACATATGTGCTATACATGTACTATATACACACACATATATACATATACATGACTCGTCTTCGTTTACTTATAAATATATGTTTATATATATACATATTAGATAGTGCCTATCTAAATGAAGCGCGGCCGAATAGATTCGGTCCGCGCGCGAAACGTGACATGCACACGACACTTAAACGCGACCGATCGCCTACGTGTTTTCTTTATCCTTCGATGAAAGTCGGTTTCGGGGAATAATGGCGGGCGATTATCTTTCTTTTTCTAATTTTCTTCACCGTTCGCTTCCTACGCGAATTTCTCGGTGAAAACTCTGTTCTTGTGTGTATGTGTATGTCTGTCTGTGTGTGTGTGTGTGTGTGTATGGTGGATGCGTTCCATTCGAAACGCGTTAGAGCGGTGAATCGGACCGGGTAGGCCTTGGACAGTATAAACGCGAATCTAGACAAAAGACTTCGACGCCAAGAGGTTCGGAAGTACAATGGAAAAAAAACGAACTTCAGTCCTGAAGGAGAGGTTTCTTTCCGGCTTTCTCTTTTTTTTTTATCGTTTCGTTTCCCGTCGGTCGCGACGCTAGTCGAGGAGAACGCTGCTGCTTGAACTTTCGTGGTAACGCGAGGCTCTGGCGTGCTCGTGATCGGAGTATCGAAGTATAAAACTGTGAAGAGTAGTCGAAGGTCTGTGCGCAGAGATGTTACGGTACCGAATATGCTGGTTATTCGTGCCGCGTCGATCCAGAGTATACATACTTCACGACGCGATTAACAATTTCCATTAGATACGGTGAAATATATATTAGAAATATATCCAAGAAATTATCGCCATTTTCTCGGCCGTTCTCCGACGCGTTCGGTAAATCCTTAACGTATTTCTTAGTTGTATAACAGTCCCGCCGCTGGTACAAGTCTTTTAGCGTCGCGGTGGAGACCGAGAGTTTCGAACGCCGTTTAGATTAGTTTCTACTACGGTTTGGCGTACGCGTAATCCTAGGTAAACGATTTCAAGACTTTGGCAGTAATATACTTTTCTTAATACATTGACAATTTCAACTATCTCTATAGTCAGTAACTTTCAGAATTTTCTATTAAGTTCCAAGGTCACGTAATCTTCTTACGTTCAACGCTGCAGCGTTCGTCCGATACTTCCCGCCGTGTACGCGCTATCCTATGCTACCCTAAGTTTCACCTATAAGCAGTAGAATTATACATACCTATTATACTCTCTATAACGACAATGCGTGTAGAAAAATGAGCCTCTCGCGTCTTTGGTTAAACGCGAAGCATTTAGAAAGTATTCTGGCAGTGGTTTCGTAGATGCTTCGATCTTAGCCTCGGACCAAAAATTTTGATTTCAGTTACAACGGGAGTTAATTAGAATCGGAATGAGTTTACTCGGGACGTGTCGCGGTTCCATTCCTCGTCGATGATTTCTTCACGTTCTCTTCATGGAAAATTTCTGCCGCTCGCACGAGCAACAACGTCTTGCCCGCGCGAATATTAACGATCAAAGGTCGAGAATACACTCTGTGTGCTACATGTCCGTTTATCCGCCCTTTTACGTCTCGCCGCGCAGAGTTCTCTTTCGTTATTACGGATAAAACATCTCTATCTCATTGAAAAGGGACGAGTGTAAATAAGATAGATCCTACGTATCCTAGTTTACATGTGAAATTCATTTAAAGGAAACTTATATCCTTTGGCATGTCACTTTTTGGCCATCTCGAGGGTCGGCTTTTAACGAGCCTACGAGCCTCCTCCTCGATCCGGTCGACCTACGCGATTACGGCATTCGTCAATCCGGCATCCGTACGTACTCTTCTCTTCCGGTAAACCGTGTGTGTGTTCACAACGCGAAACGCAAGTGACTGCTCAAACAATGGCACAAGAGCAACGTGTTCCTTAGGGTGAAGTCGTTTAGGTCTTTAAGAAGTAAACTAGATTTCTGCTTTTGCGAGGCGGTTACTTCGATTCCTCCCGGTCTAGTTCACGAGTAGATGGTGATCACCTCCCGTCCGCCGCCGCGCACCATCAGCACCCTTTCCAGACCCTCCGTGAGAACCTCTAGGAATTCCATGTCTGTAGTATCTTGGTCAAGGAAATTACATACACCACAAAGTGACATCAACCATGCTGTTGCTGTATCAACGGGGAAGACTCGTGTAAAATCAGAAGCAATATTTTACAGTATAAGGGTTTGATGATACTCTTTGCCACTTAAGGCAGAGGCAATCAGATTGGTACGGTCTTTGGGTATTTGAATACTTAGTTACGAGCACTACTATTGTAGTCTTCTTTGCATGTTTAGCTAGGTAGAGATCAATGTATCTTATTTCTAAGTTACATGTAATTGTGCTCCTTTTTGATAAAGGGTGATTACCCGTTAGATCAACGCCATCGATATACGGAATAACATTTATCATTTCATTAAAAGTCGATAAATATATGGAAAGTGGCATGTTACACGAGTCATCCCCTCAAGTTTCCCAACTTATTTTACAATTTGAAGGATACAATTTGATTCACGTTCCATTTTGGTATCCCGCGGTGGTCCAGGAAGATTCAGGATGACTAACTGAGCGTCATGGCTCTTGTTGACGATCACTTCGTTCAGTTTCACGGAAGTGTGCATACGCCTCACGTCGCCCTCGTCGCTGCAACGGAGTTAATATATTAGGAACAGTTTCTGGCGGCTCGGTTGCGAACGTTCTCTGTAACTTACGGCGTGATGGTGACTTGTTTCGCCTCGGGGCTCTCGGATTTCTTCTCCTCGCTCTCCTTCGCCTCTTTTTCGGTGTTCTCCTTGTTCTCCTGTTTCGGCGAGCCACCGATCAGCTTCGTTTCCTCGTCGCCCTCCTTCGCCTCCTCCACGCCGTCGCTGGCGTCGCCCGTGTCCGATTCCTTGCCCGTTTCGTTCTCTTGCACGAGCTTCTCCTGCGCCTCGTCGACGACGTTCGGGTTCTGGCTTCCGGGCACCTGGAATCTCACCTTGGTAGCGATCTTCACGTCCACGTTGTGGTGATGGTCGACGATCGTCTGTACCTGTATTCACAAGAGGATGATTGGCGAATCGGGCTCGGACCGCCGTGTCCCGAACAGCAGAAGGCAGTCAAGTAGTGTCGAGAGACGACTAACTCTAGCGTCAAAAGCACTCTATATGATTCTGGCTAAATAAATGACCAACTAATGTAAGCATTCGGAATGAACGTGCCAATCAAGCTGAAAGTGGAGCCCTCTGCCGAGCGTTCCATAGATAATCATGAACAAGAAAGCAAACTGGTGGAGGCTTTTCTTTTCTTTTTTTTTTCTTTCGACAGGTGTTAATTTGTTGTCTCGACCTCGGGTTACGGACGCGGTCACCTCCATGAGTTCATTTTCTCTGAACAGGTTACACGAGGCGACGGGGTGTGTGACTTTGTCAGATGGGTCGGCAAACGAAATGCGCTGTTATGAAACATTTGGAGATCTCGGGGCCTGGGCAGGATACGTGGACGTGGTTGGTGTCGTTGACACTCGATTGGGGGAAAAAAGTGACGGAGGAACTCCAGGGAATTGTCTGACAAACCAGAGGTAAATTTTCTTCGGCGGGTACCTCGTTGAAGTCCACCAATGCCGGCACCTTATCCGTGACGAGCACGCAACAAACAGACACATACCCATCAGTATCGGCTTTTACAGATATATTGTATTTTATTATTATGCATTGTATTTCGTATATACGTATCGCGATATAGCGTTCCACGTTTTTCGCGGCTTCGTCACTCACCACTCCTAGGGACTCCTTCTTGTTCAGCCGCAGCTCCCTCAGCATCTGGTTCCTCTGCTCCATCATCAGGGTTCGCTCGTACGTGTACGCGGATATGTCGGAATCCATCTACGAGATCACGCAAATTACGTCACAAAATCGTACCTCAGACTTCTTCAATGTTCCAAGGACTACGGATAGAATCACACTATGATCGCTGTTAGCCTATCTCTTACCATTTCCACTATTTCCACCTCAGCCTCGATCCTGAGGTCGTAGAGGAACTTCTTCAGATCCTTCTTCATCTGGATAGAGTTGTCCTCCATTTGGGCGACAGTGAAGATCCTCATCTTGCAGTTCTTCCACGTGCGGTGCTGCTTGAGCAGGAATGGTAGCAGCATCAGCAGACCCCCGTCGTGGACGATCCACCATACGTCGATGTAACCGACCACCTTTTCCGTGGAGTCGGGGAAGAAGTTGATTCCTTTGGGCACAAGCAGCGCCATCCTCGCCGCGGCGACCGCTCTGACCGTTTGCAGGAAGACTCTCCAGGTCCTCTCGTCCTCCGACTGCCTCCAACCGTACGGCCAGCCGAGGATCACCGTGTTGGGCTTCATTCCACCGAGCCCGGTGGTCTGTATCAGCGAGCTCAAGCCGTCGACGATGTTCCTCGCCACCAAGACGTCCACGAATCCCTTGACCTTCTCCTCGACTATCGTTTTGCGGAGGCTCTGCTTCGCGGCGAGGGCCTCGCCGGAGTTCTGGATGTAGTCACCGCCGATGCAGCTGACGCAAACGGTCAGACCCTTGCCAGCCTTCAGCTGGCTGGCGAACGCGAACAGTTTCCGGTACTTGGGCACCAGGTCGTCGGTCAGTTTGGCCAGTATGAGGATCTGGGGCCGCCAGTTCTTCGTGTGAGGCGGTCCCTCCTCCAATCTCAACAGGGAATAACGAGCGGCTGACAGTGCCAGACCACGTATACCGTCGCCCCATTCTTTCTCCGCGCCCCGGTACTCGATGTACCTGTAGATACAGCCAGCCATGCCCATGGCTAGCAGTGCGTAGTACCAGCTGGTCATGAACATGATGGCGATGCAGAGGGACAGACCAAGGAACGACAGGCTCCAGTGATAGTACTTGAACCTGGGTCGCCAGTTGGGCGTTCGAAGGACGGTTTGGAGGGCGCAGGCCAGGTTGACGAATCCGTAGCACATCAGGAAGAACATGGACAGCAGGGGGGCCAGGTAATCGACGTTGCCCAGGAGGATACCGCATTGGCAGATAAGGACCGTCAGCACCAGGGCTCTGGTAGGCTCACCGCGGCTAGAGCTGGTGGCGAAAGGCGTCAGGAACGGAATGATACCGTCCTTGGCGATGGCTTGAAGCAGACGCGGAGCGCCAGTCAACGACTGAAGGCCAGCGCCCAGGGTGGACAGGAACGAACCGATCAGGATCACCCACTGATTCGGCCAGGCTATGTTCGCCACTACCAGCTTCCCACCGATACTCTGACCGAACTTGTCGCGCAGCAATAGATTGTCTACGGTGCCGGCGAACAGCAACACGCTCGATAGGTAGACCGTAGACGTGGTCAGGATCGCGCAAATCGTACCGATTGGGATCGATTTCTGGGCATCCGCCAGGTCACCCGATCTGTTAGAGCCAGCCATGATACCTGGGAAATTACGAGCCAGAGAATTTAGGAGGATTTCGATGGTTACTGGGTCAATTGGTTTACCCAGGTTAGGGTTGGAAGATAGGGAGAAGAACACGAGGGTCAGATCCTCTCTAATTTTAATCAGTTCTCTTTGTTGTATTTGTTTCTATAGTGTCTATGAATTTGTGTCAGATTAAATAGAGAAACGTGGCTGTAAAAGTCAGTGGGGATCTGGACCACCCGATTGTTCATCGTTTTGGAAGACTGAACAATGTTTGGCAGTTGCTTACCCGTGACGGAAGGGAAGAATATACCGATGAGAATGGTGAAGGTGGTGGTGAGGTCGACTTGAATCTGATTGAAGGAGGATGTCGACATGAAATCGATATCCTTTGGCTCTTTTCCGTAAGCGATCAGTTGACCTTCCTCTTGGAAACTGTCCCATATGTTTTCTAAACGCAAACGACTAGTTAGAAACTACATAATTAGTTATTAGCTATCGTTTGACGCTGGCGATACTGCTACAGAAGGCTATTCTCGAGTGTTTAATAACTATTACACCCTACCTAAGAATACGCCGCTGGCCAGACCACGAATTCCATTGATGATGGTCAAGTTGTTCTGCTCGTAGTACGGGTCACACTTGTGCGGTAGTAAGGTGCTGTTGCTCTCGCAATATAGCCGGTGGAGGACTCCGCTGACGTTTTTATTGCAGTCCGCCAACACATCGATGTCCTTCAGTAGCCTTCTGCCCAGAATGCACATTCTGAAACGAGTCAACATTTTTGTTAATCGTCCAAACACATTTCTAACGATAGTTGACACGGAAGTTACGAACTTGAGGGACTCGTTGCCGTTGAAGTTGTAGAACAGACCCACGTAAACGGCTATGATCGAGAATATCACGCAGGCCAGAGCAACGGTGGCGAATTTGTTCACGAACTTTACCCCGATGAACACTATGGTGCCCATCACCACCAGCAGACCCGTCCCGTACACACGAAAGTTGTTGTACATGATACTGGGATCCTTGGTGAAGTCACCGAATATGCTCAGCGAGGGAGCCATGTAAGTCTGGAAAGAAAATTTTATGGTATTCCGAGTCTGAAGCCGCCACCAGAGGGCTACGACGCTCTTGTCTCTCTCGCAAGCGCTCGGCCAACACCTATTTTTCTCGATTTAAAAATGGCAGACTTACCAGGACGATTTCAACGGCACCGATGATGTACATGGCAGCTGCCAAAGTGGTACCAGTGTAGAAGAGCATCCCCACAGCGCCTCCAAACTCCGGGCCCAAGCTTCTGGATATCATAAAGTAGGACCCTCCGGCAGGCACCACGCCGTTCGTTGCAATGGCGCTCATACTGATAGCTGTCAGCATTGTCTATGTGCAAACGAAGTCGAATTTCTCGGTTCAGCAATGTCTCTGTAATCTTACTGGATTAAACTGTCATGGAGACGGTTCATTTCGAAGGTCTCGATCGCCCTGAAGAACTTACCACGCAACAGCAGCAGAGCACGATGAGGAAACCTTGAAGGGCACCGGCTGTGCCGACCACCCACGTCAGACGGATGAAAAGGATCACACCGAAGATGTTTTGGATGCAAGGCAAGAAGACACCGATCAGCGTACCCATTCGTGCACCGCCTTGCACAGGCGGCGGCTTGCTGTCCGGGTCGGTCGCAGCTGGGATCGTGTTGCTGTAGTTCGACAGACTGCTGAGCAAGGTGGAGATCCGAGGCCGGTCTTCCATCTCTTCCTGAAAGCGAAAACGAGTACTTAGGTCGCCATTTTGGCGAACCACGATCGACTCTTTCCAATTCAGGCGGGAATTTCGAGACCGAGTAATTCAATTTCAAGTTAAGAGAAATCTTATTCGATCCAGTTTTTGAGTCTCTACAAAAATGTATTAAGCTACTTTTGTCCAATACTCGATGGTTTAAGAGTTACAGTATCTTGAAGTTTATTAAACTAAGTTGGATTTCGTTATGGCGGATCCATGGTACGCCACCTCATGGTACTCGAGTACAGCCAGTTCCAATGGCGGTAAAAAGTTTAAATTGTTGCAATGCATTCGAAAAGAAAGGATTTCGATTATGAAGTGTGAATTTACAATTTTCAATGGTGGAATTAATTTAGAAAATGGATTGCAATTTAATACGGGAGCGGGGGAGCCGCAGCGTGCTCGAATACTATTTGTTTGTCGAGTCTCGAGGAACCGGTGGAGTTCCCAGTCGGAAGGAAACTTGCCACGACCCGAGTTCAATGCACCGAAAGGTTCGCCAACAAGGTTACCGCGAAACTTCCTGTTAATTGCGTCGCTTTGAGAACGCTTTCGTCAGTCATGCAGAGGACCCAAATCCTTGACAGCGTCACCCCTCTTTAAAACGCTCCAAAGGAAGACTCTAGCGTACTATAATGCTTTGGATCTTGTGTTTCATCGAACGTGGTAGCCTTTTAAAGAAATATACTATCACATAATAGCTAAAAAATACGAATTCAGCAGCGGTCTGGTCGGTTACAAGTTAAATACACGTTAATTTTGTTATTCTTGATTTGTTTAGAATTCTAATCATGGAATCAACTCGAACGATCGATACCTGACAGTTTCGTTAAGTTATAATATGTACAAATTATAATTAACTCGGTATGTGACGCGAAGTGGCTTAGGATTAGGGTTAAATGCGGTGCAGCGGGGTCGTTTTCGAGAATCGGGAGCGTAGTTTGCGCGGAAGTAGCGTAGCTTTTGCAAGTTACGCGCACCATACACCTCCCCGGGGTATCGGAGCAAAGTGAACATAACTCGAGCCCACCCCGGAGAGCACTTACAGCTCGTTTGGTTACTTTCAAAGGTTGCATTACCCCTCAACAGTCTCGAGGAAGAACAGGGGTTGGTCTACCCCTGGCGATAAATCACTCATGATTTCTTCTTTCTTGACTTTCGTGGCATCCTTTAAAAATCATCTGCATAGAAGTTTGTTCCATTCTAAAGACGTGAAAGGTAAGTTTATTCTTAACGAGACGAGTCCGACCATATACGCGATTTTCTACTTGGCGCAGTCGGGTCGAGCGTCGATCCTTTCCACTTGCAGTAGAAATTTCATTATGGCCAGACACCGCATTCTTCACTGTTTTACATCCAATTATTGACTCGACGAAATCTCCAAAAGCAAACTGAACGCCTGTAATTGAATACGACACAGCTTACGGGTGCGATTATAAATTTGCAAACGAGCTTAATTAATTTACGAGTTATCGTCTCGCGTTCCTGGCGATCCTGTTACCCCAGCGAAGGTAAAAAAAATAGAGGGGAATCCTCGCGCGCCATTAGCCGGAGCGCAACTGCTCTTGGATAATTACTCGACTCGCGAGATAATTAAACGAAACGCGATCCTGAGAAACGAACGGAAAAATCAGTGGTCAATGGAAGCACTCCGATTGATAAAAGTTTGTTCCTTTATTTATTCGTTGATCACGACCGTGGAGGATAAAAATCTCCAGAATAAACTGCACTGACTTTGGAATTTTCTCATTAAACCCACACGCCACGCTATTTGGAAAGAACTTTCATTGAAATTCTTCCGGGATTTTACCCGGGATCACCGGGACCATTTGCAATCTAGACAACGGGAAGAGAAATGGTCGCCAAGTGATACTTTTTCCAGCTATTCGATTTGGAACATTTGCATCGAGAGGAGCTTGTAAAGTATAAATTCGTTAAAAATACGTCTCCTCGATGATCACCTGATCGAACGGACGATTTATTTCCATCGGAGGGTTGGTCCGGCGACGGGGAACGAGCCTCTTGCAGCCCCGTGGTCTCATTTTCCGCGGACAAAGAGGCCGGAGAGAGACAGAGGCGGAGATACTCGCGAGGAATCAGCGTCGATAAGGCCGCCCGGAGATAATTTCGACAGACCGAGCCACGGTAAGAAGAGAAACGGATAATTGGATATCCAGGAATCGAGGTCGATGCCGAACCGCGTTTCAACTATGAGGCCCCCGACTGAAAGAGCACGTTAATTAACCGGCTATAAGGGCACGTTCGAGCCATGGCTCCGCTTGCGTCACTCTAGACCACCCCTTTTTTTTCTTTCATTTTCATGCGGCCTCTCTGCAGAGGCCAGTGTGCAATCGTTACGTAAAGCCGCGTTCCCGCACACGGGAAATCAGGGTCGAGACCGACCAACGAAGACGTCGTGGACGACGAATCGAAACGCTTTTATCATTTTTATCATTTTCTTTCACTGTCATTTTCCATCCCCATTCGCGCCATATCGGAACGAACAATTTCACCGTCGTATCCTATAACTTGCTTTTAACGGTCCCCGTTCGGGTCGTAACGCAGACTTTAGATCCGCGGGGCTGTATTTTATTAGTTATATCGCGGCCCATAAACAACGCGTAGAAGTTTCGACGACCATATTCTGGATCGTTCGTTTCACGATCCACGGTAAAACGAATTCGATAGATTCGACCTTCCGCGTACGCTTTAACGACAGGCGTTCAAGATTTTACACCGGAATCCCACGTAAATCTTCGAAACTGAACTCGCGTTTGAATTTCGAGAGCATCCCTGTTATTCGTAAAATTTCAGTCTCGTTCCAAATTTTTCTTCGCCGCTGTCGCAGCCGAGCCTGCAAGTTTTGCGAGTTGGAAACGAGTTGGGGGGGCTGTGGAGCGACCCCTGTTCCGCCCCCATCGCGAATCAGTTAATCGCGCCAATTAGTCGGGGAATTAATTTGCCCGGACGGCGGGCGGGAAAGTTTCGTGGAAATTCAAAGGCGCTTTGACGGCGAACTTAAATCGAATTCTACGGTTTCTTATCGGCTCGATAAGCGCGTCGAACCTGAAAGCGGAACCATTTTGGACGTCGAGGGATCGGAGGAGCGAGAAGATTAAAAAGGAACGCCTCGCGCGATACGTCTGGAGATAAAGTCCGCGGGAAAGGAACCGTTTTTCTCGAGACCTAGCCACGAAAAATCCTTCTGGACGCTCGGGGAAACTTTTCTTCGAGGTTACACCACGTGATTTCCCAAAGTAAAATAAATGAAAATTGGTAAAAGATTGTTCGTTTGGAAATGAAAATGGTGGGAAATTGGCGAGGGAGAGTGATTTAATAAGAGCTCGAAGACACTCGGAGGAAACTGTCCGAACAAAAGAAAAACTGCCGACGAAGGACGACGACGTTTCGAACAATAAAAGAGACGCACAACCGCAGAAGAATCCGTTCGCGGCCCGCTTGTTCGTTGAACGACAATTAAGCGAATTGCACACTCGAGAGTATTCAACCCTGTCTCTACCTCACTTTATTCCTCTCACTTTCGCGTTTTAATGAAGGACCCTTCTTTCGAGAAAGGGAGCCTGAGCCCACCGTCGTCCCAGTTTTCTTATCCGGTGAACTTTCGCTGCGAACCGCCTCTTATCCGTCTACTGGATGTACTGGCTGGAGAAAGAAAAAACGCCCCTCGAAGGAGGTCCAGCCGTTTTGGGTCAGACGTTCCAGCTGATCTTCCCGTTTAACTCGGGGCTGACAGCTTGCATTTAGGTTTGAATCAGAATTTCTCAGACTTCTGACTTCCGTCAAATGTATTGACTGGGGCGTGAAAGAATGGTCGTAATAGAAATTCAATTTTCAGACCTATTGCGAGTAAACCGTGATAAATATTACCGAGAATTGATACGAATCATCGATGTCTGTGTGTTTGTGATTTCTCTATTTTCCTCAAATGAGATTATACATTACACGAATTTGTAGTAGCTCCAATTTGGTAATATTGCTTTGCATCGGAATGAATTGCAATCACGGTTGTTACTTACACTGTAGAGGAAGAGATTGGTCTCGTATCCCGTCTTCTTCTCTGAATTCCCTCCCACCATGGGATCGCCATCTCCGCCGGCGCCTCCGCCATCGCCTGCAGATAATAAAACAACTGTTAATAATAGCAATCTCCCATGGAAAACCGTCGTCGAATATTTATTTTACGTCGAATTATAACCGACGAATGCAATCTCGGGCGGATTACATCGTCGACTCGGTCGAGCGCTATCAAACTTTATTTCTATTGATTTTAATATCTTCCTAATAGAGCGACAAAGTTTTAATAGAAACACGGCGACGGAAATGGGAACGCTTTAGTTGGAAAGTTTTAATAGGCGTCCAGAGAGAGGCACGCTGATAGATTTCAGTTTGTTGGTAAGTCGTGATCGGTTTTTCCGGGCCGGGGGACGTGCACACGTGTGTGTTTTTTTTTATTCTTTGTTTAAACGGACGCAAAGCTCGAATTGGATTTGGGTCCGAATTCGCTCGATTTCTCTCCGTCGGTCGACAGTTTTTAATCAGCCGCCCCCGTAATGCTTGTTGACAGTACAGCGATCGAAGAAAGGGGAAAAATTTCAATCCACCATTTCGCTAGATACTACGTTTGCAATTATTTTACGATTTCACTCGATCTGGGAATTAATGGAATTCAGTATCGGTGTAGTTTCAGTTTACGTTCATTTCTGGTCACACGTTATATTTTCGGTAAAGAATTTTTTTCTCGAAAGTGGGTAGGATTTCAAGGGTATGTCTATTAACCAAAAATAATTGTAATTGACCCCTGCAACTAAAAATAATTTTTTTAGAACGATTTGGAATTTTTAATTTTGGCGAAAAATTTCTGCACCTACACGAATTTTTTTTATGGAAATGGGTAAGATTTCGGGGGTATGTCTGTTGACCAAAAATTATTATAATTGATCCCCCTAGCTAACAATAATTTTTTTAAAACGATTTGGAATTTTTTAATTTTGGCGAAAAATTTCTGCACCTACTCGAATTTTTTTTATGGAAATGGGTAAGATTTCGGGGGTACGTCTGTTGACCAAAAATTATTGTAATTGACCCCCCTAGCTAAAAATAATTTTTCTAGAACGATTTGAAATCTTTTTTTTTCGCCGACAAATTTCAGGGAAACATGTCAGCGTATGGTCAGACATTACATTTAAGGAATTTTTTTCTCGTAAGTGCATAGGATTTCGGGGGTATGCCTATTTACCAAAAATGATTGTAATTGACCCCTGCAACTAAAAATAATTTTTTTAAAACGATTTGGAATTTTTAATTTCATCGAAAAATTTCTGCTAGTCGAATTTTTTTTATGGAAATGGGTAAGATTTCGGGGATATGTCTGTTGACCAAAAATTATTGTAATTGATCCTCCTAGTTAAAAATAATTTTTTTAGAATGATTTGAAAAATTTTTTTTCACCGAAAAATTTCTCCACGTATTTCCGGTCGATTTTCGGATAATCGGAACTCTACTGTGGTTCGAATCAATCTTTCAGCCGCCGTTTTATACTCCGTGGCCATTGTCAACTGCAAAGAAATCTCTAAAAGGTTTATCGACATTGAGAAAGCACTTGAGCGTCGCCGAAGGTACGTCCAGTCCTACAATTTTCAATCGATTAATCTCGTATCGGTATCTTTAAGTTCCCCGTAGTTCGATTCAATTTATAAACCGTTCCTCGTAATGTCCACTCTCGAGGAACGGCGAAAGATAAATATTCGCTTCTCGAACGACTTACCAGGCACCAATTTTCAATTTTATAATATCAACTTATAATATTATAATATTAAAACGAAAGAAGCAAGTTTCTGTTCATTCAAACATGGACACCGTTTTTCCGCGATCCTACAGAAGCGTCCTAGGGAATTTCGAGTCGAAAAGGCTATCGATCTTCGAGGCGCGTCGATCGTAAATCGAACGAAGAAACCAGGCTGCCAGAAACAGAAATTCAGACCCGAATGACTTTGTTCCGGCCTTTCTTTCAAATTCCCAAAGGGGAAACACGATAAAGCTGGAGAAGTTATGTCCGTGAGTGACTATCGGAGCGTCGAGGGAAAAGTTGGCGAACCGACGGATTTTCTATTCTTCGGGCTAGTTACATTCACGTTTCACCGGCCGTAGAAAAGTTCCTAGGCGGGGAAAACCCTTCGATCGGGTATGATAACGAGATATTCTTGAGGGATTCTCGGGGGCTCGAAAAGTGTGCAGCAATTAGGGAAAGTTCGATATTCGAAACAAGCGTCCCGAAGTAACAAACCGGGGCCGCATCGAGCAATTTAAAAAACTAGGCCAGTCAATATTAACTCGCTGATTTGTTTCTTTGTCCCTTTGTACGCTGCTCCCCCGCGCCCGTCGTTTGCTACGATATCCATCAACGACAATGGCTTTCGAGATCACCGATGGAATTCATTTAACCGCCGGACCAAATGAATTCGCGAAGATTCGTTGCGTTCCCCGGGTCTAGGGATATTTATGGCGATACCAGGGACCGTTCTGGCCACTGTTGCCTCCGGTACACCCACCACGATCCGGCATAAACTCGCCCTATTACGACGAATACCTCGTTTCGATAATAAATTTCAGTTAAACGGGCAGGGGGTTTTCAGCAACGTCGATTCTTTTGCCTCCAATTCCATTAATCAACGTTCTATTGATCGACCGATAATTTACTCGGGCTACATCGACGCCTGTGAATACTTAAGCAACGAATCGGGAAACGGAATTATCCTTCCCTTCAATTTTTAACGAGAACAGGAAATTAAACACGGTAATGAACCGACGTACGTGCGATTAAACACGCATTTTTCTTCTATTCTTAAGCTTCGATTATTGAAAAATTTGCAGAGTATTTCGAGCTGCATTTTCCAGTTTCTGTTGCAAAATTCGAACTTTGGCGATGACATAATACGAGCACAGAAGTCCTTCGATTATCCGACCTAATAGTAACGAGGGTTGATCACATAATCGGGGGATTTTTTTCACCTTAGGGCAACAGGTAGGTTATAAATACATCGTTGTACCGTTTCTAGGCCATAATACGTATATTACGTATTGATTATTTGCTTGCGTATATGCTACGCACATTTAGGTAACGAATCTCGTAAATGTTCGCTAAAAGACACTTGTTTTTTTATGAAATTATGATATTTAAGGGTTTAAATTAAACATAAAACTTGTTAGAGATCGTGGCACGTTGCATACGGTGGTCACTGTGCGGTCATCGAAGTGCAGCATTATTCCGCCGTGTCCAGACTAGGATGGGTTACCGCTTGGCGAAAAAAACATCACATATCGTTGATTTCTGTACTCTTTATAATTATCGTAGCTCTAATTGGGTATTAACTTTGTCAAATTAATATTAAAAAACCAATCACCATTATACCAATTGGACCGAAATATAGAAAATGACCATCACACAATATATTGAGGGTTTACGAAATTTCCAAGATGTCGAATCTCCATCGAAAGATGGAGAAAGTGTGTCTAAAAATACTGGACGGCGTCGGGGGTGATAATTCAAGCGGGAGTATTCGGGTCCGATTATAATAATTATCGGCATATTCGACCACAAATTCACGGACGGACGGTCTAACGAGCCTGTTACGAGAATTTATGCGAGGGTGGGCCCAAGGGCTGTAAAATTATGGCGTCGCCCTGCTATAGACCAATTTCCGTGTTCGTTGCAATGGATGAATTTTAGGGGATTGCGTGAACCGTGACGGGGGGGAGAATTAATCCGGACCACCGGGCAAAGGAAATTTCTCACCGAATTCGAGACACCACGTGTGACACACGTTTCCAAGAGCGTAACTGTTTATCGGGTTTCGCCTACGCGAAACGAAGATACACCCGAGCCGATAATATCCTGACAGGGAAACACCGACGACCAATAATTAGCCATAATGGCGGAGTTTCGTTGACGCGGAGGCCGCGGTGTCGCGGTACCCATTTAACCGAGCCTCGTATTTAGGTTCCCAGCTGACAAACTCTATCCAGTTACACCGGAGGAGGGGGATCCCTAATTATTTTAATCGCGTTTGCTCCTTCCATTATGCACTCTATCGTTCCCTCCGTGGCGGCCTCGAACCTACGTTAAAAGCGGTCCAAAATGGCGCCATGCGGAACGTCGGGCTCCGCGAAATTTTCGATGATAATAATAACGAATTTGGAGCATCCGAATTTTCTTAAAAATCAGAATTTAATTATTCATCAAATACTCGACTGTCTCCATTCAGTGTTGGAAATTGTTTTGATGGAAAATAAAGTCGGATCGCGGATTTCCCGCGCTGGGGTATTGTGAGACAGATATTATTTGTCGCTGCAGTTTACGTAATCGCGAGCGATGCAATTACGTTAAGAAGCAAGGATATAGGCAGCGTGTAAACACTACGGATACGGGGCTTTCGCGGACGAGTTGCCCTAAGCGGCTGAACTTTGCGAAGACGGGCTTCAAACACGATTAATTTGCGAGCACGTCTTCGTCAAACTCTTAATTGATTTTGGCCGGGACGTCGGGCCGAAAATTCGGTGCGCGTTGCGGCCAATGTTCCTCTGTAACATCTCCATCGTGTAATCATTTGTTTTGGGGTCTCTTTGCAATTCATCTACATTTCTTTTTAGGCAATTAGAATTAGTTTATACCAATTTTCACTTTTTTTAATGGTAATTCAGAAGTAATTAGAAACCCGATACGTGTTTTTTTCGCCAAGCGGTAACCCATCCTAGTCTGGACGCGGCCGAAGGATGCTGTACTTCGGTGATCGAATGGTGACCAGTGCATCCAACGCGTCACAAGCGCCGACAACTTCTATATTTAATTCAAACCCTTAAATGTCTCGATTTTATGGTCGCTAAATTCTCGATTACTTGGGTTCAAGATCGATAAACGACTCGAGTGATTGTTACTATCGTACAGAAGGGTCGAAAACGGTGTAAACTACCTTGAGAGGGTCGAGGATTGGTCCGAACTGGAGCATCGGGTCGGCGGACGAGAACCGCGACCGATTCTTCGACAGATCCAAGCCAGATAGGAACAGGGGAGCAATTGGAACACGAAACACGAACGATAAAGAGAGAGGGAAGGGA